TTGCGGTTAAGATAATGCCTATTAGAAACCCAGTCTCGTCAAAGTTATAGATATCTATCTCCTAGATGCCATACTTTGTAATTATATTCTATATAAGTGTAAACTAGCCGCGATGTGACGAAACTACAGGCAGTCCTGCCTCTGAAAGGGTTCGCCGGTCGAAGGTATCTGCTAGTTAGACTATAGGTCTCGGTGAAGCCAAAGAGTTCACAACAATGCAAGTCGCAATGTCTGTATAGTAATATAGGGCTATCTTACTACTTATATTGCTCACTGGAGAACTCCCAGAGTCCTCTAGAATGAGTGACTATATACTAGCTATCTTCTTAGGTGCTTAGTGCTTCGATTCGGATGAGCACCTAGATGCTTATCGTTATATGCCCCTGATCACTCTGATCACTTATATCCTGCAGAGTGCTTAGCGATATTGGCACCTTAGTATCTTTGCCTATCTCTGACTGGTCTGCTTGATTGTCCAAATGATTAGCTCGGGACGTCTCTGTGTCTCCATATATGGCCGTCTGCCCTATAGCCTGCTGTTGGTTAATTCGTGACACGCGAATGATTTCTAGATCTTCGTACTAGGCCCTTTGGTAGTCGTATTTTCAATTGAAATGCGTAGTAAGCTCTAGGTGCCGTTTGACGAAGTTATATACCCAACGTGTTCCGATACGTCCCGCATTGCGTTCGGCAAGTAGTCGATTAGCCATATCTTCTATACTAGACAAGCAGGGAGGAAATTCTTTAGAATCTAGGTCGAGGATATATTGAACAATAACCGATTCTTCTAGATTGGTCAACTTCCGCGAATTAGCTAGAATATTGCGTCGTGATTGCATACTACGTCGCCGGCGGCTTAGCTTCTTATGATCTATATTGTAGATCCTACCAGCTGCTCGAGCGCTTAACTTCGAATTATTTTGGATTGCCAGAAGGGCTAGTTGCACCTAGGCCTCATTGCTTTTGTGACCCATATTGTATTGTAAAGGAAGATGAGAAGAAAGATAGAAGATATGTTAGGGTGAATTCGTGTGATATTCGCTTATCTGTGACATTTGCTTATCAACCACATTATATCTCTCTACTTATCTTATATCCTCTAGCTGCTCAATATTAAATATTTTAATATATTTATGATAGTATAACGTATATTATCAGCGAGTGACCCATATCAGCGAGTGACTCAGCTTAACAAACTTAGCAGGGCTGCAGGCTAAACCTTGATAAGAAAATTGTTAGGAGCGATATCAATTTCTTATCATATATTTGGATGTAGTCCTGCTAAATTTGTTAAGCTAGATCACTCGCTAATATGGGTCACTCGCTGATAATATATATTATAGGAAGTAGATTAAGGTGTTAATATAGGTAAATATAATCTATATTACTAAAAAGGATTTCTTTCTTATATTCTATACTATTTTTCAAGCTACCTTAACTCTTAAAAATATTCAAAGAGGTTTTAAGCTGCTAGACTTACTCTCTTTAATCCTAAGAGAGTAATTTTATAGTGTCACGAATTAACCAACAGCAGGCTATAGGGCAGATGGCCGTATGTGGGGATGGCGGAGCGTCCTGAGCTAATTATTTGAAACAATCAGGCGGACTAATCAGAGTTAGGCAAAGGTGCTAAGGTGCTAATGCCGCTGAGCACTTTGTAGAATGTAAGTGATCAGAGTGATTAGGGGCATATTATGATAAGCAACCAAGTACTTATCTAAATCGAAGCACTAAGCACCTGAGAAGACAGCTAGTATATAGTCATTCATTCTAGAGGACTCTGGAAGTTCTCCAGTGAGCAATACAAGCAACAGCCTCTACCTATTATGCAGACATTGCGACTAGCATTATTGTAAACCTTTTGGCTTCACTAGGACCTATAGTCCGACTAGCAGTACCTTCGACCGGCGAACCCTTTCAAAGGTAGGACTGCCTATGGTTTCATCACACATAGCTCGATATCTATCTAAAGATGCTAATACTCTTAAACTCATGGTCCGGCAGTATCTATGCCTAGGGTTTTAAAACTTTAAATAACCTAATAAAAGCCTCCTTATAGTCTACCCTTATTAAGACTTAAATTACTGATATTAAAATAGCTCTTTAACCAAGATTTTAAGAGTAGTTAATATATTTATAAAAGTAATAACGTGGTTGATAAGCAAATGCTCTAGATAAGCGGATGCTCCATAAAGTTGCACCTATATAACAAAATGTATATCAATCTCACCAAAACTGCTTCAAACAAATGAAACTACTCGGAATCGTCTTCCTCAGATGTTTCCATAACTATCTGACAGGTACACGCATTGTGACCAGGTTCGCCATAGGTGCCATAGCGCTACGCGCGCGTCTCGACCCTCGGCTTCCGACCACTACCCGCCCATGTTTCCTCCTTTATCTGCATCTCAACCTCTCTCTCACTCTGCAAGTTCTTTGTATCTTATACAGTAAGCAATCCTCCTTGTTAGAGCTGTTATTTCTTAGCCCTCTAACGCTTGCTTAGTGCCTTATTTGCTGCTCGGAGGCTTTGGTTCTCTGCTCTTAACAATGCCAATTGATATATAACCTTAGACGCCCCTTTCGTAAGGATATCAACTGCTCTTAAAATCTCAGTTAGAGCGCTATTTTAATGCCGGGCAATTCGATTCTTGATAAGAGCGGACTGTGAAGAGGCTTCGGCTAGGTTGTTCAGGATCTTGGAAACCCAGGTATAGGCACTGCCAGGGTAGGAGTTCGAGGGTATTAGTGTCTTTAGATGGATGTCGAGCTAAGAGATTACCTTCTCGCGATTAAAAGGAACAAGTCTAGCACCTCGAAAACCTCCTCAAATATTTTCAGATATTATAGCAGCCTAGAAAGCCGTATAGAACATAGGAATGAAGTCATACTTGGTAATATAGGTTATACTTACCTATATTATCCCCTCGATCTGCTTGCCGTATGCCATCTTAAGCGGGCTGAAACATCTAGTATTGAGTAGCTAGAGTATATAGGATGAGTATGGAGGTATATAGATATAATGAAACCATAGGCAGTCCTACTTCTGAAAGGGTTCACCGGTCGAAGGTATCTGCTGGTCAGATTATAGGTTTCAGTGAAGCCAAAAGGTTCACAATAATGCTTGCCGCAATGCCTGCACAATAGGTAAGGACTATTGCTTGAATTGCTCACTGGAGAACTCCCAGAGTCCTCTAGAACGAGTGACTATATACTGGCTATCTTTGGGTGCTCTCATGTGCTCTATAGAGCTCTCTAGAGCTCGGTGCTCTGTTGACTCCATCGGGAGCTTCTATTCCCTCGCGCTGATTGGCTTAGCTCCCTAAGCTCTTGTCTGCTCTCTAGAGCACCTTAGAGCTCCTTCTTATTGGTCCTAAATGATTGGTTCAGGTGCGCCCTGCGCCACCCGTCAGGTTGTCCCACCTACAGCTGTCTTGTTGGCTTAATTCGTAACAATAGAGTATAATAATATTATTCTCCTTATAGTAGACCTCGAAGTCAGTCGAGTGGTGGCTATTATGGCTGTCGAGGATAAGAAGGCGATAAACCCTAGTTATATAAGCCCTAGTATACTTATTAAAGTATTGATTCCATTTAAAGCCTCTCTCGTTAGTTGTCTAACTATTCTCAGATATCGCAATAACCTAGTCCTTTAGCAATAGGCTGTTCTTATATTAAGAGGAGAGGTAATATTTGCCCTTGATAATAATACATACTAGGACCGCCTAGCTAGTTGTATTGATGCTCTAGATTACTATTGCCTACTCCCGATTGCCAGACTGCTTTGACTTTGCCCTACCACGCTATTCGGAGCTTATAATAACTATTAAGGTTGCAATAACGCCTATTAGAAACCTAGTCTCATCGAAGTTATAGATGTCTACCTCCTAGATACCATACTTCGCAATCGTATTCCGTACAAGCGCAAACTAGCCCCGAATAATTTCTAGGTCTTCGTATTAGGCCCTCTAGTAGTCGTATTTCCAATTAAAATATATAGTAAGCTTAGGGTACCGTTTGACGAAGTTATATACCTAATACGTTCTAATATGTCCCGCATCGTGTTCAGCAAATAGTCGATTGGCTATATCTTCTATACCAGACAAACAAGGAGGAAATCCTTTGGAATCTAGGTCAAGGATATATTAAACAATAGCCAATTCTTCCAAATTGGTCAACTTCTATAAATTAGCTGGAATATCGCGTCATAATTATATACTATACCTATAATAGCTTAGCTTGGTATAATGAACTATATAGATCTTAGCCGTAGCTCTTAGGCTCAAAGTGGAGTCTTTCTCAAGAGCTTAGAGAGCTAAAATTATCTGGCATTTGTCATCTTTTAGATGCATGTTGGGTTATAAAGAAAATGTATGTGAGGAGGAGGTATTATATAGGCGTGGTAGAGTGGAGCATTCACTTCTCTAGAGCATTCGCTTATCAACCACATTATCTAAAGTTATATATTAGTTAATATTATTATAGATAAAGAACTAAAGCCTCTAAACTATAAATAAAGCGCTAAATAAATGCTAGAGAACTATAAAACAATGGCTACATGTGACAGTAGAACCCACCGTACTATAGTATAGGCCATTGCTTAGCCATGTGCTCAGCTTCCGGTGCATGCATGCATGATTGGTCAGCCTGGTTGGTGCCCCACCTTCCACACCTGGGCACGTGCCCCACATTCTGTATTTAGACTTCTTCGCATCTTGCAGTCTTCGAGGATTCCTTTCCTCCTGCAAGTTCAGTATTCTTGCAATACAGTCAGTTGCCCACCAGAGCCTTGAGCCTGGCCTGCGACGACAGTCACCGTGACACTAAGCTTTTATTTACTGCTCCTTGCCCTAGACTATCTGGCCGGGGAAATACAAAATTGACGTCGTACCACCTTGCGAAGAGTTTCCATCTAGATTTCCGTTGGATTCTACCGACTTATAGAGTACCGCCTTGTCCCAAGCTGTTTCCGATCGTTCTCCTAAGCGTTCCTGAGCAGCCCCTGACGGGACCTGAGCAAAAGCGGCGAGGGGTGTTGGGAGCAGCCGGGGGCTGACGAGGGCAACTTTTGGGTAATGCAACAGAATAGAATGAAGGTTGTGGGTTCGAGCCCGACCCAGGGCACCTGCGTAACCCACGTTATAAAGACAATCCCAAGTGTGTAAAAACCTTTAGCTATGTTATCTTACTGAGATATTTAACGTACCCACGTAACTAATTCAAGGACGTTCGTTTCTTTCTTGTTTTTTATTTTTCCGTTTTTTGTTGAGTATACCTAGAAAATCAAGATAGCTCTTGTACCGCGAAGGCCATCACAATATCTTCAAAATCTCCGAGGGAGTGGCGAGTCATGACTCTTCTCACATCCGCTGCGACATCGAAGTCGACGTGCTTCTCGAGCCCTTTGCTTTCATGGGGAATCGCAGCACCATTTGCCTTCTTGACATAAGTAACGAGGTACTCGCGATAGGGTTCACCGACTGCCCGTTCATTCCAATTTTCCAAGGGAGCACGAGTGACACCAAGCGCGGCCGTTCGATACGCTTCATCTGGTTGCCACTCCTCTGTAGAAATACCTTGAAACTCGGGAGCGCTCTTCGCTTGGAATTGGGCTTGGTGCCGCCTTAGCGGTTCTGTGATCTCATACCAGAGACGCAAGTCATCCGCCGGGGCGTGGATCCAATCGAAGTTCACTCTAGTCATGGCAGATGATTCGATGTGTCCATTTCCTGGAAGAATGGTCTCTGGTACAGCGCAAACGAAGATTGGGCCTCCGCTCTCCCTCATCCGTACGAAACTGCCCAGCCTAATGGTTCCTCGAATGGCGTTCTGCATTGACAACGGCAGACGGTAAAACCTGCGCGGGGCTTTCGCCTCGGCTATGGGCGCTGACATGCTCGTTGGGTCATTACCCGGCGCTTGTGTAATGAGTGTCCTGGGCTTAGCGTCCGCGTGAAGTTTGCAAACCCACCGCCTGAGCAAGGTCGATATCAAGTTAAAGGCTTCGTCTTTTGGCCGAAGCTTCGTCATGCTGAAATGGTCGCCGATGACGGCGATTGGTCTGAACTCAGGAAACAATGCCCATTCGGAAGATAAGGACTAACCCATACCAGTCAGTACACCTTGTAGAATGCGTTATACTCAGGAGTTTCGTACATACAAGATTCGCGTTCGGGAGGGGGGAGGTTGCAAAGCAACCAGCGACTCTCAACTTCGGCGAGCTCCGCTGACAGTAGGTCCTGAACCTGTTTTGCATGCAAGACAAGCGGCAAAATTCTTCATCCCACGGACCCCAATGCACTGACTGAGCCGTTTCTCCTCGAAGGACACTGACTTTTGTCGCGGACAAAACAGCCCACTCCGCAAGTCCGGCACTAAGATGGGGTGTGTCGAAGAGGAAAGCCCCGTGCCTGCGCAAAATTGGGGTTCTAGTCACATCCGCGCCCCAAGCGAGGACGATAGCCTTGATTGCGCTCGAGGTCAGTTGACAGCTGCGCCCACGTGGCTAGTTCGCGTCGGAATCCGGGGACTGTACCTGCTCGTACAAGAGGCCGCCGTACCCGTGGGCAAAGAATATCACAGGCCGATCATCTTTCCCGTTTTTACCAACGCCGTGAATTGGATCTTGTAGGCTCGACAAAAAGTCTTTTGCACGTCTTTCGAGTAACTGGTGGTCGAGGAAGTCGCCCAAGGCATCGAGTTTGCCGCAGTTATAGGCATAGATGAGAATACGAGCGGCGTCCGGTAGAAGCTTGTCCACCCAGAACTCAGTGGAATGGGGCATCATCCATGGCGCTTCTCGGTCTTCGGTAAGATCATGTATAAATACAAGACTGCAACGGAAAACGATGAGTTATGGAGCATGTAAAACCTCTCGGAACGGAAACTTACTCAACCGCAGGGCATTCGACCCCAACGGCTTTGGGACCGCGGAGTTCGATTATGCCGGGTTCATTGTTGGGAAGTGCGTTATTGGAAGGCTCATTGCTACTAGCATAAACCAGTTCCTTGAGCCAATCCAACATCCTGGCAAATCGAAGAGAGGTTGGGCCAGATTCTGGGTCGGAGTGTCATGGTATCTCACACTCTCTCCAGTGCAGCTCCCCAGCCGTATCTTTATATATTACCTAGGTAGCTTGGTAAGGTACTCATCAAAGTGGCTGAGCATAAGAGGCATGCAGCAATGAGTCATGTTCCCGGTGAAGATGGGGTGGGTGGAGCCCAGAGCCGTCTACCCCACAGTCGGGCTCCACTAGACTCTTAAGCAATTTATTTAAAGTACCTGCCGGCGCACAACGAACTTCACAGCTAAAGTGTTCCACGCCAGAACTGGCTGTCCAGATTTGGCAACCAATGCAGGGCATGTAATATCTTTAAATGCAGCCTTTGTCTAGTACACTACAGGCTGTCTCTATAAAGTAGAGCATGTATCATACACGATACAGAGAGCGTCAACTTGAACTTACCTTTTGTGTGTACGCCGTGTACTAGGTTCCAGAACCTGAGACAACCCTGTCCCGGGGAGCCGGGAGCATACGAGCGTTATGAGTTTGCGTCAATGAATTCAAGAGCAGCCTATCACGTACGTAACAGAGCACGGAGCTACGTCATGATCGAGAGAATACTCTATAAACCTCAAGCCATTTCTAATATATCGCCTCATCGAGATCTCCGTAGGACTCGATGACGTACATCATCGTAGTTCACAAAGGAATTGGTCAGATTGCTTCCTTCCCTATTCAGGACGCTGTATTTATCTTTTTGAGACGTATCTAAATAAAGGGCATATGTGATTGCTTATCTTGAAGCACCGAGCATGAACTTGAGACCTTCAGATCCGCCTTGCTCGAGTGACGAAGAGATATCCCCCAGCAGCTAGGAAAATGGCTACGACTTATTCGGTACATCCTGATCGGGCGAGACTTATTGTGTGCTGCGATGGCACAGGAAATTCGGAATATTTACCGGAACCCGGGAATCCTCGAACCAATGTATCGCGCATCTCGAGATCGATTACGCCCAGACTAGCTACTGGTCATGGCCGACAGGTAGTGTTGTATATGTCTGGAATCGGCACCGCTCCCGGCGGTCTGTTGAGCACACCACAAAATCTGTTGAAGGGGACGTTTGGAATGGGTTTGTTTATATTCCAGAATCCTCAGTCACTTATTCACGATTCCTCGCTGTGACGGCGCCACTAATGGGGGTGATGGTTCTTGCCAGGATTCGATGACAAAGTCAAAGAAGGCTACTCATTCCTCTGCCATAATTATAATGAGCAGACCGGGGACGAGATCATTCTTATCGGTTTCTCGAGGGGGGCCTTTGCTGTAAGATGCATTGCAGAATTAATTGCCAGCATCGGACTTCTTCAAAAGACTGATCTCCCCGAACTTTCTCGCGTTTACCCCCTCTGGAAAAAGGGGGAAGATTTCCGTATACAGGCGCGGTCTAGACACGCTCGTGTTAAGGTCTGCGCACTTTGGGATACAGTCGCGTCATTGGGCTTTCCTCGTTTCTCACGTTCCCCTTTTTCTTCTCCAGAATCTGGCCCTCTTGCCCCCGACTCACGACCTTGCCACATTGTTGACACTTTCTTTCAAGCTCTATCCCTACATGAACACCGTTGTCCTTTCCAATCGATCGTGTGGGAACCGCAGTCGTATGGAAGTTGCCAGTTAGAGCAATGCTGGTTCATGGGTAACCATTGTGATATAGGGGGTGGGGAGGAAAAGGAGGCCCTAGCGCACTTTGCCTTGGCCTGGATGATAACCAAGCTCCGGCGATATGTCGATTTTGATATGAAAAGGCTCTGCTGGGCCCAGATGAGCAGCACGAGCTGGAGGGTGGAAGGTAAGTACATCATACTATAGCGCCTACAGTCGGCGATATTGACGACTTTCAATAGATGCCGCGAGACTGGAAACCCGAGAGTCAAGAACCAAGAGATATTGGCTCACGGGGTCTGAATACAGGCAACCACGGTGCCGGTTCTGGAATCGCGGGCGTCTTGTAAAAACACCTGCGAGCGTCCTGTCAGCCGAGACAATGCACTGTTCCGTCCGCTTCCTATCAGACAAAGGGCTTGTTGAACGGCCTTACTCTCTGGAAAATAGCGGTGACCCACTTCGCCTTCCCACATCCTTTATCTGGCGGCTTTCGGATAACAACTCTAGCTACGAAGTCGAGGAGGAAAGACTGGAATGGGAAGAGCGGAAACTGCTGATGGATTGGCTCAAGTTTGCACATGAGGAACTGTTTAAATTCGATCCAGGAGCTGAACCGCCCCAGCAAGGGGACGAATCGCCCAATACTATTACCGTGAAGTTTCGGGCTTGGCTCAACGATCAGACACCATAATGTTTGGTTGCTGGTGGCTTTTGAGTGCGACGGGCAATAAGGTCGGGCCAATTCGTATTTACAAGATTGATAGCTACTCTTGCAACCAGGTACCTAGGTAGTTCTATATTTTTGACCCATCGACATCTAACCTCGGCCAAACATAGCATCGTAAAATTGCTGGCGTCGCTTCGTTTCTCAGTCGCGCGGCCCTTCGCTGCGCTACGAGAGGGCTTCCTTCTTCTCTCCTGCTCCTGGCAATTTTCGTGTGCCTCTCCGGAGGACAATCGGGGCTAGGGTGATTAAGTACGGGAGAGACGAAGCGACAATATCCTGTCCTTCGGACAACGACTCCATCCACAGTGATATATCGGTGAACCGTTGAGGTACTTGCTGGGCCTCCTAAAACGGCCGTTCCCGCGGGGGTTGGAACCCTCGGGGGGGAGGCTGATCGCCGTTTTAGGAGGCCCAGCGAGTACTAGATTGGCGTGATGATGGGGGCGACATCCTCGGGGAGTCTGGTGTACTGGCGATCACGGGAGTGTTGACGGGACGGACGGGCAGAGACTTGCTACGCTGGCACCATCATCAGGGCACAATCGCATAACAGCAGAGCCGGACAAGCGAGGGATGATGAATGATTGCGGCCAGTGCAATTCAAGGTCTGCCGCTGTTTTAATGAACACAGCCGGCTCACATCGCATCCCCTTCAGCATGCACGGGTCGTTGCGGGGTAATGAAGCTCGATTCGTGATCGGCGTCGTGGCTTGGCCATGGAACATATGGGATTGGGCCATTTCAGGGCCCGTAGATAGCGTCGGTTGGGGATAGGGCAAGGAGACTTGAGATTACGAGTGCAAGGTGATGTGGAATGAAGAGACCTGTCGCGTCTGGAAACGCACTGCACGGGAAAACTAACATGGCAACCGCAGAAACAACGCCATCTGGCCCTCGTCTCAGCGCACTCTCAACCGACCACGAGGATCCGACAGTGTGGTTGGAGTAGGTGCCCCAAAATCGCTGCGAAGATGGCTCGGTTCGAAACAGTCGGTCAAGTCAATAAACCTGCTCTTTTGGAGCGCAAGGACGCATTGTCCCAGCATCAAGAGGCGGTCCTGGGTCGGGCACCCCGACTCGTAAGTGCGAGCACTCCGCTGGACTCGACATACAACCCTTGCCGATCCAGCTCACACAATCAGGCACTTATCCCGCACGCGCTTCAGCTCCAGCAACCAGTTCCTCCTCCCCGCCCCCGGCGGCTCGCGGTCCCTCGCCTCCCAAAGGTCCTGCATCGTCTGCACGGCGGTGCGCACGTACCCCCACGGACAGGACCACGGATTGCGCGCCCACACGGCCTGCATGCGCCCAATGCACCACGCCCGCTGCGCCGGGTCGTCCGTCTGCGCGCCAACCATGAAGGTCGGCCAGATCGTCCCCTTCAGGTGGACGTGGTCGACGGGGACGGCGTCCAGGTGGCCGAGGACCTCCTGCACGAGCATGTCCACCGCAAGCGGGGAGGGGGCGGCCTCGGGCACGGCGAGGAGGATGTACAGGCAGGCGGTGGCCTGGTGGGCGAGCGCAATGCTGACACGGGTGGCGAGATCGTCCTGCGCCGAGAGGCCGCGGATGCCGTGCACCCAGTTTGCGATGTCGAGCGAGCGGGCTTGGTGCAGAAGGGAGAGGGCCCGTTCGATTTTGGTCGCATCGGCAGGCTCGTCCCCGCAGAGGCTGCTGGCGGAGAGCAGGATCTGGAGGATCTCCGGCGGGCAGCAGTGGTAGCTGTAGGGCTCGGCGCGCCGGAGCACGGGCAGCAGATCGGCCAGGTCGTCATCCCACGATGTCAGGCATACCCCGCTGATGGCCGAGCCCAGGACGCGGTATGTCAGACAGTCGGCGGCGATGGCGTCGAGGAGGGGCATGAGCGACTGGTCCGGGCCGTGCACCGGGTCGCTCAGCGACATCATCAGCGTACTGGCGGCTTCGATGTGGGCCTGCCATCCGCCTTTGCCCGAGTCGATCAGGTCGATGTTGATGAGGAAGACGGTGGCCGCAAGGACCATGGCTTGGTCCGCGGGCGTCACGGAGTCAATGGCGGACCGGAGCAGCCGGATCGCCTTGTCCTTGGCCACCAGGGCGTCCACTAGTTCTAATCGTGCCTCCTGTCCTCGACGGCCGAATAGCGCGCTGGCAAGATGCATCGCCCCTGTGGCGACGATGATAGCTTGCAGGTAGTTGAACTTTGCCGCGAGAGGGACGATGAGTCGGAAGGGGTTTCGGTCATGTTGGTCGAAGGAGACCAGATCTCGGCACACGGTGACTGCGACTACGCCCAAGTTAGACAGCTTCGGCAGGTCCAGTTCGATCACGTTGTCTGTTCCCAACGTACAGTGGTGGACATAGTGTCTCTCCCTCCGGTCAAGGCCGTTCAGCAGCGGGTCGAGAAGGGAGGGCCGAACGGAGTAGGAATTCGTGTCGAACTCAGTCGAGGTCGGTTGTCGTTTGGGGCTTGTCACCGACAGCTGGCCAACCAGCCTACCGCGGACGGCGGGGGCGTTCGCCCAGCGCAGAACGGTGCCATAGCCGAGACAGTCGACGCCGGCGCTCCAGCACTTCCGACACGTCGGACGCGATCGGTCACAACGGAGGCGGCGCCGGCGGCAGTTGTAGCAAGCTCTGGACGGTGCTGCTTCAGGGCTGTCGCCGGGCACTGGCATAGATCTCTCGGGTGCGCAGACAGCCTGGCTGGGCGTTCGTCGGAAGGCGCGCGGCGCGGATCGAGGAAATCGAACGAACTTTCCATTGAGGTGACGTTTTTGTTCCCCGCCATTTCGACTCCGACCGCCAAAATCTGGCCCGGGCCCGCACCTGCCTTCATGGGCGCTAAGCCCAAACAGGAACCAAAACTGCACCGCTTTGCGTTTGCCCAGCCCGCCAGGAATTCTCATCAATTGCGCACGTTCCATTCATGATTCAAACTGGTGCCTCTTTTGTCACAGACTCCTGCCTTCGATCGGACGGAGGCGAACAAGCGGGGTCCGAGACAGGGCCCGCTAACCCAGATCTGCGCCAAATCTTCAACGTCTGCAGGTCCGCTCCTCGGCACAAAGACAAAGTTGTTAGTAATGGCTTGATTCGTTATGATGCATGTTCGGGTTGCGTTACCCACCGGCGGAGTCCCATCGCTTTCTATAAAACATCTCGTCTCTGTCACAATGGGTTTACATCCGGGCCGGACTGTTATGGCGATATTAACTCGGATTCTTTCACCCCGCCAACAATATGAAGGGGCGCACCGATGTGGAGAGCCCCTCGGGGTCCGACGACAACGGCAGGATCTCGAGTCTGGAGGCCGATGAGCTTGAGCTGGAACGGCTGGGCCGCCAAAGGCCGGACGTGTTTCCCAATGCCGTTTACGAGGTCCTCTTTTGCAGCTCCTTGCTCGTCTCCATGTTCATGGCTGTAAGTGAAAGATAAAAGTCCAGATGATTCCAGATCGTGCAACCATGCTGACTACCGAATCACTGCCCAGGAATTCTTCATCTCGGGCTTCAACATCATCCTGCCCGCCGTGTCCCATGCGCTTGAGATCCCCAAGGCCGACCAGACGTGGCCGGCCAGCGTCTTTTCGCTCGTGACGGGCGCCTTCCTCCTCCCGCTGGGTCGCCTCGGCGACATCTACGGCGCCTACGTCGTCTTCAACGCAGGGCTGGCCTGGTTCTCCGTCTGGTCGCTCATCTCGGGCTTCAGCGTCAACTACAAGATGCTCATCGTCACGCGCGCGCTGGGCGGCCTGGGCCCGGCGGCCTTCCTGCCGACCAGCATCATGCTGCTGGGCAAGACGTACCGGCCCGGCCCGCGGAAGAACCTGGTCTTCAGTCTGTGGAGCGCGTTTGCGCCGATCGGCTTTTACCTGGGCATCATCACGGGCGGCTGCACGGCGCAGTTCATGTCGTGGCGCTGGTATTTCTGGCTGGGCTGCATCGTGACGTTTGTGTGTTCCGGCGTTTCGCTCATCACGATCCCGCGCGACATGGCGCAGACGCGGAGGGAGAACCCCCACGTCAAGATGGACTACTGGGGCACCGTGACCATCATCCCGGCGCTGATCCTGACGACCTTCGCCATCACCGACGGGGCTCATGCGCCCGACGGCTGGCGTACGCCCTACATCATCGTCACCTTCGTGCTGGGCGTGCTGCTGCTCGCGGCGGCCGTCTACGTCGAGGGCTGGGTCGCCGAGCAGCCGCTGCTGCCGTTCGACATCTTCAAGCCCAAGTACATGGGCCGGCTGACGGTGGCCTTGTTCTTTGCCTATGGCGTGTTTGGCGTCTATTTGTTCTATGCCAGTTTCCAGTAAGTGGTCCTTGCGCTGCCTCGTGCTTGATTGCGGACGGGGCTGACTCTCTCCCTTAGCATCAGCGACTACATGGGCAAATCCACCCTCCTGACGGCCGTCTGGTTCACGCCCATGGCGGCCGGCGGCATGGTTATCGCCACCGTCGGAGGTTTCACACTTCACCGGCTCCCCGGCAGGATCCTGCTCATCATCTCGGCCTGCGGCTTCATCCTCTGCGTGCTCCTCTTTGCCTTTGCGCCCCGCGACGGGAATTACTGGGCGTACATCTTCCCCTGCATGATCGGTGCCACGGTCGGCGTCGACATCACCTTCATCGTCAGCAACATTTTCATCACGAACAATATCGCCCGCCACAGGCAGGGCATTGCCGGCGGGCTCATCAACAGCCTGCTCTTCCTGGGTATCAGCTTCTTCCTGGGTCTGGCCGACCTTGCCGTGGCCGAGGACGAGAAAAGGGGCGGCAGCCAGGGACACAAGGTGGCGTTTTGGTTCGCCACGGCGTGCGCGGCTGTGGTGCTGCTGATCTTCGCGACCGTCCCAATCGGCAAGGCGAAGAGCGACCTGACGGTGGAGGAGCGCATGCAGAGGGAGAAGCAGCGAGAAAGCGAACAGGCGCGGTCAACCCCAGCGGAGGCGGTGTCGTCTGCATAAATATGGTTTTGGTATAATCGGATAGACTCCTCTAGAGAGATAGACGGTTTGGATATATTTAGAGCATTCAAGACAGATACGTAGTTGTCAACAAGCCTCCCGTTGATTCACCCACCTACAGCTCATCCCGTACTCGCCCCTCCTCCATCTCCCTTCTAGCCTTCAGCCTCTCTTCCCGCTGCTGGCGCCGCTCGTTCCTCTTGATCGTCCGGTGCAGCTTCTCCCACATCAGACGGGCGTGTCTGCCCTCCTCGCTTTCCGTCACCGACATCGCCTCGACGGTGAAGGTCATGTCGCGCTTGCCCAGGTCGCGGTGCGGCTTGGTGTGGTCGACGACCCATGCCACCACCGCGTGGTCGATGGCCTGGGGCTTGTACTTGGCCAGGTTGTTGAAGTCGCCTGCAGGTACTAGTCAGTATCGGGTCCAAGAATGGATGGCATTACAAGGAAATGGCAGGCTTACGCTCACAGCCGCTCCCCTTGGCCACCCAAAGCGGCAGGATCTCGTACGCCGCGCCGGCGGGGAACACAACGATCCTATCCCCATCCTTGATCTCCCTCTTTTCTTGAGCTTCAGCTTCCACCCCTTGCTCGGAGACACTCGCACTCGCACTCGATCCCGCAGCCCCGACTGTCCCACCCACCTTCTCCCCTTCCTCCTTTCTAGGCTTCTTCTCAAACACGCCAAACCACCACCTCTTCTCATTCTCCTTCCTCCCATTACCCTCATCCCCGCCTTGCTGTTCCTCCTGCCGTTGCTCTGCAATCCAACCCCTCACCCCCTCCGGCACCTCCGCCCAATCCATAACCACAATCTCCCTATCCTCTCCCTTATGATCCACCCCGTCCCAACTACCCATGTACTCCCGCCTTCCACTCGACAAGCCCAGCCAGCCATCAATCTCCCCCTGCCAGGGCGCAAGCCCCGTCGGCCAGGGCTCGGGCAGGTCTTTCAGCTTGAAGAGCTTGGCGCGGAAGGTTTGTGAGGCGCGGCAGTGCACGTGGAACCCGCCTGGTTCGGTTCCGTCGTCCGGGAAGGGCCGCGACCAGTGGAAGGAGGGGGCTACGCCGTACTCGTACACGTCCCAGTTTATGCCGCCGGCGTGGGTGGGGGGGAATAAAAGGGGGAGGAGGAGGAGAGGGGAGAGCATTTTCGGGTGTTTTGTCCTTGTTTTGTCTTGTCTTGTGTGTGTAAGGGTAAATCTGTAGCTGCCTATAAGACTTATGTCTGACAATCAAGGCAGGGGTATCAATAAGTGTGGATGGGTGTAGTCAGTCAGTCAGTCGGAGCTGCAGCAAGCAGCTTGAACTTAATGATCATGATGACTTCAGAGCGGTGATCCAAAGTCATTAAAAAGACATCCACCCCGACCGCCGGCAAGCTTGATATGTGGCATGTGCCTGTACTCCCACACCGGGGGCCGCTCGGCTATTCTCCTCGCGTGGCAACTCCCGACTCCCGCAGCCCCAGATCTTCGGTGCATGGTTGATACCTTATACAGGCTGAATTGCCGAGCCACTGCGCGAGCGCCCAGTTTTCCCAGCGATGGAAGGTTCTTTAATATACGGTTGTAAATTACCATGGCAACGACACGTGTCCACTAAGGTACCCTACGCCGGCGGCTCTGCGGTGATGGCGTTGAACAACGTCGCCTCTCGGCGCCATGAGTTTAGACCACCTCATGCCTGACTGCCGATGTTGGCTGTCCATTCCAGAAGTTTCTCTGAAGGTTGAGGTACATCTCGGTATACTAACTGAATTAAATCACAGGCAAGCTTGAATGAGCGAATCGGTAAGTTGGAAATAAACCGTGAGATCGGTTGTTGGCTGTAGGGGGTGTCTGGGTCATACGCATGGATGATAGATTCGGAGTGACCTGGGCTTCTCAGTTGCTGAGCTTGTAGTTCGTGCATCGGGTCGTTGATCTCTCGGTTTTTCCGACTCTTTGGCAGGCTGTTACCGTTTGGAAGTCCTCTCTGAGCGACCTGTTTGGTGGTGGGTTCGTCCCGGGGCCATACGTCTGATCGATTCAGCTCACTTTGCGTAAAGACAGTGATGTACAAGGAGACACAGAGCGAACAAGGTGGGAATGTTCACGGTGGGAAAAGAGGTGCAAGCTGTTGAAAGAAACCTTCTGTATATTCGCTCGTCGGAAAACATACGACAGCAAAAGATACCCGCTTCAAGTTATACATGATGAGTAACGCTACGCTGTCCTCCCAACCGCTCCATCTCGTCATCCCTTGCCAGGTCTGCGCCCACGTATTAAACCAACCATCTGCCCGCTGTCCCGTGGTTCACGAACATACCCCCAAGTGTCTCAAAGTAAGGATGACTCCAGTCAGAACTTCACTCCCCGACTCAGAGCCCGGATCCGCTGCGTCCTGTTCACTTGATCCAGCTGCGGTGTGCCTCAAGTACGCTTTGACGGACCGGAGCATTCCAGCTTAGCATCATCTTCATCGGTTGAGGTGGCGACAAACTTCCAGTGTGGTGCCCCGGGCGAGGTATCGTTGAACAAGGCCCTCAGCACGGCCCGATTAGCTGGGAGGTGGCGCTGGTACTGCCTCAGCTCTTCCTGACGCCGTTGACTACCCTGTAGCGGGGGAGAGAGACCGGCGCTCTGCTGTCCACCATACTGTCGCCACTGCCGATTGTTGATCTCTGACACCGCGTTGAAGATTGCCCGTGCAACCCTGTCGAGGGTGCCCTGGTCTGCACCACGGAGGGATACAGGGCTAAGATCCGTCGGCGTCAATGCCTCGACCGTGCTCCTGTCGCGCGGGGCAGGGAAGATGATCAGTTGCTTAGCGTGCAAGCACTTGGCCAAGAGCAGGGTCCTGCCGCTCGGTGTCCAGGGTTTGGCGAGGCTGCAAGGGAAGTCGATGACCAGCTGCGGCTCCAGGGCGATCTTGGCCATGGGCGGAAGCCGCGGATGCAGGGGTTGGATGTTTCCCAGTCCCAGGTAAAATGGGTCCTTCTTATCTGGGTCGACTCTGTAATCTCCTTTGTTTGGTCCACCTATCGGCTGGCCCTGACCTGCCCTTCTCCTGAGCCTATACGGCTTCCGCGACTTGAACCCCTCTGGCATTGTCTCGACGGCCTTGTCTATGTGGTGGAACCAAAGCAGGTCTCTGTCCCGGTCCCACGGCGTGCTGACAATCTGGTTCTGGCATTGCGGGACCTGGAGGAGAATGCGGTCAGGTTGCCCGTGGTATTGTCGGTCGGGCGGAGAGACGAGCTCTTCGATGGCATCATTCCAGATCCGTACGGGGATGGTCGTCAAGTGGTCGTTGGACGTCAATGTAAAGACCGGTGCCTCACTCGAGGAGCGTTCAAGCGACTCGTGCAGCAAACCCACGCTCAGGATCCGGCCAGGGAGCCCGCTCTCCGTGACTTTTGTTTCTTTATCTTGTCCCACCTCTCCTTGTTTGACTTCCTGGCCGGCTTGCTCTTCCTGGTCGGCTTGCTCTTCCTGGTCGGCTTGCTCTTCCTGGTCGGCTTGCTCTTCCTGGTCGGCTTGCTCTTCCTCAACTCCATTTGGCTCCTCCTCCGGGATGGGCTCTTTGTGATCCGCCGCAGACGCTGCTTCCTATCCTTCTTCCGCGGTCGGGCCGTTTTGGACCTCTTGGTGTCCTTCCTCCGCGGCCGGTTCCTTTTGTTCCCCACTCTCGGGGGACGCACGAGGCGGAGTGGAAGGGATAGTGCAGTTCCGAGAAGGACCTGCAAAACCAGAGGGGTCCTGTTCCTCAAGCGGGTGAGAGGCGTCCTCGGGACGGGGAGCTGACTGCGACATCTGGATGATTGGATGCGAAAAGATTTGAGAAAAGGGTACTGTATGAGGCTGTTGGGCAGTGGTTGAACGCGGGCGTAGAATATGGATGATGCGAGCTGTGATTAAGGTAGGTTGGTAAATTTAGACGCAAACTCGGTGATTTGAGGTAAGATGACCGAAGAGGATTTCTGCAGGGGAACCAAGAAGAGTCTGAGTGATATCCAGGGATTGCATCCACGAGACCCCCAACCGCTCTGTAAAGTGCAACCGTTGCCTTCCCGCTGCCCTTGGTTAGATTGGAGGGCAGGGGCAAGTAGTGGGCGAGGCAAGCACGTAGCCACGGTAGCACAGTCAATGGAAGGCTTTCGTACCTTCCTTCCGTCCACGAGAAAGCGGCAGGTGCAGGCCGGTGGGCGAACCTGACCCAAAGTACCAAACTCCGTGTCAATGGAAACTACCGGAACCAGACATTGTGGCGCATTGTATCAATTGCAACTAGCCGAGAAGACTGCCAATGCGTATCACAAAAGATCCGACCTGTTGATGTTTGAAGTGTAAGGTATCATCTGCGGCCAAATCCAGACAATCGTGCCGGCGTGATGAATGACTCGTGGTGCTCTGCGCCCCCTCAAACAAACCTCTCCCGGTCAACTCGAGTGATTACAAATTGTGGCACACCTTGGGTCCTTAGCACTTGCCTGGCCGGCCCGTCAATGTCGAGAGCACTCCAACGACCGTGCTATCTCATGTAGGGTTGATTCTACTAGACATAAACATCCATATCTCCTCTCGGTCTCAAGGGATGGGTCGGACGATGACGCGGGCTTCTCGAGGATTGGCCGCCGACGGACTAGACGAGGCTTCTGCCGCCCGGTGACCTCGCCACGCTACAACGGGTCACTTTGCAATTTGGGTTCAGTAGTGGAATCGGAGAAGAGAAGCGCTGAGACGCGGTCAGTCGGGCATGAAGGGTAGCATGGTTATGATACCCCAAGCTTGTCGAGAAACGTGGAATGGTATTCCAATGAGACGCGAGGGTCAGCTGTTGACAATGAACTGCGGCCTCTTCCGGTCCTTAATCCCACGACCAACAAAGCCGTGGGAACGCTGACCATTCCCGGGCCCAACCCGGCCTCGACACTACAAACCGTCGAGCTACCACCATTGAAGGATGACCAGATCCATGTCCGGGTGCGCAACTTCTCCAACGACGCCGCCATCCGCACCTTCATCGGCTCCCCCGTTGAGAACCACCAGATGGATCTTCCGCTTGTCCCCCTCGGCGCTCCGATGAGCTCAAGCAGCCTGGCGAGGTTCTCGAGTCCAAATCGCCCAAGTTCAGGGCCGGCGACATGGTGATGGAGTTCCAGTCGGTGCGTACGCCTGCGTCAACTACAAGAGTCCGAGCTTTGACCGGGCCCTGAGGGATACCACGCCGGACGAGGTGGATATGTATTTCGACAACGTTCGGGGGCGCGGTGCTGGATGCCGTGCGCTCGCGCATAAAGAGGCATGGCGTGGTTGTTGTGTGTGGAGCGGTCAGCATCTATTGTACAACAGCAATGAGCCAATGCAGCTGCGCAACTGGTTTGAGATTGTCTCGCAGCGGTTGACTGTTAAGGGGCTCTTCATGTTTGACCATATGGATGAAGTGCCCGAGACGATGGAGAAGCTCATCGCTGGGGCGGCGGAGGGCCGCATCAAGGTTGATATTGAGGATGTCGTGCCCGCCACTATCGAGCAGGTGCCGAATGTCTGGCTGCGCATGTACGAGGGCAGTAATAAGGGGCAGCTGATCACCCAACTCATCAGTTAGAGAGGCCGAGGGTCTGTGGAGTTTGTAAGCCCGGGTTAGCTAGCGATACCTGCCTGCAATGGTACTAATGCGGTTGTTCCACGGACCTTCAGGTATTGTATTGTACCGACGTGGAAAGAACCCATCGGCTGGACTAGCCCCGGGTTCTCGTCTTCCGCCTCGGCCGCCCGCGTGCCTTCTTCACAGTCTTAACCGCCTAGGTTGGGTTTGCTTTCCCTCGTGGCTGATGTCTTCGGGTTCGCCTCCTTCTCGCGCCCCAAGGAAGTAATGGCTTTCGTAGAAGAAGCTGCCTTCGCCGCCTGCGCTACCTCGGCCTTCGTCTTTCTAGTATCGAATATATGGACGAGGTCGAGATAGACCTTGACAAAGTAATATTGTTAAGGTTGGTCTGGCTGAGACCAGAACCGACTCGTGACGCTCCTGTGGCCATTTCCCATAGCTGAGGCATCGGAATAGCCGGGGAGGCTGGCGCAGGATTCATTATCGGCTTGGTGCCCGAGGCACGAGTAACGGGTGGGGCGAACTTACCACCGCACCCATTAACGACGTGACAATGGCGAAATCCTCTTCTTTGAATCTTTTTTGGCTCCCGGGGATTTTCGCCTTCGGCGTACTTCTTCTTCCACTTGACTAGTCGGTATCCTGATTCCGGACTATTCCGGTATCTCCCAGGTGTTCAACCACGGGTCATCGAGAAGCTCTCGTGCCGTCTTGCGATCCTCAGGTCGCCAAGTCAGCATCCCCCTCACGAAGTCCAAGAACATGGCTTTGTTCCTTCCGCGGAGGACGCGCTCAGCCTTCTAGAGGCTGTATCCTTCGACAATCGGGACATCCGCAATCCATTGCCCTGTTGCGCACGACTAGTCAGTCTAGTTCCTTTGACAAAAGCACCTAATCACCTCACAGCAACCTACCGTCTCCCGAGAAGAACTCCCTGCTCCGGACCCCGCGCTCCAGCAGGTTAGTGGCGGTGGCCCCAGCAGCGCGACAACTTCGGCGAGGTGCGCTCGCGTGGTATATCCCTGGCCGTTCGGATCCTGGCAGTGGAACAAGTGGCCGTCCTCGAAGACGTCCCAGATCATGGCCCGGACATTCCAGATGTCGGCAGGGTAGCTCCACGGGGCGCCGAGCATGACCTCGGGCGAGCGGTACACGTTGGGCTGCGCGCCGTGATTGCGCTTCACGTCGCCCCTGACAGCGGCGCCGAAGTCGCTGAGTATGATCCTCCCGAAGTCCTGAGGCAGACCGGAGCGCCGGGACGTGTAGACTGGCATCCGTCGACGTACTTGCGGGCCGAGGGCGTCCTGAGCTCCTCCTCGAACAAGGCTTGGAGGATTCCCTCGTCGACAATGGCGTGTAGCATGTTGTCGGCCTTGATGTCTGGGCTGTGTTATTTCCAGCGTCGATACCTAAATACAGACCGTACTTGTGACTTGCCTGTATGAATGAGGTTGCACTCAGTGTGAATATAGTCAAGAGCGCGGAGAAGGTGCTGGAGGCCGCCCTTGAGGAGCGCCTCAGAGAACCGCCCCGCAGGGTTACGCAGCAAAGATCCTTCCAGCTATCCCACATGGGCTGTTGCACCAGGCACTGGTGATCCCCGCCCGGCTGGCCGATGGAAAACATTTCAAGGGCGGTTCTCACGTGCCGATGTCCGGAATGCAACGGATCCGCCTTGTCGATGGCCTGGTAAGTGTGGAACTCGTCCCGGCATGTCTCTCAGCGATCCCGGGCAAATATCTTTAGCGTAACAAAATCGTGTTCTCTACCATTCTTATCTTAGTCGACGCTGTCACCCTTGGTTTGCCTACTGCTACAGACTCAGGAAAGAGAGGGAACGTACTGCAGATTTCGCGCGAGCCAAACAGTCGAGGTGGACCCAAAGCCCAGCTTGCCGACGACTTGGTACTTGGAGGAAAAGAGATCTCCAATGTTGACGGGACAGTAGTTGCCAGCTTTGAATACGTCAAACATCTCTTCTTCGAGCACTTGATTTGCGGGCACAAAGGGCGAACCCGGTCATCGGAAATCGTAAAGGTGGCGACGGGGTCCGCTGTAGAAGGGCTCTCGCCCATTTCAACAATGGTGCCATGGCAAAAATATTGCTTCAAACTGCAGCAGCACCAGGCTTTCTGGTTTTAACGTTGGAAATGGAGGTTCGTCTTAGATTCAGCCCAGTATTTGCGGTATAACGGCCGACTTCGCCAGCGGTTTGGGCCCAGCACATTCTGGACCCACATAATTGTAAATTACCTACCTGGTACCTAGCCAGATAAAACATAACAGAACAAAACCGCATATTATTGGCCGTTTCCTGTTCTTCAGTAACTGTACTTACCTGGCTCCTTATGACTGTTACCCCGAGACCTCGCCAACCAGCTTACTTCCTCCTTTCCCATTCTTAGACCCCCCTGACCGGATAAACGGCCCCACAGCTCCGATTCGGCCCGGAGATGTGGAACTCCACAATCGGCCGTGCTCCGACGGGGAATCTGGGAAGCCGGCATTCGCACATTTAAGTCGCCAATAGGAGCTCTTCGAGCAATTGGTTCAATATATCTGGCGAGCCCATACAAGATGGCCTTTTGGTCCAGGCTTTTCCAGTAGTGGTGCGGGACTTTGGGACGGCTACACAGCTCAAACTCCAACTGTCGAAACTCTTCCAGGGCGTACAAACCACAACCAGCAAAAACCTGTGAGTCTGATTGTGGTTGCTGTCATTCAACCAGCTCGGGATACCTGATCAAGCATAACTGCCACCGTAAGCCGAAACACCACCGAATGTGTAAGCTGGGCTGCTCGGGGAAATTCCCAGCGGTGATCTTCGACTTTGGTCATAACCGCCCCACCTAGGTTTACCTACACTAACAGCGACGCTCAGAGATGTTTTTTACGCGAGTCCTCACCACAGGCTTCGGGCCCGCATCGGCAAGAAAGTCCGTTCGGTGGAATATCCAGTGGGGAACATGTACCCGACGAAAGGGTTTTAAAGAGATCAACAGCATCCTTTCCCCATATGTTCCAATTCCCCCCTTGCCAGTCCCTGATTTTCCCCAGCTTCCCCGGTCAGTAACCCCAGAACCCCTCCTTTTTGCCCTGCTCACGTTCCACAGACCCCCACCAAACCGCACGACACTGAACCATGGTCTCAGACTTGGTCCATTTGCGGGACGGCAGTTTCGGTAGTTCTTACCCATGGGGTCGTCCGTGGTTTGTTGGCGGGATTAATCCCGGGGAAGGAAGCAAAACGTGCTTCATATAAGCCTAGCCCGTCGGCTCACGTACCTATATCCTCGGACCATCGTTTGTGACACCAACCGATTAACAAGTCGGCCCGGTAAGCATCATGAAGAAGTTCCTGGGCCTCAGGGGCCAGGCCCTCAACCTGGCCGTGGGCACCATTGCAGGATGCGACTTTCTTCTCTTCGGCTATGGTAAGCCAATCTTGCGGTGTCTTTCTTCGTGCGTGACTAATAACTGGGGGACTTTCAGACCAGGGAGTCATGGGCGGAATCCTGACGCTCAAGATCTTCCTCGACACCTTCCCCATGATCAACCCCGGGGTTGCCGGGATGACGCCAGAGGAATCGTCGACCCGGTCGACGTACCAGGGCATTGCCGTGGCCTCGTACAACCTAGGCTGCTTCCTCGGGTCCCTGATCACCATCCTGCTCGGCAACCCGCTCGGGCGCAAGCGAGTGATCATGCTGGGCACCTCCACCATGGTGGTGGGCGCCATCCTGCAGGCCAGCGCCACCACGCTCGAGCAGTTCATCGTCGGGCGGATCATCACGGGGCTGGGCAACGGCGGCAACACGTCGACCGTCCCGACGTGGCAGTCCGAGACGTCCAAGGCGCACAAGCGGGGGAAGATGGTCATGATAGAGGGCGCGCTCATCACCTGCGGCATCATGATCAGCTACTGGATCGACCTGGGCCTGTCCTTCGCGCCCGGGTCCGTGGCCTGGCGCTTCCCGCTGGCCTTCCAGATCGTGTTCTGCATCGTCATCCTGGTCTGCATCCCCTTCCTCCCGGAATCCCCGCGCTGGCTGATCCTCAAGGGCCGCGAGCCGGAAGCGCGGGAGGTGATCGCCGCGCTGGAGGACACCACAACAGACGACAAAGTGGTCGAGAACGAGGTGCTCGCGATCCGGGAGACGGTGGCGGAGATGTCCAGGGACACCTTCGCGGACCTGTTCACCATGGACGCGAACCGCAACCTGCACCGCACGCTGCTGGCCTACTTCAACCAGGTCTTCCAGCAGATCTCGGGCATCAACCTGATCACGTACTACGCGGCCGTCATCTACCAGGGGCTGGGCATGTCCGACTTCCTGTCGCGCCTGCTGGCCGCCGTCAACGGCACCGAGTACTTCCTGGCCTCGTGGCCGGCCGTGTTCCTGGTCGAGCGCGTGGGACGCCGGAGGCTGATGCTCTTCGGCGCCGTCGGCCAGGCCGCCACCATGGCCATCCTGGCCGGCGTCAACTCGCGGTCAACAACAGAAGATAATAATAATGATTCTAGTAATAATAACACCGGCCTGCAGATCGCCGCCGTCGTCTTCCTCTTCGTCTTCAACACCTTCTTCGCCGTCGGCTGGCTCGGCATGACCTGGCTGTACCCGGCCGAGATCGTGCCGCTGCGCATCCGCGCGCCGGCCAACGCGCTGTCGACCAGCGCCAACTGGATCTTCAACTTCCTGGTCGTCATGATCACGCCCGTGGCCTTTAACAACATCGGCTACCGCACCTACGTCATCTTTGCCGTCATCAACGCCTTCATGGTCCCCTGCGTGTATCTCTTCTATCCGGAGACGGCCTACCGCTCGCTCGAGGAGATGGATAGTATCTTTCGAAAGGTGGAGCCCGGCTGGAAGGGGGTGTTTACGGTTGTGCGGCGGGCGAGGGTCGAGCCCAGGTGGTATGGTAGGCATGGCGAGCTGTTAGTTGATTATGAGCAGACGTCTGAGCATCGGCGGCGGGTGTTGCAACAGCAGCAGCAAAGTGATGGCGGGTTGGCGGTGGAGAAGACCGCTGAAAAGGCGGGAAGTGCGGCTGCGCATGACGAACATGTGAGGTAGATGGGGGCAATGAACAGGATCTGGGTTTATAGACCAGGCAATAGATCAGGGAAACCAAATTTCAAGCTGGCAATCTCTCTCCCAACATGCTCCCACTAAAGTCTTATCAGTCACTAATAGGAGCCTGTACACATCCCCTCCACTTCAAGCACCATCCTCCTCTCCCAACAGCAACTCGATAGTCTTGTGATCCACAATAGCAGCCGCGTACCTCTCCACCATGGCCATAACACGCTCCTTCTTCTGCATCGCGTACGGCGTCAGTATCCATCCCAGCCCGGTCATCTGCGCCTTGCGATACTCAATCCGGACCTCGGGGTCGTCACACCCAAAAGCCGGGCCACCACACTCGGCCAGCGCCTTCAGGTAGTGCTCGACAACCTCCCACTCATGCTTCCTCCGGTCCTCCACCGCCAACATGCCGACCACGAAGTACGCCACATCATGAAAAACCGAGCCAACATGCACAATCTGCCAGTCCAAAAACCGAACATCCGTCTCGTCGTTGACCGGGTGGTACGTATTCCCACTATGCGGATCTCCATGCAACAGACTACAAAACCGCGGATTGCGCGTCGCGAAATATGCCTCGAGCGCCCGCGCCGTCTTCCCGCGATCATCCCTGATAACCCCCGGCAGCGGCGGACGGCCCTCGCCCAGCACCTGCTCGTCCCACATGGCCAGCAGCGCGCGCATGGTGGTGTCATACATGGGCACCGCCAACCACGGATGCCCCTGCTCCCCTTCCCCCTCATCACCATCACCATCACCATCACCGTCACCAGAATCTGCCTTCCAACCCCAAGTACTCACGTGCAGCGCCGCAAGCTGCTCGACGCCCCTCCGGCAGGAGGCCGCGCTGTAGGTCCGCGTCGGGTCGCCGAACGCGTGGCCCGACCGTGTCAGGTCCTCCATGGCCAGGATGGCCTGGTCGGCGCTCGCGGCGGCCCACCAGACCTTGGGCAGGTGGAGGCGGTTGCTGCTGTGCGGTGGTGAGGGTGATAAGGATAAGGTGGAGGAGACGTAGTGGGTGAAGAAGTCGACCTCGCGCGTGAAGACGCGCACGAGCAGGTCCTTGTAGCCCAGCACGGCGAACATGGCTGGGTTGAAGCCGCCCTTGAGGAGGATGTGCCGCGGCTTGTTGTTGTTTAAGCTGTCGTTGTCGTTGTCGTTGTCGTCGTTATAGGACAGCGTGATGTAGAGCTTGCTGGCCGAATCGAAGAGGCGCTGCTGTGTGATGGTGAAGGATGAGATGGTGGCGTCGTTGAAGATGGACCGCAGCCACTCCAGCGTGACCTCCTCGGCCGTGTTGGGCATCGCCATGGCGGTGATGGAGCCCATCGTGGCGGTGGAACCAACAGTCCAAGATAGGTAAGTTAGGAATGCACTGGCAAGTACTAGTAGTTAAGCCGAGAGGGAGCAAAAAAAAGGAATGCGATGCGCCGGCGGAAGAACAGGTGCACTTTCTAGGACCAGTCACCGAGGATATAACGTCTCATGAGATCTAATAAGAGGGAAGAAAGGGGGGACCGAGCCGAAGAAGTTCGAGCATGGCGATCCATACCGCCCGCCTCTCTCCCTTTGCACATTGCTCCGTGGCGCGTGACTAGGCACCGCATTGGACGACGCAACGGCCGGCCCCCCGCGTCTAGAACGCCAGACATGGACCCGACTCACCCGAGTGGCGTTGTTGGTTCTTGACAGTCTGAAAGAGGGAAAGCACGTGAACGGGAGATCCGGAACGATGCCGCGGTCTCCACCTGTCTGGTTTCTGTGTTGGCGATGGTTACACTGCTGTCACCTGTGCATGGGGTTCCTCATTGCTTGAATCTCACACTGCATGTGTGACAGCTAGTCCCTATGTGATGCTGTTCAACCACCGCCGATGTTATAGGCTCACTTGCAGCGGGCTGCGAGAAATTGTGAGATTGGCCCAAACTGCAAATTGGGGAGCCCCCGTGACGTAATGATCAGTTTGGTCTTGGTGCCGGGAAGAAAGCTCTTCAAAGTTGGTTTTGGATCCCAGAGTTAGGGGCTGACGAGAGGAGTACTGCGTAGCTATCTAAGTAAGGTAGGTAAGTATCTTACCGTTTATTAAAGAACCATTTCGATTTTCAAACATTTCCTAGAACAAATTAACAATGAATGAGAAGCATCTGCGACGGAACCGCTCCTCCTCCCTCCTTCCTCTGAATCCTGTTGCCTCCCTGCTAGACGTGCCCCAACAACATGGGTGCTCACGATGCCTACTACCCGTTCGTGATCGCCTTCCTGGTACTTAATTCAACCGTTGTCGCCTTGCGCCTGTACACGCGTGTGGGTGCTCGAAGTCACTAGGTTACGACGATGTGCGTGCTGGGGCTCGCTCTGATGTATCCGTCACTCCGTCTTGGACTCGGGCTCCGACTCATGCTGACTTCCATTACAAGCCGGTTTCATCACTTTAGCGCCTTCGAGATGCAGGCAGTGCATTACCGGATCGGCGCCACCGTCGTGGAGCCGATGTTTGACGCGGTGCTGGCGGCTAAGGTGAGTCGAAGTCTCAGATGGTTAGAATAAGCAGAAGAGAACGAAGAAGAAAAGACGAGTCCCGTGCTATTACTAGTGACAGAAGAAAGACCGGCGACAAACCGAAGGCTCCGCCCCGGGGGGTGCGGAGCGCTACTCACACCCGTCACGATGACAAGGCTACACGAGGAAACGGAGATGAAGTGGTAGGTAGGAGGAGCTAGGCGGGCACAACTATATCTCCTGTATAACATCGCGGTATTATTAGAGCGAAACAATTGTTCATTGCTACCCGTAATTGGGTGAATATTACTTACCCCGTGGATGTTATAGAGGCCACCTCTTCGGACGAGAGTTGTTTCACCAAGCTTTCACCAAGCCCTATCTAGGTATGCTAAATACACCAGGATCGACCCAGTACACCAAGCGTTTAGTCGTATCCCGTGCATCGGCGTCTCACATGCATTTGCACGCGGTCATTCGACACATGTCCTACAGTCCAGAAAGCTCGCCTCCTTTTATATGCATCGCCTGGAGATTCCACAAATGCGGTGCGGGCCGTCGCGCCTAGAATCAGCGAGCACAAAAGTAACGGCATTCTCCGCCATCGACAAGACAACGTGCCCTGGTTAAATGGTTGTTGAGGCTGCCTCTCGGTCGTTGCTCCCCTTTCCGCCACCGAATGCAACGGCGAGAAGCGGGGGCTGCGGGGAGCCCCTGATTCCCTGAAATACCGAGGGAGCCAGCTCCAAGCGGCATTGTCACAGCGTTAGGCACGTGTAATTCACGGCCGAATCAGAAGCAGCAGGTCGGCTTTTCGACGTGCCAATGCCAACCGCGTGGGTTTCAAGACGCCAGGAGCAACTGCCAGCAACGGAAGGCGATTGGATACGATCATTCAGATTCATGCTGCTCGCCATCCACGCCGAGACTTCACGCGTAAGAGTATAAGAAGTCGGAAGGATGCCGCGAATGGCGGAGAGGAACACTCCTGAGCTGCTGCTGCAGGCACATCGGCAAGTTGGAGATCTCAGATCTGCAACACGATCAACACGATCAACACGATGCGCGGCCAGGTCCTCCTCGCGCTGCTGCCGGCGCTCGGCGCCCACGGCATCCGCATCATCCAGTCCAACGACGACGGCTGGGCCGAGCTGTACGCCAGGTCCTTCTTCAACGCCCTGACCGCCGCGGGCCACGACGTCGTGCTGTCTGCACCCGCTGAGAACAAGTCGGGATCAAGTAAGCGATAATCCACCCGCCATTACTTACTTAGCCTAGTAACCCTAGGACTCACCAACTAATTTACCCTCAGGCTCCCTCGACGCCGAACCCGCCCGCCGGAGCAGCGCATGCCAATACAACAGCTGCCCCGCCAACAGCGGGCCCATCGGGCGCAACGAGTCCCTCCCACGCCTGAACTGGGTCAACTCGTACCCGGTCACAGCGATGCGGTACGGGATCGACACGATCGCACCGCCCTTCTGGAACGGCGCCGCCCCGGAGCTGGCCGTGTCGGGGCCCAACGTGGGCAGCAACCTGTTCCTGGCCGTGCCCTTCTCGGGCACCGTCGGCGCGGCCGTGTACGCGGCGCACGACGCCGGCATCCCCGCGCTCGCGTTCTCTGGTGCGTCGGACGGTACCTTGCCGTGGAATACGTCTCCAGAGCCGCAGAGGAGTAAGGTTTATGCGCAGCTGGCGGCGCGGCTGACTGATGCGGTGGTGAAGAGTGGCAAGCCGTATTTGCCGGAGGATGTTTTTCTGAATGTGAATTTCCCCGAGGTGGCGGGGAGTTGCACGGATGCGAGCAAGTTCAAGTTTGTGCTGAGCCGTATTAATATCGGGATTTTCTCGGAGAAGGATGTCGAGTGGTGCGGTGATGATCGGCTGCCGACTGAGCAGTCGGTCATTGATGCCGACGGGTGCTATGTTTCCGTCAGCGTGGGCGATGCGAATGACAAGACGACCGTGGCGGCGGATAAGCAGGCTGTGGTGCTGAATAAGTTAAAGAGTATCCTGACTTGCTTAGCGTAGGGAAGGGGGAAGGCTGGGAGAGGATGTCAGAGCCGAGATAGTGTTGTGATGAAGGAAAGTTAGTTTATACTTGGGGGTCCGAGCGTTGTTCCACCGATGGCCCCCTCTAAGGCAATGTTTTATTCTCGAACGGAATCTTTGAGGAGTCTGTGGAGTGCCCTTGGCTGGAAAACAGGGAGCGGAGTTCTGCCTGATACCGCTCCTCGTCTTCAACTTTGGCTTTCACAACGGTGTCGATGTCTTGCACCCAGAAGGCCGAAGCCTGCTTTAGGTCGGAAACCAGGTCTTTGTTGGCGAAGAACTTGGGGACAATATGGTCCTCAAAGAGAAAGAGCCAGCCGTTGTGACCGGATGCAGGCCCAGAACCACACCGTCTTGGAAACCCATGAGTCCTGCATCGTACGTGTAATGGGAATGTCATGCGCCGGTTGGATGGTCGTAATCACTTCGTCATCGACTCCGTCTCGCGGCCCATCTGCCGTCTGAAGCCCTCGGCAGCGCGTTGGTGCTGGATGGCGAGAAGGAAGTCGCCTTCGTCGTCAGCGGCCGATTCAAGTGTGCGCAGCCGCTTGTGCAACAGTATCCCAGTCATTGCGGGTGATGTTGTGGGCTGAATAGCAAATGGGCACGCGATGAGAAAGCAAGGAGGACGCAACAGAGCTTGTAATTACATTGTTTTGGTGGTTGCCGATGCCATCTGCGGCCCGTGCGGGGAGCAGTTGCGACGGGATTCTAGGCCAATGATGATGCAAAACCCGTGGATGTCATGGGCATAGCCGTCTCTGCCAAACGAGCAAATCACGCCTTTCGGAGGGAATTAAGCCTCGGTGCAGTGACGGCAAGAGAACCTCTCGTCGGATCTAGTTCTTCGCCTTAGTCGTTCCAGCAGCTGGTGCCGGAGCGTGCTTGGAGTGCTAGCCCACCACAAGAGGTGGGCGGATCGGTCCGCAGACTCCGCACCGGGGATGCACCCCTTCGCCCCACTCCGCAGCCCCGGACCCAGCCGGTCCGCAATCTCCACTCCACTCACTGATTACAACCGCACCGGCCTTTCCGACTGACGCCGGATAGGAAATGGTACTGTTGTGGTTGTTGATGTGAAGTAGGTTAAGGATGCCGTATGTTGGCTAGACTGGGTTCAAAACGCCGACTCAGACCAGTTCTGGGGTGTTGGTTGCTGCGATGATTTGATTGGCTGCATTCAGTATTTGTGGGTCCTGGTAACGGTAAGACAGCAATTACACCCAAGAACTGGTCTGAACCTGAGAAAAAACGGGACTGATGTTCCGCCGCAATTCCGCGTTGCTATATTTAGCGTTAAAATTGTTGTCATGGTCATGCCCTGGTACCTAATGTCGACTGCTGACTTTGCCGGGGACATCTATGTAAATGCTGTCAGGGAACCACAGCAGGACTCGAATATGGGATATGTTGTAATGGGTAGTTGGAGGTATGGCATGCAGGCACTTTGCAGCGCTGGTTTAACGGAACTTCTATAATTACATTGGCTGCATGTCTAAAAGGGGCCGACCCTCCCACGAGTCACAGTCATGATGGTCGAGAGACAAGGAGTGGAGGTCTGTTGTTAACTTGTATTTGTACCACCACATTGACAGATCGTACTCCAAGATATCAACCAAATTAGTGACCCGTCAACTTTGTATCTGCTTCTCCACAGGCATTGCTCCGCAGAAGAGAAGAAGGCGAGCACGCGACACCCCGATATAGACCGTGGTTGACGGTCGGGTCAGCTTCGATCCGATCGGGCAGGGGTCGGCCCAAGTCAAAGCGGGCCGCCGCGACTTCTTACACCGAGCTTGGTTGTTGGAGCTGCCCGATTTGGCAACAAAGCTGAGTGAGGCTCGGTGTCAAAAGACGTCAGCGATTTAGCTGGCCGGGTCAGCCGTGGTGATGCAGGGTCCGAGGTCACATCCTGAGCTCCGTAGGGCTTCATCAAATCGCCGGTCTTACACCATCTCCTGCCTCACGGTCCACCTTGGAGGATATGGGTCGGATACCTATATAAGACTCCTGCCCTCTCCTTTGTTTGTTCGAGACCTTAGTAGCCATCCCAGGACCGGCCAGCCACTCCCACTCGCCAACATGAGGTTCTCTTCCGCCATCTTCGCCGCGGCGGCGGCATTCCTAGTCCCCGGCTCGCTGGCCGCCGACCCCAACAACTGCAACACCAAAGACAAGGCGCGCAACGGGGCCGACTTCGTGCTGGTCGAGCAGGCCGACAGCGCGCACGTAGCCTCCCTCTCCAAGGTGCTCAAGCGGGTCAACGTGTCGGACGTGTTCCGGGACGGCAACCACAAGATGACGACCGACTCGGCGGGGCGCAAGCGTTGGCAGCAGACGGCCGACTTCAACGACATGGATACGGCCAAGTGGATCCCGCAGGGCATCTCGTCGACGGCCGACGCGGCCGCGGGCGGGACGTACGAGGGGAAGGACGGGTGGCTCGTCAGCTGGCACCGCGACGACGACAAGAGCGTGCGCGTGACCTTTGTGGACCGGGCCAACGACAAGTACCGCCACGCGCTGCTGGTGTATCCGCACGCGGCGGATAATTTCAGGGAAGTCCCGATCCATGCCGGCGGTATTGCGTGGTACGGCGACAAGCTGTATGTCGTGGACACCAGCAAGGGCATCCGCGTGTTTGATCTGGCCAACATCTGGCAGGTCGGGTCGGGGGACGCTGTCGGCAAGACTGGGAGCAAGTACTCGGCGGCGGGCTACAAATACGTGATTCCGCAGATCAGGTCAGTCAGGATTTACCCCAATAATAATAAACACACCCCTTTTACATCCGTATGTAAATAATAGACTCACAAGATTGTCCAGATGGTACAAATGGACCTCCACCTTCCCCTTCCGCTTCTCGTGGATCTCCCTCGACCGCACCACCACGCCCAACCAGCTCCTAGTGGGCGAGTACCAGACCGACACGACCGCCAAACCGGTGCGCATGGCCAAGTTCGACCTAGACTCCAAGACGGGCCGGCTCAAGACGGAAGGGAAGACGGCCAAAGCCGCGTGGGCGTACTGCGTGGGCATCGAGCAGATGCAGGGCGCCGTGTCGGCGAACGGCAAGATCTACATCTCGCGCAGCCAGGGCGCCAAAGCCGGCGACATGTTTGGCTGGGTCCCCGGCAAGGCTGCCTACAAGAACGCCGGCTTCTTCCCGCGCAGCCCGGAGGATCTGAGCTACGATAAGAGGCGGGGCGGGAGGGTGTATGGCCTCACCGAGCATGCCGGGCAGCGGTATGTTATTGACTCGGCCGCGAGCAAGGTCAAGTTCTCGTGAGTCGTGGGAGGGCTGGGAGAATTTAGGGGGGTGGCGGGCGAACTGGAGGTGATTCGGTTAGCACGTAAGTACATTGTTTGTACATAATCTTTTATGATTGGGGCTTTTATTGTTTGTGCTGTGTTTCTTTTGATTGGAGACGTGTGAGAGGAGGCTCCTGATCTTCCCCTGGGAGTCCATCTCCTCCGGTGTTGTCAAGGGATCTCCTTGGAACTCTCCAGGGGCTTGGCACGTCCCGGCGTCGTCAACAGGGAGGCTGCTTCTTCTTTATATGGAGTACGTTTTACTGTACAGTACTAAGCTGATGTACTAGAAATTGCTAGGAGGACTCGGATTGCTCAATGCCTCTACCTTCCTATAGCGAGTAATAGAGCAGTCGATGTAGTTCCTTTGTTCCGGGACCCCCAAAGGCTAGCCAACCCCATTGTCTTGTCGAGTCTCCAGATACCATTCGCGGACCGTCCTCCATTGGCGACGGACGTCTTGCTCTTGCGGGGTCGTAGAGCTGAGCACAATGGCCTTGCATTCCAACCGGTGAGTTAAGCCCGTCTTGGGCCACAACACAACCAACAGACGGAACTAGTTAGTGTTCTTTGTGTTTGATCCTCGGGGCGGTATCGAACCCGGCGGTCCTTATTCGCTAGACTCATTCCCGGGTGGCGATTAGCGAAGGCAAGAGCGAAACCTGTCATAATGTTTGCACATTACCAAGGTCAAGTCTGTTGCTTCGATCAATCGACCTTCAACTCCACCTTCAAGTACCGGCGCCATGGCAACCCCCTAAGTGCTAGTAGACTTGGTATTAGTAGTAATTCAAATCGTGCAACGCGATTCATCTTTCTTTGACTTGACCAGCTATGGAAAACCAGAGCCAAAGCCAACCTCGGCAAGCAGTCCCTCCTGCGCGGCGGCTTCTCCTGCCTGCCGTCCGTCCTCAGAGTCACTATGCGCAACCTCCTCCGTCATCCCACCCAGGCACCATATCTCGACAGCGGAAAGCTCACTCGACAGTTGCTTGCGAGACCTGCCGAAAGCGCAAAGTAAAGGTGAGGGATAACTGTTGAACAGGGCCGCAACTCCTTTTACACCTCAAACCTTAAGAGACACGCAGCCTTCTAACAGCCAGAAAAACCAAAACACCAGTGCAACGCGGCCCGGCCAACATGCAGCTACTGCGTCTCCGCCGGCGTCAACTGCATGTACGTGACGCGCTCGGCCAGCGAAACACACGCCCAGGCGCTCAAGCGGAAGCTGTCTGAGGTGCACGACCGGGAGACGACCTTCCGGCAGATCTTCGAGCACCTGCGCGACCGGCCCGAGACCGAGGTGGGCGAGATCGTGAAGCGCATCCGGAACGGCACCGAGCCCGAGCAGATCCTGCGCTACATCCGCGACGGCGACCTGCTGCTGCAGCTCGCCGTGGTGCCCGAGCGGCGCTACCGCTATGTCTTCCCCCTGGTCACGGAGATGCCGGCCTACCTCCTGCGCCCGGACAACCCGTACCTCGACACCTGGCTGCACGACCGGGACCTGCTCGCAAACAGCAGCGCGCCTACAGCCTTGCGAGGAGAAGAGGAGCTGGGCCTGTCCAAGTATAGACCGTCTTCTTGCCACCGGCAGCAGGATCAGGAGAGTCCCTATTTCATGCCGTACCACGTCGCCGAGATGGTCGAGCCGTTGCTGGATAGCGTCAAGCCGTCCGAGTGGACGACCGTGTCGGCGGACGACGTGCTGATGCGCAAGTTGCTCGCGTGCTTCTTCACGAACATCTACCAGCTGTGTCCGTCCTTCCAGAAGGACTACTTCCTGCAGGACATGATGTCTCTCCGGCAGAGCCACTGCTCCTCGCTGCTGGTCAATTCCGTGCTTGCCGCCGCCAGCGTACGTATTGTACAATAAATACTACCACCTCCGCCCAGTTGTGACCTGCTCTTTTGAGTCCCGACCAGCTGACCAGTTTTCCTTTATTATTACAGTTCGCATATCCCGACCTGCCGAACAAGTACGAGTACTGCAACCCGGCGAGCCTGCCCTACCAGTTCGTGGCGGAAGCCAGCAGGCTGTGGGACACCGAGATGGAGAACGACCGGGCCCGGCTGACCACGCTGCAAGCCTCCATCCCGCTTACGGTCGCGACACAGATCATCGGCAACACGATGGCTCGCTTCCCCACGGAGCGGCTGGCCCTGGATCTGGCCGAGCGGATCGGGCTGTTCAATAACCCTGTCGAGAATGGCACGAAACCGGAGACACGGATGAGCAGGGCGAAAGCATTCACCGGGTGGGCGCTGTTCAACTTTCAGTGGTTAGGGTTACCCCTTCCTAACGTAGTTTGAGTTTAAACGGTCAATCAAGGTTCCCGGTTTCTGACAGATGTATCCTATGCATTCACAGCCTAGTTGCCTTCGGCCAGTCCGAGCCGCCCCGACTGCGAGCGCCCCCGGACATCCCGTTGCCCGACCCGGACAGCGACCCGGACTGGTACGGCCAGATAACCCTGCGGTATCCGGCAGACCCGAAGTTGTACACGACACACTTCCCGCAACAGTTCTATGCGCAGTCCGGCATGTGCCGCGCCATGGCGGTGGCCTGCGTGTATAGACACCAGCTTAGCACGTATCTGAGCCCCTCCGTGCCTAGTCTGCCAGTTGTCTACGATTATTACCACAGCCATCTTAAGCTGTGGTATGATAGCCTTCTGGGGTCGCTCATGCCGTCCCGGATCGCGTTCCCGGCCCAGTTCATACTACAGTATGCTATTTTCTTTTCTCTGCCCCTCAGCCAGCCATACGTGCTTTAACAATCCCAAGTCCCAATGGCTAACGCGACTCTAATTCCCCTACCCTAGTTTGCATTACCAGAACATACTCATTAAGCTCTTCGAACCCTTCTGCTCCACCACCACCCCAACCATTCCCCCACCAACAAGCCACGACCAAACACCCATCGAAATCCGCGACGCCGCCGCCCGCCACCTCGAGACCCTCCTCCGACTATACTACCTCCGCCACGGCTTCGAGCACCTCGACATCTACTCGGGCTACTTCCTCACCCAGCAGGGGTTCATGACCCTGCAGAAGCTGAAGTCCCTCACCACCACCACCACCACCACCACCACCACCACCACTACCACTACCACTACTACTACTCCTACTCCTACTCCTACTCCTACTCCTACTACTACGGGCACTACTAACACCCCTCTGTCCTCCTCCTCCTCCTCCTCGCCGTCGTCGGAAATAGTAGAAGCAACCGTAGTAAGGGACCTCCGCTCCACCCTGCTCCTCGCGGCTAAGGGCCTGCACGACCAGGGGCGGTCGGCCTACATTCACAAGGCGGTGCTGCGCCGACTGAGTGCGGAGATGGCGCCGCGGGATAGGCGGGCGCTGGCTGAGTTGCTTGGGGGAGGGGATGATGATATTGGAGCTTGAGTAAGGTAGGGAGGGAAGGATTGATGGCTACTGATGTCAGTGTCAGTTAGCGGGGGTGGTGGGGGTGGCCGGTGGCCGGTGATTACTAGAAAAAGGGGGAGAGGGTAGAAGAAGGGGGGGAGAAAAGGTATTGGATGGAAGAGACGGGGGGGGGGGGGGGGGGGGGGGGGGGGGGGTACCATTAGCCGCGCCGTTACGCTAAGGGGCACAGCACAAAAGTGAGGGAAGCGGGATGAATAGGCATAGTAATTGCGTACTCGTAGAGTTGCCGACACGCCATCATGGAGAATATTGGATCCAATACCACGCGGGCACGGAGGGCATGCTACAATTGACGAATTTAACGAGAGCGGGATAAGGGGCAAGACCCGGTTGACGGGCGGCAGGCAAAAGCTGTATGATGCAGGACATACCTAGCTGGAACCGGGCTCACCGGCTGCGGTTTACACCAGCTTTCCGGCTCTGCAGTTGGACGTTGCTGGGTGGGCGTGGTGTCGATATCTCGCTGGCCCCCACGAGGGCAGGTCGTAGGAGAGGGAGAAGTTCACCCCCTTGGGCGAGCGCGGTTAGTTGGTTGTGTATCTGCAGTCCGCGTATGAGTGAGCCATGGCAACCGAGATCGGCTGTAATTAAGTACCTTATGTATTAGTATGTACATACATTCGTATGACGTGCAGACCATCCAAGACCCAATCCATCACGGCCTGCGTCCAACATACCTCCTGACGGAGCATCCGACCCGTCTGATACTGACAGTCTCTCATCCGACGCGCGGGACGCAGACACGCATCTCGTTCTGTTTGCAGCACGTACCGGGTTTTGTCTGAGCCGGAGCGGCCCCCGAACCCTCATTGGCCTGTCTCCGTTACATCGTCTTGACCAAGGCACACACGGTTAGGGCTGGAGGCGGCCTGACATATTAACCGGTGCGTGACATCGCGGCGCGGAAGGCTTGCCGCGGGCGGCGGGATGCACCCGGATATTAACCCCGCTCTATCAGCCGCTGCCGAGCCGCCACGACCACAGCGCATGTCATGGCGTATCCAGATGGAGACGTATAGTACCACAACTACAACAGGTGCCGGTTAGAAGGATTGGGACGCGATATCAGATCCATGGCCGCTGAGATCGGAACGCGATGAAACATACTGCTGCATTAGATGTAGACGAGGGTATTGGATACATTGCTCGATCCACGGCCACTCTTTCGTCACGACGTCCTCCAACTCGCATGCTCCCAGCCCGATCCTGCTACCTTGTCCAAGCGGAATTGGCCACGCCAAGCACTTGCTTGTCTCACCCACAGCACACGGTTGCCTCCTTCGCCGCGCTGGTTTGCTGTCCGCTGCGATGGCGTCAGACCTGAGCTGCCATTTGTCAAGGGCCCGGGCAGAAACACTCACCCGCCAAGGGGCTCCCAGTGGAAGACGAAGCTGCCGATGTAGGCGCCGATGAAGATGCAGATGATGAAGTAGCCATTGTAGTACATGGCGAGTCTGTGCCTTTCTAGTCAGCAAGCTGCCCCGTCACCGACTGTGACTGAACAACGAAGCAGAACGCACAGCATCACAAAGTAGGCCACGGCGAACTGCAGCATATGCAGCAGCGCCCGGATCGCCTGCTCAAGGATGGTCGGACGGTATCCCTTGTTGCTGCAGTCGGCGGCGGCGCACGTGGGCGCCGGGCCACCTTCGTTGGACATCCTCTTCGGTGAGTCGGCGGCGGCCACTTGGGATACCTGCGAGCTGAGGTACCTGTTGATGAGGAAGCGGTCATACTCCTTGACGGCGCGGCGCAGCAGCTCGAGCACGACGACCAGGAGCACGACGCCGATGCAGGAGCCGGCGAACACGCCGTGGGATGTGATCTTCCATGACGAGGCGATGAAGCACGAGTCGATCGTGTTCCAGTTCCAGAGCATCTGTCATGTGTGTGTCAGGCGGCAATGCCGATACCGTGGTGAGAGAGAGATGGACGAGATAGGTGGGATGTTGTTTACAGAGATCTTGCAACCACTTCCCCCCATGCCCCCCATGCTGCTCTTGGCTGTGGCAGTAGCCGCTGCGGCCCCCGCCGTCGAGGTCGCCATCGCACCGTGGTCCATGTGGTCCATGAATGATATGTGGATGCGATGGGGCAATTGGAGTTATGAACTCGTTAAGTATCAGCAAAATACTGGACGAGGCAACCTGGACTCGTTCGTCACTCGAGGGCCGAAGACAACCTGACAAACAAAAAGACGAAAGGAAGGACCGTGTTCCCAGCGGCTGCGGGCCGAGATTTAAAGGCAGGTGCACCGCGGAACAGCACCGGTGAGCCGCAGACGGCGGCGTGAAAGGCAGTTGCGAACCCTTAGTTACACATGGGCACCGCCCGATGGCTTTACCCCCACTGCAACTTGAAGTTCACACCTGCCGTGCCATGCGAATGCGCCGCGGGATCTCTTAGGTTGGCAGCTTGCATGTCGGGTCAGCCCACCGCCGAACCTCGTGTTGGTGGTCGTCCTACCGAACAGAGAAAGGCCAGTGGTGCCAGATGCGTGCATTTGAGCAAATTTGGCGACACACAGGGTCTGCCCAGTCAACCACCGCCAAACAATCTGCGGTTGGTGCCCGCCGACTCCTTCTTGTTTGGGATCCGGTTTGCGCACTCGAGAATTTGATAGTCTTGTCTAGCATTGCACAAAAGGCAGACTCGGGGAAGATAGCTGGATTGCACGTGGCAGTCTTCAATAAGCTGGGACGCAGTTCGAGATCGCACAAGGAAGGAAGGATCCGGAAGTCAATGCATTGCTAGCGGTTCTCGACAAACGACTCTCGATCTGCTGATAAGAAACACATGTTCCCATCCGAAAACATGAGGGACTTGGAAAGGCAGACAAACCCACTCGCAACTGCCTCGTTCCTTCTCGTTGTGATGACCATCCTCAGATGAGCAAAAAAAAAAAGAAAAACTAGCTCAAAACAACGCCGTTCCCCGCCCAAGGTCCAAGGATGACGCTCCACGAAGGAGCGCAACCAAAGTAACCTATATGGTAGCAACAAGGGAAGAAATATCCGAGGTAAGCCGCCATGTTCCATCCACATTGCACCTTTGAGCGCCTTACAAACCCCGAGGCCAAAACAGCGTCAACATCGCGCGTCGCAGCCATCCGATTCCAAGCCAGGTTGCCGGCCGAGACGACGACGACTCCGCCGCCGACATGGGGAGACCACCACCACCGCCGGCGGTATTCCACCGAACGACAGCCGTCAGGACCGTATCCGCCTGTTTCATCGAGCAGTTGGTCGCCTGACTCGGAATCTGCCCCGGAACAGGGTTGTACTTCTCCAAGTTCTCCTCTTCGACCGCCACTGTAACATTAATAATACTCGGAGCAGGTTTCGCCTCGGACACCGACTCCGTTGCGTCGACAACCACCGCCCCGTTCCTATTTCCCACCACCACCGCCGCCGCCGCCGTATGATGATCAACCACCCTGTTCTCCTCCTCCTCATCCTCTGCCTCTGCCTCCGCCTCCGAGTCCGCTCGACCCTCCCGAGATTTTAGATTTGGCGCGAAGAAGGAGAAGAAGGAGAAGAAGGAGAAGAAGAAGGCCCTCCCCTCCTCCACGCCTCTCAACCCGCCGCTCATCATGCCAATCTTCCCCCCATTAACATCATTATCATCATCATTATTATTATTATTCAGCAGCGCCGCCCGCGCAAACTTGGCCTTGGTCACGAGCACCACGTCGCTTCCGTCCAGCTGCACGACACAGTTGTGCCAGGGCGTCGGGATGTGCAGCAGGTCGGGCGAGGAGGAGGCGACGAGCTGCCGGTTTGGTAACAAGCTCTCGACGGCGCGGACGGTGGCTGGGTTGAAGAGCTGGATGCCGAATTTCGGGCCGGCGTTGTTGTGTCTGGTTCATGTCCCATTGTTAGCTTTGGGGGCGGATAACTTGAGTGTACAACATCGTTGGTTGGTCGGAGTGGAGGAGCGGTTGGAGGAGCGGGTGTGACATGAAGAGAAGGGAGGGAAGGAAAGAGAGGGATAGGGAGATTGAAAGGCAGCTTACGCGTGGATAGACAGGCGGACATGGTTAGGGAAGATCATCTCGACTAGGTTCGAGTAGGCCTGGTTCCGCTGTTGGATTAGAGCGTGGCTATCAGCTAACACACTCACACACATATCAGGGGGACGGCACTAGGACATGAGGATGCATACCAGGATCATCTCGAACGCCACCTTGGCCGACAGCTTCTTCCGCTGCGACCGGGTCATGCCCCGGGTATGCGGGTGGTGCTCCAGGTCCTCGAGCATAAACCGTGAGAAGCCGCGGTAGAGCGCCGTGACGGCCGCGTCCCTGGAGTCGATCTTGGCGCGGACGGCCGCCTTGCGCGGTGCGCAGCCCGCCATCAGGATGCGCCGGCACAGCTCGGCCTCCTCGGTCACCTCGGTGCGGACGTGGTGGTCGATGTCGGGGATGCCGAGTCGGCGCGCAAGGTCCGAGAGAGTGAGACCTCCCTCTTCTGGCTCGACGGTACTAGTACTAGTACTAGTACTAGTAGTGAGCTGGAACAGATCGACCAGCGACTTGAACCCAATACGGTCGGTGTTGCCCCGCCGCAGCCCAATGGCGCGGTCCATCGCCTTGAGCTTCCTGCCGTACGCATCCACAGTCGCGTCGTCGACTCCGATGCAGTCGCTGAAGACGTGGCCGTCGCTGATGATCCACAGCTTGGCGCCCGGCGGGTAGATACGCTCGATGGCCTCGACGAACCCGTGGAGGCGCTCCAGGGCCAGCTCCTCGCCCCGGTCGGGGTCCGGGCCGGTCACCTTGTCGCCGTTGGACGACTTACAGGGGAATGCCGGCAGGCAGAACTGGATGGCCGCGTCTTGTGTGGTGAAGTGTCGGACTCGCTCGGCGAAATATGCCCGGCCGCCGTGGGCCCATCTGTCATTTTTTCCTTCGTATCGGAGATATCGGTCGAAGAGGTCGACGATCTGCTCGGTGGTAGAGTCGCTCTGCGCCGTCGGCTTAGGGTGCGAGAGCACGCAGAGGTCGGCTTGGCTGAGGATGCGCTGGACAAAGAACTCCTCGAAGGGTTCATCTTGGGATTTCTTTGAGTCGGTGCTGACCATTACTGCAGTAGTTTTGTTGTGGACGGCATGGGGGCTCCGGTATATCTTGATACCCGTCTGTTGCATCGCTTGAGTGTCTCCGGACCGCAGCGACGTCCAGTTCTCCTCCACCCACTGCCTGCGTTCACCAGTGCAGTGCAGGAGCTGTCCACTCCCATTGTAGAGGAAGGAGCCCTGGAAGCGGTGATAGAAGGAGTGGCCTTCGTTGGAGAAATCCATGGCGCGAAACGGACGTTGACCTTGACCGGCCGGGTATTGAACGGTGATGAAGTGTCTTTATATGATGTGACCTTTCTGATCGACACACGAGCCGGATAAAGTCGCCTTTATAAAGGGGCAATTAATCTAGAGTGTGGTGTCAGATGATCGAATTCTAATGTGGTAAACAGACTGGAAGTCTCCTAATGCCGTCGATCCACCTTGAGAACACGGCGGCCTTCTATACCTCATTCCGTAACCACACTGTCGAAGGACGGGCACGACCTCAGCACTACTTGGGCAGCTCCTAACTCAGTCATTCTCACAGTCACAGCCACCCAGCCTCGCACGATGGAATTAGGAAACCCGGGGCTCGCACTGCTGCTCGGACTACAACGCACCGGCGAGGGCGGACGGCTACTGGAGAAACGCGCTTAGGCGCGCTGCCATCCTTCCGATTGCACGCTGTGAGATCGACAGTGTTAGTTGCTTTACTGCTTATCTGTCAGCCGACTGCGCCATGCTGGGACAGATATTGCTACACTGGGCGGTGTCCTAGTTACCATGGAAAATGGAGTGCTGAAGCTTGGTATGTACCCCAGGACCCAGGTTGGGAGCTGGGTTAAGAGTACCTTACTTTTACGGCCATTACCAAACAGTCATCCCCGAGGAGCTCGTGGGAGAACAGTAGATAACTTGGTAGGCTTCATCCCTGCCCTAGCTGATCACCATTGAGCACAGCAGCAGATGTTTGCGGGATGCAACGCTATTCTTGGAGTGGAAGTGCGGCTCCGAGAGCATGCCGCGTCTTTGTGCCGGCTCGGCGCTGCTTTGGCGAGCCCACCCGGATCCCGGGCGCCGGTTCCACGGTTGGGTGGCTGTGGGGGGTCGGGGCCACGGTCACGGTACTACTACTGCCGCCCCCCCCCCCCCCCCAAAAAAAAAGCATCGGCAGTGGTATGGCGTGGCCAACCGAGAACTGCACCCAGAGGACTGGTGGGCGGAGGTGATGACGGTGATACGGGGGATTGGCTTGCTGCAGATAGCCGGAAACACCAAAACCGCAGCCTCTGGGTTGTGATGCCTTTTGTTTGTATGCGTCGAGGCTTACTCTACCTCGTCGAGCCGACATGCGCAGATGCACCAAGAAGCGTGGCAGGCAGGCTCGGCATGAGAATGAACAATGAGCAAAGAGGATACACAACAGCTACACATGGAAGGCTCAGTCACAGGTCAAGTATGGATTGACGAAGACATTCATCGAATCAACAATCTCTGGGAACTGGATCACTCACCAATGACGGGTTCACTTGGAACTGTTGAGGAGGATCTCAAGTTCCCCCAACGCCCACTGCCAGCTCCGGTCATGGCCTTCCTCGGATTGAGCGCCATATAAAGAACAAGATTTGTCCTAGCCCGGCCTCAACGTTGCCATCAGACAGTTCCACCAGGCTGACCACCACAGCATCAATGGGGTCCGTTACGGATTGCTCTTCATCCTGAACACGGGGAGCACCAAGCTGTACTACAAGACGCGTCATTCGACGGTTCAACCTTAGGATATCAAGTGGTTGGGTACCTGATGCTTCCCTCGGTGTAAGCCGGCCATCTATTAATGTCTTGTCTAAGCCTCAACCCCCCTAGACCAGTAACTATCCATCATCCCCCAAGCACAACAACGTTACACCTTCACCTACGACGAACCCTTCTTCTCTGCTCTTAAACACAAGCCTCAATCCCCGGGGATAGAGCGGGCCAGCCTAAAGCACATGACACAAAACCTCATTAGCAACCAAGGACAACATAACAACAGCAATAACAAGCTGACGTAGACCGTATCACATAGTAGTACATACCGGTGTCATCCTCTCAATCCACGTCGGATCCAAGCCCCACGTAAACCCTCTCACCAGCGCCACCAGTGTAATCCTCACCTGCAGCATTGCGAACCTCTCGCCGAGACACGCACGCCGCCCACCATGAAAAGTGATAAACTCGGCCCTGGCCCGGCGCAGGCGGTATTCTTTCCGGATGGCACCCAGCGAGTCGCCCCAGCGGGCTGGGTTGAACTCCTCGGCGTCTGGCCCCCACACGGCCGGGTCCCGGTTGGTCGAGTAGCAGTTGTAGCCCAGGTAGGTTCCCCGTGGTATGACAAGGTCGCCGAGCAGGGCATGTGAGGACGCTTTGCGGTTGATGAGCTGCCCGATGGGGGGGAAGAGGCGCAGGGATTCGTAGATTACAGAGGTTAAGAAGGGCATGGTATCCAGGTCCGTAGCAGTGGTGGTGGTCGTTGGGTCATCTCTGCTCCGCTGCTGGATCTCGGCGAAGAGCTCTGCCTGGGTGTCCTGTGCGAGTTCAGTTTCAATCAGTCAGTCAGCCCACCATGTCAGATTCCATGGGTATAGTTTGGCTGTCCGACGTACCGGGTGCTTGGCCAGGAGATACAGTGTGGAAAGCATACACAGCTGCGGGTTCTCCTGGCCGGCCACAAACGTGATGGTGAGGTTGTCCAGGAACTGCTGGTCGTTCCATTGCCCGCTTTCTCGAGCTCTCAGCATCCTCCTGCCTAGCCCATCAAAACCGGTGGCGGAGGTGGACAGCGGGTTGTGCCTCAGGCTCTCTACCAAGGCACGTCGCAGTTCATTCTTGAACTTGCGGACCATCTGACGAGCCCTTGCGCGGCCGGGGAGCGGGAGGCGGTCCAGGATGGGGAAGTTCATGAAGATAGGCTTGAAGATCTCGCGCTTGACGGCGCTCTGGAGGACGTTGAGGGGCACATTGGCAGAGCTCAGAATCTGCCATGGTCAGCTGCGCAGTTCCGACTGGGATCGTGCTATCAATCTTAGTATTTCCTGGAACAACGCACATCAAGGTCCATCTGCAGCAGCACCTCAGAGCAGTTGGCCATCGAGTACCGCTGCAGAACCTCCTGCACCGGAATGCCCCCCTTGCCAGCTTGCAACTGCACATCCCGCAGAATTTCGCAGAGCCGGCTTGCATTGCTGGTGATTTTCTCCGCGTCAAAGCTACCCTGCAGACCCGGTCTGACCACAGACCGGTAATTCCGCCACACCTCCCCGTGGCTCGAGATGATGTTGTCCCCGAGGAACTCGGCGAGCACGCTGTGCGGGATCTTCTTCTGGTTGCCGCTCTTCTGATAGCGCTCCTCGTCCTTGAAGATCTCGGCCAGGTAGGACGGCCTGTGCACCAGGATGTTCCACTGGGCGCCGAAGAAGAGCTTGACGGCGCCGTGCTTCCGGAGCGGCTGCTCGATGTGCCGGCGGAAAATGTCGGATTGGTCCACGTCTTGGACGAAGGGGATGAGGGCCACCCAGAACGGCACCGCGGGGATGTTGGTTGGGTATTTTGGCGGGAGGAGGAAGATGAAGTAGACGAAGGAGAGGAGGATCATGGACCCGACAAGGGCCAACCCTGCGATAAAGAGAAGCATCTTGCCAATTTGCCTTTTAGCAGCTTTGTGATGTCTGTGTCTGATGGTGACCGGCCGACATTGCACTTGAAAGACTAGAACTTAATGCCGGCCACATGGTATGGCCAAGCTGTATAGGCTTGCTTATATCTTACCAATTCGTAGCTGTGCAGGCGTGTGCGATACACCGCTTCAAGCTCAAACAATGGATGGATCAGACCGATGGGATCCGACCGATGCCAGGGTGTGTGCAGGTTGTGGTAGTCGTGGGGGTGTGTGCAGCAGCCGACCAAAACAGCGGCGTAAATCCACTGGGCATCGGGCTGCACCTTCCCAGGACCCAGCAACATATCTGCATGCCCCTGTGCGCCAAGGCGGATGCAGTCCGTCCAAATGATAAACGGCCGCCGTGGGGACGAGTCATGGGTTGTCGAAATGCAAGCCGACTGTGGGTGCAGTCTGTGTTGTGCTACACACGGTGCCGGGGGTCCCGGGTCATCGAGGACCAGCTTGTTACAGTAAGGTCAGGATTTCGACCTCGCGGAAGGTGAATATAATCCTCTCCCGAAATAACGTCTAAGGGAATGGATTCGAGTACTCCTTGGCCACAGTATGTAGCTCAACAGAAGGACATTAGACAGCTAACTCCGAAAAGGAGAAAGGAAAACGTAGACAAACGTATCCAGAGCCGTACGCCAACGCCATTCCATCATGCCAGCATGATTTTAATCCCACATCCCAGTTCCCTGCCGGTTGTAAAGCTTTGGGAACTGCTTCACCTGCCACCGCTCTGGGAACTCCTGCCGCTATTGCTGCCAGTCCCAGTCCCTTGGCGACTTCGGCTTCACTCAGGGCTGGGGCTTCGGTCGAGTCTCAAGACAAAGCGAACAGCTGCTTCATCCTGCGGTTCTCGGCTCATAGCTTCCTGGAGAAACGCAATCATTTTGCCCAAGCGGGTTTCTTCAGCCACTTGTCGTACCGCAAGGATGTATCGCTGATCCGTACAGACAAAGCGGAGGTCGATAAAGTTGCTGACTTTGATCCTGGTGCCGTCTTCGGACTGCTTCGTCGACCCTTCACGTAGAGAGAAGCAAAAACTGAATTCCGTATGTCTACTAATACTCACTACGTTACTGGTCTAACCTCTGTTTCCACAGCATCGAGGGCAACTGCGTGATCATCGGGGCACGCATTCCGACTCTTTACCCGCTCCTCAAACAAATCTTCGGAGCTACGGTGCTCGGCAGCGCACCGAAGACTGCGGAGCAGCGCGCCCTCGTCACCAATCGGAGCTGCCCGAAGAGAACCAGCGAAATCGGAGACCCCTAAACTTATCAGGGCTGGATCCGGTGGGCGGAGTGATGGGCTCGGGGACGTACCTGATCTCAAGTGGGCTCCTCGCCCGTACCAACACCGCCGAGGAGTGGGCCGGGGAGACCGTTGCGGAGCTGGTGCGGGAGCAGGGCCATCTAGACAGTCCAAGGTCGGTGTTATAATGTTGATGCTAGTCCCTTTAGTTGTTTGTTGCAAAGCTCTCGGGGGACGCCGACGGGATACTAGGACGGCGGATGCTCTGCCAGTTGGCGCTGTCATATAAGGCCAACGCTACTACTACTAGGTAGGAGGCAAGACTTTATTACTACTAGTAGTATTAGTGAATATGCATGGTATTGCTGCTGCCGAGTCTACACATAACAATTAGTACTAGTACCGTCAAACAGGAGGAACCCGTGCCGCAGCAGCCCTCCGCATCTTGGCCCTCCTAGCGGCCGCCTTGCACCGACTAACCACCTTCAAGCGCCCACCGAGCGCAACATCCACCGGCGAGGTAGCCGCGACATGAGCGGTAACCACCTCGTCCAGGGTATCCAGGACCACCAAGTTATCAAACTTCACACTAAAGAAGTTATCACCCCCATTCGCCACAAAGTCGAGCGTGACCACCTTGTACTGCGCCGCTCGATCCAGCGGCTTGCCCCCGATGGTGACGGCGACCAGCACATCACTGCTGCCGCCGTTCGCGGGACCGGGGCCGTACTCGATGACGATACCGCGGCTGACCTGCAGGAAGGAGGTGACGGGCTTGTCGTTGTCGACGTTGACTTTGGCGATGATGCCCTCGAGCGTCTTCCACAGCTGGTCGCCGGACACGGTGATCTCGACGATGGCGTTGCCGAAGGGGAACGCCGTCAGCACCTCGCCGCGCGTGATGGGCCCTGCGTCGATGGTCGCGCGGATGCCGCCCGCGTTGATGAGCGCGAAGTCTGGGCCGGTGGTGGAGCCCGGGGTGGTGGCGTTGAGGCGGTAGGTGAGCATGGCGCTGTGACGTATTATTATTTAGCAACTCATGATCTGATGAGAAAAGGAGAGCGGGATTTGCTGTTGATGATAACTCACTCCGTAACAAAGTCGCCCAGCAAACACTCCCCCTTCTGGCACCCGCTCTGGTCCAGCACGACCTTGCTCTCGCCCACCACCTCCTTAGAAAACTCCTCAAACGGCACGCGCCACTCGTCGATCTGGGCCTGCAGCTCCCCGTCCTGCGCCGTGGCGTTGGTCAGGTGGATGGGCGCGCCGTGGTAGGCCAGCACCTTGCCCTCGGCGTCATACGTCACGTCGATGTAGCCCAGGTACTCGCCCCAGCGGTAGGCCGTGACGATGAACACCTCGTCGCCGGCCCGGTTCTCGACGATGGTCGGATAGGGCCCCGCGGCGCCCGGGAAGTCGCCCAGCGGCGTGTGGCTGTGCCCGCCCATGATCAGGTGCAGGCCCGTGGTCTCGCGCGCCAGCCGCTGGTCCTCGTCGTAGCCGATGTGCGTGATGGCCGCCAGGCGCGTGATGTTGGTGGTGGCGCGGATGAAGTCGACCGTGTTTTGTACGGCTGCGACGGGATCCGAGAAGAGCGTGCCCTGGCCCGGCGACGAGATGCCCGGCGTCGTCTCGGTCGTGACGCCGATCACGGCCAGGTCGTACTGCGGGAAGACGTGGAAGGGCTTGATGGTGGCGTTGAGCACCGGGTGGTCCGAGACGATGTTGGCGCTGACGACGGGGAAGGTCAGGTTGGCGAGGAACTCGCCCAGGTGGTCGTCGCCCCGGTCGAACTCGTGGTTGCCCAGCGTCATGGCGTCGAAGCCCATCTGGTTGAGCGTCTCGGCGATCTTCCACCCGCCATAGAACGAGAAGAACATGGTGCCCTGGAACTCATCGCCCACGTTGAGCAGCAGCGAGTCCGCGTGCGACGGCCGCGTCTCCTTCAGCACCGTCTTGACGCGCGCGTACCCGCCGAAGCATCCGCGCTCCGGCCGCGTGCAGTCCGTGCCCGACGACGAGAACTCGTCCAGGTGCGCGTGCACGTCGTTGATGTGGTAGAATGAGATGTTGTAGTGGCCCGCCTCGTCGACGAAGCGCTTGGATAGCTTCCGGCTGACCAGATGGTCTTCGCCGGCAGCCTGCGCCGTGCCGAGGAGGCAGGCAAACACACCCGTTGCGAGAGATGCCTTCATTGTTGTGGCAGGCGGTTGGCTACCTTCCTCGCCGAGATCACTGTAAAGACTGGAAGTGGGCGGAACGCCGGAGGTGAAGTCGCGCTCAAAACTTCAAGCTCGACTGGATTCTGCAGTGTAACCGCGGGGAGCTGTCCATTTGCATTTGTACCATGCACACAGTTCGTTGACCGACCTCCCTGACTTCATTTTCATCCTTTCCAGGTTAGGTGGCAGGTGCGCATCCTATCAGCTTGCTCCCCGCGAGGCCGTGTCAATGAACGGCAGCGGCGTTGCAACACAAGCTCCGGCCACCTTCCATTTTCGGGACCATCTCTGGGCGCCAAGGCCATCGCCAAGCGTTGCCTATCGCAGCGTGCCAAGCTCTTGGTGATCGCCACACGATCGACACACGTGGGATACTGATAACAGTTCCCCTTTTACCTCTCCGCGGTTGCGGCTCAGCGGGTCGGCGCGATGGAATTTCACGAGAATGTAGGCATGTACGGTATAATACTGTAGATACATCGCCGCCAACTTGAAAACAGTAACTATAACATTTAGCTTGGTACCGTGTCAGGCGAGTGACATTATGCATATGCTTACTGACCACAATGAGTGAGAGAACAGCTGAAGAGTCAGGAGACCTCGAGTCACGACTCCGCAATGGTTCCCAGCTCTGGTGGTTATTAGCGAAGCTCTCTTGGAATCTGCGACTAGCCGTCCACTGCATGTGCGACTCCATGCCTCCCTAGGCGGTGGAGGATGAAGAGCAGAAAGCGAAGCCGGACTCCTGGAGGCTATCCGGACGGAATTCGACTACAAGATCACATGGGATAACAAACCGCATAGTTGAGCTCGACCAAGACTTTGAAGTCGCCTTGACGTTGACGTCCTCGCGGTTAGATTACTTAGGCATAGACGAAGAGCGTCAAGCGTCTGACCATCCTCGCCGCGATCTTCCTCCCGCTCAGACTTTCTTCTAGCCTTCTAAGTATAGGCTCGAGACTTAGCGAGCTGGGGGTCATGTTTCCATGATTATTTCGCGATGAGCTTGTCCATTGTATCTCTAATGGTCCTGATGTACCTGTACTAGAATGTACGTCTGGGACCGATCTGCTAGCCAGGCAACCTCTCTTCTAGAGATAGTCCTTTAATTGCTCCTAGATAGTGTAAAGCCCTTCTTCAAGTCAATGCTCGGCCCGGGAAGATCGAGGAAACTGTCGTCTTACTGTTTCGGCTAAGGGGTTGTGGCCTCCTTCTGGGTCGGGGTTGTCCAAGAGATGTCTTTAGGTATGAAGGTACTTGGCTCCGCCACAGCAAAGTTCGCAGACTGTCTCATTATCGTCGGGCTTTCTGTATTATCTCGCTGGCACTACTATATCTGGCAGGTACGGGTGCTGAATCGGCGGATTAAGCAAAGGGGAAGGAGGCAGTCACCAGCGGCATCACCTTAGCAGTACTAGTAGTTGTCTGCTTATAATAAGCCGGAGTGAGTAACTAACTCAAAACATTGTAGATTCCAGCCGAAACAAAACAAAATATTTCCCGAGAGAGGAGCTGGCTCCTTTCTTAGTCACATCCCAGGAAGGGAAGGCTTTTGAAGATACAGTAATCCCCAGCAGACATTCGTCAAGGCATATAGACTTCAGAATCAGTTACATTCACTACCTGGTAGTATTTCCCCTCAGCTAACCCGCCCTACAACTTCGGCACCGCCGAACCCCCCTGACTCAACTCAAACCGATCGAGCATCATGACCTTATCCCACGCCTTAACAAAGTCCCTCACGAACTTCTCCTGCCCATCCGCCTGGGCATACACCTCGGCAACCGCCCTCAGCTCGGCATGGCTACCAAACACCAGATCGGCCCTGGTCCCCTTCCACTTGGTCTGCCCCGTCTTGCGATCATGTCCCTCAAACACCTCCTTGCTCTCATCCACTGCCTTCCAGGCCGTGCCCATGTCCAGCAGATTCACAAAGAAATCATTCGTCAGCTTCCCCTTCTTGTCCGTAAACACACCCAGGTCGCTGCCATCCCAGTTGGCGCCCAGCACGCGCAGGCCGGCCACGAGCACAGCCATCTCGGGGACGGTGAGAGTCAGCAGGTGCGCGCGGTCGACGAGGAACTGCTCCGTCGACACGCGCCTCGTGCCTCGGCCATAGTTGCGGAAGCCGTCGGCGTAGGGCTCCAGGTGGCCGAAGGAGTGGACGTCGGTCTGCTCCTGGGACGCGTCGGTGCGGCCCGGGGTGAAGGGCACAGACACGCCCGGCGCGGCGGCTTCTAGTGCGGCCACGCCGCCGAGCACGATCAGGTCTGCCAGGGAGACCTTCTTGCCGCCCGCGGCGGAGGTGTTGAACTTGGCTTGCACGCCCTCGAGCGCCTTCAGGACCTCGGCGAGCTGGGCTGGGTTGTTGACCTTCCAGTCCTTCTGCGGGGCCAGGCGGATGCGGGCGCCGTTGGCGCCGCCGCGCTTGTCGCTGCCGCGGAAGGTGGAGGCGGACGCCCAGGCCGTGGAGATCAGCTTGTGCGGGGCGACGCCCGTGGCGAGGATGTCCTTCTTGAGGGCGGCGATGTCGTTGGCGTCGACGAGCGGGTGGTCGACGGGCGGGACGTAGTCTTCCCAGAGCAGGATCTCGGACGGGATCTCCGGGCCGAGCCAGCGCGAGCGCGGGCCCATGTCGCGGTGCAGCAGCTTGAACCAGGCGCGCGCAAAGGCGTCGGCGAACTGGTCCGGGTGCTCGAGGAAGCGGCGCGAGATCTTCTCGTACGCCGGGTCGAAGCGCAGGGCCAGGTCGGTGGTCAGCATGCGCGGCTTGTGCTTGACGGTGGCGTCGAACGGGTCCGGCACGAAGGCGTCGGCGTCCTTGGCCACCCACTGGTTGGCACCCGCGGGGCTCTTGGTCAGCTCCCACTCGAACTTGAACAGGTACTCGAAGAACTGGTTGCTCCACCGCGTCGGCGTCTTGGTCCAGATGACCTCGAGCCCGCTGGTGATGGTGTGCGGGCCCTTGCCGGAGCCGTACTTGTTGTCCCAGCCGAGGCCCATCTGCTCCAGCGACGCCGCCTCGGGCTCCTTGCCGACGTTGTCCGAGGGCCCCGCGCCGTGCGTCTTGCCGAAGGTGTGCCCGCCCGCGATCAGCGCCACCGTCTCCTCGTCGTCCATGGCCATGCGCCCGAAGGTGGTGCGGATGTCGCGGGCGGCGGCCACGGGGTCCGGGATGCCGTCGGGCCCCTCCGGGTTGACATAGATCAAGCCCATGTGCGCGGCGGCCAGCGGCGACTCGAGGTCGCGCGTGTGGATGTCCTTGTGGTCCATCTTGGACTCGTCGGCCGGCTCGACGCTGTGGCCGGGCACCCCTTCGTGGCCCTGCGAGTAGCGCACGTCGTTGCCGAGCCAGGTGGTCTCGCCGCCCCAGTAGGCGCTCTCGTCGGCCTCCCACGTGTCCGGGCGGCCGCCGGCAAAGCCAAAGGTCTGGAAGCCCATCGACTCGAGCGCCACGTTGCCCGTCAGCAGCAGCAGGTCGGCCCACGAGATCTTGTCGCCGTACTTCTGCTTGATGGGCCACAGCAGGCGGCGCGCCTTGTCGAGGCTGACGTTGTCGGGCCAGCTGTTGAGCGGGGCGAAGCGCTGCTGGCCCTGGCCGCCGCCGCCGCGGCCGTCGGACACGCGGTACGTGCCCGCGCTGTGCCAGGCCATGCGGATGAACAGGCCGCCGTAGTGGCCAAAGTCGGCCGGCCACCACTCCTGCGAGTCCGTCATCAGCGCCTGCAGGTCTTTCTTCAGGGCTTGGTAGTCGAGCGTCTTGAAGGCCGCCGCGTAGTCGAAGTCCTTGAGCGGGCTCGACGCCGGCTGGTGCTGCCGCAGGATGTTGAGCTGCAGTCGGTTCGGCCACCAGTCGTTGTTGCGCGTGCCGCCGCCGGCGACGTTGGCATGCCGGAGCGGGCACTCAGTCGGGGCACCCATGCTGTTGGTGTTGGCTCAGGGTTGTTCTGTGAATTTTGTTGTTGTTGTGTAAGTCGGCCACCCAATTTTATGTGCGCTTGGATGACAGACACAAAAGGGTCTGAGACGCTGAGGAGGGGAAGCAAAAGTTCAAGAAAGGGAAGGAGCGGGAACGCCACAAAGGGGTGGGAGAGACGGACCCTTTAAACCTGACGTGGTACTGCTTAGTGATGGTCTGCGTGTCCGGAGGGGTCCGATCGGCCCTTCGGAGTCTAAGGTATCCCCTTCCCTTCCCGCCACTTCCCGCCAGTAGAGAATCGGCACGGAGCTCTACTGTGGTAGACTGGCAGTGGTGGGTGAGGGTGTGCTGGCAAAGGTAGGTAGGTACCTTTCTGTAACACATACCCCGCTCCCGGACAAGCAATGCCGTGTCGTGTCAGGCCAACCCCGCATCCCCGACCATGAGGGGCAGTTCATCAAGACAATCCATTTCCATCTGATTCGCTTCCCGCGTTCTGCAATTTCTGTGGTAACACGCGTTTGATGATGGCGCCCTCCTGCGGACCGCCCTCAAAACGGCCATGCAGATGCCGACATCAGTCGATTTCGCTTGCCTACCTGACGTTTTCTTTCCTGCGTAATAAGTGAGCGAGGACTGAAGTCCTGGCTAGATGTAAGCTAGTACTGTGGCAGGTCACAGTTGAGGGGGTCCGTCTCGACACGGTTACAGCCGGGCGGGACTCGCGTCAGGAATCACGGGACGCCGCTGCACGAATCAGTAATATGCAGACCTTGATTGGCCATGCGTCGCCATGCTCGACTTTTCGGACATTCGACCGCCTTCGAACGCCATGCTCGCGAAGTCTTGCACCTTCGCCCAAAGTCCTCCCGCTAACACACTCATGAACAAAGAGGGGAAGGTCGAATCGACGACCCTCCGGCATGTCGACCCGAACCGGTAAGTCGCCTTCGGTGAGTGGGGCCGACAGTGGCGACAGCTGGCGAGCACCTTGATGGCCACTCGTGGCGGGTGGAGCAGCAGCGACCTTCTTCGAAAATTCGAAATCTCTTCCACGCTAACATATGACGCGCGGTGGACATTTTCCAGGTTCGGTCGTCGGCCAAACCCCGGACTCTACACGTTGACACGTGGCCACGTGTATGACGACTGCTCAAGAGTCAGATGCCCGCCACCACGGACATCACAGGATGTAGCCAGTCCGAGACCGGCTTGGTGGAACGGGACGCGCAAGAGGCCAAGAGCCAAGCATTTCGCTGTGGCGGCTCTTCCTTGGTGAGCAAGTTTTCTGACTCCCTATCGAAGATGTTAACTCGAATGTTCGATCGGTGTTGCAACGGAGACCGTCGGAATCACGCCTCTTGCTTACTAGTCAACTTTGAGGATTCGGTACTGGTGCTGAGTGCCGTCCGTCTCTACCGATATCAAGCAATGACTCAGTTATTCTGAAGAATCCACCATATAATGGCAAGCGAAAGTTCAGAGCTCATGAACAGTTCCACTTCGAGAGTTCGAGGTCGACACTTGCCCGCTTATCAAAAGTCGGTGGCCTGGAGCACGTCCAACACCCCAATTCCCACTTCACGTAGTGGTTGTACTCAGCTCCGCGGTGCAGAAACCGTACTGTTCTTTGTCTCCATCTAGAGGACTGTTTGGGATGCCCTTAACAACCTCCTCGTTCTTAGATACCAATACCCCCTCCAAGTCATCTCAGACGTAAGGCGCTTTCCGCATCGACAGGGCAAGGCAGTCATCTCAGACTGTCACGCTGGCTTTCTGTGCATTTGTTTGATCCCGATGCTGCTGAGCTTGTTCCTTATAAGCCAGGGAACGTTTCGTCGAGACTGCATGAACAAGTTTACTTCAATACAATCAATCAGCGAAGGCCCAATATGGAACGTCTGACAGCTAGTAGGGCTTTTACGCCACTAGTAGCTCACATTCAAGTTGCAACAAGCATTCTGGTCGTCTTTTTATGTACTACCCAGTACTATAAAACCCGTTGATCCCCCTAGATTCAATCCGCCTTTCCCTTCCCCCTAACCCTCCTCCCCTTCGCATTCCCGCCTCTCGACGACGACAAGTCCAGCGTGGAATCACTCCCAGCCCCTTCCTCCCCGGGCCCAAGCCGGAAACTGAAATCCACCACGCCCACCAACCCGCTCACACTCCTGACCAACCCCTCCAGATCGTCACACACGAGCGTGGTGCAGACCTGGAGAACGGCAAACTCGGCGTAGCCCGGCTGCTCGATGTTGCGCGGGTCTAGTATGTTGGCCACGGCGTCCCGGCGGATCCCGACCCTATTACTACTCCTAGTAGTACCTTTCCTTCCCTCCCCGTGATGATGCTGGGAGTGGGAAGGATAAGGATGATGGGAGTAGTAGTGATCCTCCAGTCCCGTGCGGGAGTTGACCATCTTGATCGGCGGCAAGTCGACCGCGGCCGATGACGCATCGTCTGGGATCTGTTGCTGCTGCGACATGCGCATCAGCCTGCGGGTCAGCTCGTAGGGCCGCGGGAGGGGCAGCCAGGGCGGCAGGCGCTGGCCCGAGAGAAGGGAGTTGGATAACAAAGTGAGCGTGGACACGATGGTGTGGTGCGTCGGCTTGAGCACCTCGAGGACCTCGGCCAGCGCGCTGAGCCACTCGCGGTTGGCCGTTGATACCGAGGGGTTGCGCGAGGGGTTGCGGGACGGGTTGCGGGAGGTTGGAAACCCGCCGTAATGCTGTCCGTAATAGTATTTCCGGGATTGGTGGGATCTTCCGTCGTCACTTTCTCCTCCATCCCGGTCCCGGTCGCGGTCCCGGAGGCTGATACGGGTCGGGTGCATCAGCGTGTGCTCGGTCAGGGTCAGGTAGGCCATGATGCGGGTGCTGCGCATGATGATCTGGTCGTAGGCGTCGCGCGGGAACTTCCCGCCGATGGTGGGCTCCCACCTCTGCCACTCCGAGTGCTGCGACATGGACGGGATGAGCGTCATGACCTTGCCGAAGATCTTGCGCCCGACCTTGAACAGGTGGTGCGCCGGCGTGCCGGGCATGTTGACGTCGCCCGCCGTGCCGTGCACGTTGGACCGCAGCGTCGAGTGGATGACGCCGAAGTAGTTGGCCAGCAGGTAGAGCGTCGCCGACAGGTCGCGCCGCAGCCATGTCCGGTCCGTCAGGGGGGAGGGGAATATCGTCCAGAAGAAGGCCACAAGACTCCCGCCTGCCACGCAGGCAAGGCGATATGGAGCGAGCAGGTATGTCCTGTGCGATAAATCATGTTAGCTTAGAAAGTTGATAGGATCTGGATAGGGAAACGTTGGCGGCTGACGTACGGGTAGAATGGCTGCCCATTCGCTTCGGCAACCTGTACTCCAATGGCGCGCACCTGGATCTCGTAGCCAATGATCAGGCACTGGGTCACGATGGTGATCATGACCCCCGGGATGAAGCGCGGGAACTTGAGGAAGAAGTAGTAGCAGATGAGGATGAACAGCCAGAGGAACACGATGACACCGGGCGTCCGTCCATCCACGATATACCACTCGATGAGCGATAGGCACATGGCCACGACGGTGCCGGCGACTCGCAGTAGAAAGCCGAAGAAGGATTGGCCGGATGCTATTGAACCACGTTAACTATCGGTATTATTTGACGCTTGAGAAGAGACTGAGGAGCGAAGTCCTTACTCATGGTTAATCCAAACGAGACAATAATCATAGCCCAAAAGAGCCTCTGCTCCATGAAGAACACCTGAGTTGGCTCTAAAAAAGCCACAATGCCAATCGACATGGTTGCCTTGCATTTACGAAAATCAGTATACGAATGACTAGTACTACTAGTAGTACGAAAAGGGGTCCCAGTAAAAATAAGAGGACTTACACAAGCAGCTCTAAACCCAAACACCGACTCCACAGACGCAAAGAACCTAGACACCTTCCTCAGCCCATTCCCAAAACGCTGCCACGGCGTAGCAGGCGGCAGATGCTCCGGGTCGCTCTTACGATTATACCCATCCCCGAAATACACAATATTCGCACTGGCGCCCATGCCCATGGCGCCCGAGGTCTGCTCCTCGGACGACTCGCCGCTGCGGAAGACGGACCAGAACCACTTGCGCAGGCGGCGGAACGAGGGCACGATCAGGCGCTGGCGGGCCATGGTGCCGTCGGCGACCTTCTCGTCGGCAAAGTCGACCAGGTCGCGCACCGCCGTGCCGGCCTCGTGCATCAGCTTCTCCAAGTACAGCACGATGTACAGCTGCACCTGCTCGCGCTCGCTCGGGAACGAGGCAGAGTCCTCCTCCGCGTTGTTGTTGTTGTTGTTGTTGTTGTTGTTGTTGCTTTCGTCGTCGTCGTGGAGGCGGATGCCCTTCCCGCAGAGCCAGGTTCGGAGCAGCTCGCCTTTCCGCGACTGGAAGGCGTGCAGTTTTTCGTCTAGGACCTGCGCAAAGCCCGCGGCGCCGGGTTGGACTTCGTCTGCTGCTGCCTCGATGTCGGGGTCGGCGGATGATGCTCGTCTCGCGGCCTTTCTGTCTTTTTTCTCTTTCTTCTTGGGGAGCAGTTCCAGGACGGTTCCCGCATGCTCCAGCCCCTGATCAATCGCCACGGACAGGATCTCGAAGGGCTCGTGCACCTGCTTCATGACCTCGTTCAGACTCTTCTGCGTGACAGCCTCGGCCACTCCGTCCTCCTCCTCCTCCTCCTCCTCCACCTCCTCCTCTTCGTCACCGGCAACATCCGCGCGGGGGTGTTCGGAGAAGCGCTTCAAGATGTCGATGATGGTGACCATGCCCTGCCTGCCGTTCGGTTCCGAAAGTCAGCCATGTTTAACTCGGCAGGAACCAAGGTGCAGAATTTAGTAATAAAGAATCCAAACCTACACTGGGATGTATACATTGCGAAACAGCTTAAGCAGCTCGCTCAGGTCTTTGGCGTCCAACTTACCCCAGGCAATGTCACGTTTGGCAAACGGCAAGTCAGTACTCAGCTTCCCAGCCAGTTCCCTCATACCCGCAGCGGCCGCCTCCAAAGCCCTCGCCGCCTCCGCCTCCTTCGTGAGCCCGCTGCCCTCTAAGGAGGAGGAGTCCTTATTACTAGTCCTAGTAGTAGTAGTGGCCTCCGGCTTGGCCAGGAACGTCTCGGTGTGGGTGGCGGCGCGCAGGATGCTGTCGGACTCGAGGCTGAGCAGGTAGTCCTTCTGCAGGGCGACAATCTTCCTCAGCAGCCCGATGGCGCCCGCGAATTCCTTGAACAGCACCAGCCGGCTGCTGACGGGGAAGACGACCAGGTTCACGGCCAGGGCGAGCGCCAGGCCCAGCAGCATGGCGGCGAGCAGTTTCTCGATGAAGGCGCGCGCGGCCGCGGTGGTGGTCATGAAAGGCCCGTACGTCGACGCCACGTTGACGATGATGCTGTACACGATGATGGGCAGGTTGAAGGCCGGCCGCTTGGCGCGCACCACGTTGCCGAGGTAGATGTTGGCGAACAGCCAGACGCCCAGCACGGCCGACTGGCTCGAGTTGTAGCGGTAGGCCGTGCTGGTGCTGGTGCCGGTGGTGGTGCTGGTGCTGGCGGTGTGGAGACGCGCCTGCACGGCGGACCAGAGCGCCAGCATCGACACGGCCGACCCGAAACACACGGCCAGCAGGTTGAGCAGCAGGTTCATGAAGAACTTGCCCCGCGGCATGATGGCCATGGCAAGCACGCTGATGACGGGGATCAGGTAGCCGATCGTGGTGAAGTAGGACGATACTGCGGTCGATTGGTACATGGCGATGCCTATCGTCGGCGGGATGGAGCCCCTTGGAGATCGAGTCGACGTGGTTAGCACTTGCAAGCGGAAGGCCGCTGAGTGTGTGTGAATAGCTGCATTCTCCTTACTTGAACATGGCGGTCAGGGTTGGCTTATCAAGACCCAACTTCCCAACCGTAGAGGCCAGAGAATTCCATGTCGTCCGTGTGCTCTTGCCCGACGCATCGCCATCCTCGTGTGCCCTGCTTCCGTTGCTGCCCTCCATAGCCGTGGTTCCGGACTCTTGAGAATCCGTGTGCCCATTGTGCTTGGGGCGAGTAGTCGTCGCGGTATCGAGCCGGCGCCCGGCTCCGGACGTCGGATGATGCGGGATCGCCGGCGACGGCTCGGCTATGGAGCCGGCAGAAAGTCCCGAAGTCGGCAGAGGCCGGCTCGGGTCCGTGACCTTACTCAGCGCCTCAAGCAGACCAGCAACAAACGAAGAAGAAGAAGTCTCGCGAGTAAGGGGGTGACGTGACATGGGGGGCTAACCATCCAAAGCTATGGTGTTTTGTGACAAGAACAAGCCCATTGCACAGCAACGCATTCATCAAGAAAACCACGCGAAATCATGCGGTCGTGGATCCATCATCCCGGATGCCGATCGCCAGGCGTTGCATTGGGAACTGCGTCATTGGACCCTCCCATCGAGCAGGGCTATGCTTGCAGGGTCCGGGAAATCATTGTCCAGATCTGCAAAGACAACAACACACTGCGGAACCAAGGGTGCTGGGATGATAATGTGGTATCGATAGTACCTGGCACCGACAATAGGGGTTAGGTCGAATGTGATGAAAAGAAACTTTGCCCGGAAAGGCCATCTCGTGATTAACAACTTATAGAGTACCTACTTTAGTCTATCTAACATTCTAAGTCCAGATCTACGATTATCAACATCAACCCCCCCCATCCCACTCCCACTCTAGTATACATACCTTAGTCTAATCAATCCAAATTCTGCGCCTCACACATCTTCCTATACATCCCCCCCAAGGCAACCAACTCCTCATGCGTCCCCCTCTCCACAATCCTCCCGCCATGAAACACACAAATGAGATCGGCATCCTTGACCGTCGACAGACGGTGCGCCACCGCAACCGTGATACGGTCGTTCCCGGCTTTCGCCGCGTCGGCCAGCGCAGCCTGCACGATCTTCTCGCTCTCCGTGTCCAGCGCGCTGGTGGCCTCGTCGAGCAGCAGGATCTGCGGGGCGCGGATGAGGGCGCGGGCGATGGCGATGCGCTGCCGCTGCCCGCCTGACAATTGGGTTCCGTTGGGGCCGGCGGGCGTGTGTAGGCCTTCGGGTAAGGAGGAGACAAAGTCCCAGGCGTTGGCGGCGCGGAGGGCGGATTCGATTTGGGAGTCGCTGACGGTCGCGGACGGAGTGTTGTTATTATAGCTTGTTGGGTCGGTGGTGGTGTCATTATCTTCGGAAGGGTTGTTGTTGTTGTTGTTGTTGTTGTTGTTGTTGTTGTTGTTGGGATCGTCGATGCCAAGGGCGATGTTCTCGCGGATGGAGCCCTGGAAGAGCGTGGGTTCCTGCTGCACGAGCGCGACGATGCGGCGGTAGAGCCGCGGGTTCAGGCTACTGAGCACGTCGTCGGCGATGCGGATGTTGCCCGTGGACGGGTCGTAGAAGCGCTCGAGCATGGCGACCACGGTCGACTTGCCGCACCCGGATGCGCCGACGACGGCGACGAACTGGCCCTTCTTGATCTGCTGAGGTGTCAGTGAAGGCCCTCCACGGTTCCAGATTAGATCACACGGAGTCATACCTCTAGGTCCACGCCCCGAAGCACGACGGCATCGGGCCGCAGGGGGTATGAGAAGCGGACTTTGTCTAGCGCGATCGGTCCTCCCGACCTTGGGCCCTTATCCCGGTTCTCGCTCGTCTCTCGCACGATCGGCTGCAGCTCGGACAGCCAGAAGATGTAGTTGGCGCCGTTCTTGCCCTTCGTAATGCCTTTACGACCTCGGTTAGCGATTTATTTCCGTCGTCAGAAGTGAAGCTTAGGGTAGGGGATCACGGACTGGTCGAGAACCCAAACATTTGGGCGGTGGCCTGACCCGCGAAGAAGACACCCAGGAACGCCACAAAGAAGCTGTACATGGAAGCTTCGGCAAAGGCCAGCAGACGACAGCCATACCAGAACCCCAGTGCCATGAACCAATACTCGATCGACTGGGTCAGCGCAAAACAAACCATGACGCCCGCCAAGGGCCTGACCACCCCCTTGACAGCGTGGTCCAGCTCGGCCGTGTAGCGATCCAGCACGCGCTCCTCGATGGCCAACGACGAGACCGTCCGGATGGCAGTCACCGCCTCGGAGGCAATGGACGCGCTGGTCGAGTTCTTCTTGCTGACATTGTGATCGAGCCGCATGTCGAGCCGGATCTTGAGCCAGCCAGCCCCAGGAGAGGGGGAAGCCCGCCAAAGACAACAACCAGCCCCAGCTTCCAGCTGTGTGCAATAGCGAGTATGCCGCACGCGACGACATTCAGCACGGCAATCAGAATCAGCCCAACATTGAACCCCATCAGCTCAAACACCGCCTGCGGATTCGAGTCCACGCGGCCGGCCAGCGCACCGGTACTATTATCGGGGCGATCAAAGAACTGCAGGTCCTGGCGCAGCATATCATGGAAGGTCTGGCGGCGCAGGCGATGCGACAGCGTCTGGGCGACGACATTGACCGACCAGCCGAGCACAAAGTACAGCACCAGACAACCGGCGGCCATGACGATGAACATCTTGGCGAAGAAGTCGCCGCGCTCGGTCATGGCGGCGCCCCTGAGCGTGAACACGTCCATCATGCGGGCCAGCAGGATCGCCTGGCCCGGGAACACGGCGGTCGCGCCCACGCACGAGCCCACCACGGCGGCATACCACCACCGCAGCTCCGGCGTCCACCGGAGCAAGCGGCCGATGACTGCCAGGAGGCCGAGTGGTTTGTGGGTGTCGTAGTTGTCGCGGTCGCGCTGGGCCTCAAGGCGGACCCTGTCCTCGGTCGGGTAGCGCGTCATGGTCTTGGTTAGCTCGACGGGATGGGTGGCATCACCGTTACCGTCACCGTCACCATGGTCATCCCCCCCCTCCTGCTCGGAGGAGGAAGAAGAATCCGACCCCCCGGAACCGCCACCGGCTCTGGCCGCAACAGCCAAGTCCTGAATCCGAACGAGGCGCGCGTAGGTGCCGTTCTGGGCAATGAGCCCCTCATGCGTGCCCTGCTCGACGATGCGACCTTTGGACATAACCACAATGTTGTCCGCCTTGCGGATGGTGGCCAGCTTGTGGGCGATGGTAATAGTCGTGCGGCCCTTCGATGCGCGGTCCAGCGCCTGCTGCACGACCCCTTCGGCGTGCGGGTCCAGCGCGCTGGTGGCCTCGTCCAGCAGCAGCACTTTCGGGTGCGAGACAATGCTCCGCGCAATGGCGATGCGCTGCTTCTGCCCGCCCGAGAGCAGGCTGCCCCGCTGGCCGATGTCCGTGTCGTACCCTTCCGGCAGCTCGCTGATGAAGTCGTGCGCGAAGGCTGTCTTGGCTGCTTCCTGGACCTGCGCCATCTGCTCTTCACGGGACGCGGTCTCCCAGGGGGTGCCCACGAGACCCGAGGCGATGTTGTCGAACACGGACCCCTGGAATAACACGGGCTCCTGCTGGACCAGCCGCACATTCTTCCGCAGCCAGTTCAGGTTGAGCGTGTCGATGGGCCGGCCATCCAGCTTGATCGTGCCCGCCGAGGGGGTGTACCACCGCTCGATCAGCCCGACGATGGTGCTCTTGCCGGACCCGCTCTGGCCTACCAAGGCCGTCACCTTGCCCGCTGGCACCGTCAACGAGAAGTTGTCCAGCACCGTCGTCCCCGGACGAGTAGGGTAGGCGAAGGTGACGTTCTCTAGCTCGACCAGCCCGGTGGTCTCCGACGGCTGCGCGCCAGTCTTGTCGAACGGATCGATGGCCGAGGGCCGGTCGATGAGCTTGAACAGCTGGGCGGCAGCCGTGGCGGCGCGGGTGAACTCGACCGAGTAGGGGGCCAGCATGGTGATCTGGAGGGTGCCGACGACGACCGACAGCAGCACGGTGAAGATGGTTCCCGGGTTGTCGATCTCGCCGCGCGCCAGCATGTGCACGCCCTGCCAGAAGGCGAGCCCGAAGCCCAGGTACATGATGGTGTACTCGGCCGAGAACAGCGCGCCGAACAGCGGCGAGATCTTGTCGCCCCAGCGGTGCGCCTCTTGCAGGTAGCCGTCGAACTTGGCCACGAGGCGCGCGCGCATCTCAAACGCGTGCACCGTCCGCGCGCTGGCCAGCACGCCCTCGGCAAACGAGTTGGCCTGCGCCAGCACCTCGAGGATGCGCGTCTCGTAGCCGGCCTCGACCGTGGCCACGATGCCCATGACCACGATGGTGGCCGGCGCGATGCACAGCGTGATGAGCGTGAGCTTCCAGTGCGCCGCGAAGGCCACCACGAACGCCGTGACGAACGCGGCCAGCCCCTGCACCGTCAGCCCCAGCTTCTCCGAGATGCCGCCCTGGATCAGGCGGCCGTTGGACGTGCCCTGCGTCGCGATCGACCCGCCCGTGCCCAGGTCGTAGTAGGCCACCTCCTGGCCCAGCGCCGATCGCAGGTAGGCATGCCGGATGTTGCGCACGATGCGGTACCCCGCGTACGTGAGGAGCCCGTTGTACGTGTACGACAGCACGAAGCGCGCGATGCCCAGGTACACGAAGTAGAGCCTTAATAATAATAACAAAAAAGCAAACCGTGTCAGCTAAGGTACCTGAATTTTGCAATGCAATGTTTTCACTCAGGCAAAAGACAATAATACATACGCTAGCTTCGCAACATCGTCCAGGAAGGTGTCCGGCAGCGAGTTGGCCGAGGAGAAGTCGGTGATGACCGTCACGAACTCGCCCCAGATGAGGTTCTGCAGTGCGATGCCGGCACCAGACGCAATGGCCGCGACCACGCCGATGCCCTGGATGGTGTATTCGAAGGCGCCCGCATAGCGGAAGATGCGCTAAATAATAACAGCCACACGTTAGAGACCCACCATGTGTTACTTAAAAAGAAAAAAAAGAAAAAGAAGTCAAATGTAAAATAAACTCCACGTGGTACAATAGTGTGCGTACCCAATACGCGCTCCACGCGTCGTCTCCTTGCTTCTTTTCCTCGCTCTCCTGAGGCGCGGGTGGGACATCGGGCTGCGTGGAAGGCGCTTTCTCCGTGCCACTACTGGGCGCTCTTTCCTTTTCGATGCTGGCTGCCATGTTGGAGATGCGCACAGCAGCAACTGTGACTTGTCATTCGAAAACACTGCGGCAAGGAGAGCATGGAGCATCTTTAATTGCACAGAAACGGGATCATTTCAGAACGTTTATGAAGAAATCGACGCGCTCAGCGCCAAGTACACTGCCATGACGCTCGCTTAAGCTGTGAAATGCGAGCGCTGGGGGGGAATCGGTGTCGGAGATGACCCGGCATGCGGTTCGAAAGCAGCCCTACGGATTCTGGAATTCTGGGCGCCGTGGCCGATGACGAACACGGCGTGCACCTGTGGGGCCCTCGTAAGCGCGCCGAGACGGCTTGCGGAATGCGCGGGACGCGCGGGGTCCGTTTCCACCTTTTGAGCTTCCGAAACCTCACGCGATGTGGACGGCAGAAGTCCTTCGGGAACCGCGCTTCACGCCGACTAACGTTAACCACTAACCTGCCAAGAGTTGCTTCTGCCCGCTGCAATCAATCATGGAGGATGGGACAGACGAAGGCGAATCGCACTCGCCGTCGTCGACGGCTCCCTGCCCGCCCGGCCAAACCCCTGTGCCGAGAGCTGTAGGTGACAGGTCTATCTCTAACTCCTAAGTTATACCTTCCAAACCGACAACCACCCGGGAAGGATCCGACGCTGACAATGTCTCGGACTCTTTATTCTAGTGTGACGCCTGCCGGGCACGCAAAGTGAGTCCGCATCTATCCACTGCAGAACTTGAAGAGTACTACCACTACTACTAGTAGTAGCACTAGTGGTAGCAGCAATGATATGGAGCTGATAGTAACGAACCGGAGCAGATCCGCTGCAACCGCGAGTCGCCTTGTGCCCACTGTGTCCATGCCAAGATAGAATGCACTCATGCCGGGGCTAACAGGCCCCGGGAGAAGCGAAGCCGTATCCTGTTAACCCACCAGTAGTAGGTTTCTGTCGAGACACTGCCAGCCCCTAGCCTCCACGTGCCATCTCTCTATCATTCTCATGTCCGTTTTGTTGACTGCTTGCTCCGTGGCCCAGCGAACAGAAGATCGACCACATCGACCGCCGGCTCGAAGGCGTTGTCCGTCTGCTGGAAGAGCTCAAGGCACGGTTGCCGCCTCCCACCGCATCCGCATCACCAGCGCCAACAGCAACAGCACCAGCACCGGCAACTGCAACCGTAATTGTCTCGGCCAGTCCAGCCAGCGCTACCAGCCATGCCGAGACCCCGGGATCGGGATCGGGATCGGACACTATAACCACGGGGACGGTGGTCGAGGGCGAGTCGTCGTTGACGGCGCACTCGGTCTTCGCCAACGACTTCCTCCAAAAGGCCGTCAGCAACAAGGACTCGCACCCCGAGATGCGCGAGCGCATTGACGCCCTCCGCCAGATGATCGAGGCCATGAAGAAGCAGCCGGCCGCCCGCGAGATGAGCTATCCCCACGCCAGACCCGTCCGGCCCGCTGCTCTGGATGGCTGCGAGCTGCCCCCGATCCAGAAGACGCTCGAGGTGCTCAAGCTGGCGAAGAGTAGGTGCTTTTTTCCTTTTATTTTCTTTACTTATTCTTTTCTTTTTCCCTTTTCCCGTAGGTGTCTTCGCTTCCGGATCCTGTCTGATTCTAATCCGCTTGCACCTTTCTGCAGCGCACAAGCAGCTCGGTGCGTTATGGGTGCTGGATCTGTTCAACGCCGAGAACCTGCCCCAGATCTGTCTCTCGGCTTACATGGCCGACGACCACAACACAGCCCACTTCATCACCGCCGCCGTGTCCTTGTATTACCTGTTTTGGATCTACGGGGAGCTGTTCAAGGATAAGCAGGAAGAGTATCTCGCCCTCTCGCGAGTCTGCCGCGTCAATGTCGAGACCGCCCTGTCCAACCTGCCACTGCACCTACCGGCAAACGATGACATGGTTGTCGCCCTCTCGCTCGGGGTAAGCAGCGAAGCCCCATCCCAAATGAACTCGAGGGGGGTGGTTGGGGGGGGGGGGGGGGGGGGGGGGGGGGGAGGGGGGTGTGCTTTGTGCTTTGACTGACACAGCATTTATTACGCGCCAGACCTTCTACGCCATCGAGCTCGCCAAGCCATCCCTGGCCTGGATCCTGTCGGCCAAAGCGTCCGAGCTATGCCAGTTCCTGGGCTACCACCGGATCGGGACCTACAAGAACATGTCTGCGGGCGACGCCAAGCATAAGCAGTTCCTCTTCTGGGTGGTGTACTTGCTCGACAAGAGCCTCACCCTGCGCCTGGGCCGGTCGTCGACCATCCAGGAGTGCGACATCACCGTGCCGCTCCCGTCAACCGACGACCCGGACCAGACGCCCATCGCCATCTTCTTCTCCCTCTGGGTTCTGAGCTCCCGCCTGCAGGGCCAGATTTACGAGCTGCTCTACTGCCCGGCCGCCATTGCGCAGCCGGAGTCTGTCCGGAAGTCGCGCGTGCAGCTGTTGGAGCAGCAGCTGGCTGAGCTTGGTGCGCTGACGGACAAAGAAACGGTGGGAGACATAGCCTTACCTACTACCTATCCAACCACCTGCGCTCTGGAATGTGAAAAAGGTTGACTGATGGTACCTACGTATGTTATAGGCAAAGTGGGATGCCAAGGTGCGACAAGAAGCCGGCTCCGACATGGCCGACTTCTTCATCCTCTCCGACATCGTCCTCCGTATGTCGACCACCACGCTGGTCCGCCGCGCCGTGCCCAACCCGCCCGGCTCCCCGACGACCTTCACCGCCGACTGCATCCAGGCCGCCCGCGAGACGCTGGCCAAGCACCAGGAGTGCATGGCTGTGGTCGAGCGGAGCCTAGTCGGGCTGTTCTCGACCTACATGAGCTGGTACGCTTACTTTTTTACTTACACATACACCCACCACTTAAACATCGAATCGAGTCACTTACTCAGCCCCCGATGCGTGGATTTAGGACGATCCTCTACGCCCCCTTCGTCCCCTTCATCGTCCTCTTCTGCCAAGTGATCGAAACCAAAGACCGCACCGACCTCGACCGGCTGCACGCCTTTGTCAGCTCGCTGCAGCTCGAAAAGGTCGACAGCAGCGGCGGCGTGTCCGACGCCATCGACAAGCTGCGCCGCCTGTTCCAGGTGCTCTACAGCGTGGCCACTCAATACGTCGATCAGTCGCACACCGAGGCCCACCAGCCCAGCATGGAGGTCGATACCTGTCTTGCCGCCCTGGGCTTCCCTTCCTCTCAGGGGAGTATTATTGGTTTTGGTGGGGAGCAACAGCAGCAGCATCAGTTCCAGCAGCAACAGCACCAGGAGTTTGGGTTGTATCTCCCCGGCGGCATGGGAGGTGATTTTACTAGTGGTACTAGTAGTGCTGCGTTCCAGCGAGGCGTCAACCCGATGATTTGGATGGGTAACGGCGCGCAGCTCGAGGACTGGTTCTATAGTAACCAGCAGATGATGGCCTTTCTGGAGGACGGGTTTCCTGGTGAGGCGGGATGGGGCGGAGGCGGGTAGGAATGCTCTTCACTCTCCCCAAGTCCCTACACGGATTGTTCGGAACATCGGAGCTCGTATTCTTGCCTTGTTATCGCTCGCTGGATTACTACTTGCGGGTCCGAAACCGAGATTCTAAAAGAACCAGTGTACTGCTTGAAGTGGGGACATAGAGCCAGTCTGTTTTGGAACATGACCCTATGAGGTCATGCGTGCCGTTGATGGAGCCGACGTAGCAACAATACACTACGCCGACTTTAACGGAGCGGACCGATGATATGGCGAGCCAACCTCTCGATTTAGTTCAAGTTGATGTTATCTACTAGTATGAAGGTACTGTCACCTATCAATGGACCATACAGCCTTCATCTCGGGCTATCATCATATGTATGTACTCCTAGTAGTACTGTACGATTTGGGTTGAGGTTGGGAAGTAAACAGACAGAACCCCACAAATTACTCGGCTATACGTAGTGCAAACACCCTGTCGGCTGTCGTCTTGATCGGAGCCACCAGACCAACCGTTGTTGAGGACATTTGCCGGGTGGCGTTGGTGCTAGGGAACGGACCGCAGGAATCTTGGATCTCGCCTGGGGTAACGCATAGCAATGGCATGTTTATTTTTGGACAAGGCAGCCTCAACCCCAGCTTTCTGGGTCAGTGCAACACCGTACTCGTCGATCCGAGACCTCGGCCCCACGTTATGCCGATCATCCCCCTGCACCGCCGGTTCAATACGAGTTTCGACTTGCAGAATGAGACAACTCAGGCGAATCCGCGCTCAACAATACGAAGTAACGTGGCATCGCCAGCGAAACCCGGCCCACAGAATGAATCCAGTTCCTTCCAACATCATGGCATTGCCGAGCGGTCTCGGCTGGCTGGTTGGATGACGTTCGAGACATGATGTTCTGCGGAGAGATGCGGACTACTTAATGGCCGGACAACGCCCTCGGAATCATCGAACATTAGCCCATCCCTCCAGCGCAGTACAATACAAGTCACTCACTCTACCTGCCTCATCAACCAGCACCAACACCACTCGCACACGAGTCAGAAAACAACAAAACAACACCGCCAACATGCACTTCAGCAACCTCCTCGTCGGCCTCGCCGCCACCGCCAGCACGGCCTTCGCCGCCCCGTCGTCCAACATCAACGCCCGCGCCGACGCCGTCTCCGCCATGGCCGCGGTGCCGCAATGGACCATCAAGTCGTTCACACGGACGTGCGACGCGGCCGACACCAAGTGCACGGTCTCGTTCGGCATCGACACAGGCAGCGGCGCGGCGGCCACCCAGTGCCAGTACGACGCGACGGGCGCGCCCGCCAGCCGCACCGCCACCAACGGCGTCACCTGCGGGCCCTACACCCTCAGCTCCAGCTGGAGCGGCCAGTTCGGCGAGGGCAACGGCTTCACGACCTGGTCTGTCGTCGACTGGTCCAAGCGCCTCATCGTCTGGCCTGCCTACACGGACAAGGAGCTTGTTAACGGCAAGGCCGTCACGCCGGACAAGAGCTACGCGCCGCAGACTCTGGCTTGATTTTCTTCTGAGTGAGGTGGTGATGCTATGATTGGGGGATGAGGTTGGAACCGGTTGGACTTTGGGATGAGGAATGAAGGAAGTGTTGGGCATGTATTGTACATACCGGAGCGAAGGTCATCGCGAAGGGTGATTGGTTTATTATAATGATAATCTTGAGTGCTCAGCACTTCGATTAGAAGTCATGCTATCACTCTTGAGTTTTCGTGTTGCAACTGCTGGAATCCGGTCTTGGTAGGTCAACCAGTAACTCCTGCCTTATTTTTCCGTATCCTAGCTTACCGTCTTCCCCTTCATTAGTCTTTCTTAATTTCTCCTTTTCTCTTCCGAGATCGGGATGTTGAACAGACCTTTTCCCACCGGAACCCCTATTCCGTCGCCCCGGGTTTTGTCAAGTTTGATGTCTGGCAACATGCGGCCATGATGCTTTACACTTGACCTGGAGGCGCCTACAAGGTCGCGAGCTCCGGCGATGTGGTCATCAACCGTAAACGGCAATGGTGGTAAGCTAGGTATTGATAATGTGATGCCTGGTGTGGGAGTGAAAGGCAGCCGAGCCGCGTAGACCCAAGGAGGATGGGATGCTTACTACTAGTACTCACACCTTATTACTAGTAACTAGTGCGCAGATTACTGTGCATTACGGTAACATGGAGACGGCAGACTGAATTCTACTACCTGCTGTGAACTGTTCATGAACCAAACAGAGCCTACTATAATTCAAATCACGTCAGCTTCCAACCTGTTATCCACACCCCCCTTCCTCCTCCCCTCTCCAACCGACCCTCACACAGTAACAGTATGGACATACTTCACCTTCCCAGCCTCCACGCGAATCTCATGGCTATCCGGCAGACTTCCCAGCGCATCAAAGCTGCACAACACATCCACACTACCCACGACCTCGTCAATCACGTACCGCCGTTGCCCGTTATTCCGCTGGCTGCCCCCGCGCGGCAGCTGCGCGCCGCAGGGGCGCGTGTACTGGCTGCCCTCGACCCGCTCGCAGTCGGTGCCCCAGGGGATGGCGTCCGCCGCGGTCCGGTCCGTCCACATGTCGAGGTAGGCGTCGCCCACTTTGCGCAGCAGGTCCCGGCTGGGCTGCTGTGCCGTCGGGAGGTCGGTCCACGTCTCGTTGCGGATGTAGCTTAGTGTCTTGGCCGCGTTGAAGAAGAGGGAGCCTGTCGTCGCTGCGATGGTGTCGACCAGCGCGATCGTGCTCGTGTTTCCGTCGTCCGGGTGGCGGATTTGCGTGGCGAGCACGTAGGGCTTCGGGCCGGATGCCGAGATGATCAGCGTGTAGCTTGCGCAGGCCACCGTGTCGGCCGTGGAGCGGGAGAGGTCCACCTTTAGGGGCTGGGAGAAGACGGCGGTGTTGGTGATGGAGGCGGCTTTGTTGTTCTCGCGGTAGGTGAAGTTGGTGGAGAGAGGGAGGGAGGAGATGGAGCCTGTTGACACCGCTGTGACGAACTTGGAGGCAGTGGCCAGCAGTTCGGAGCGGTTACATACTGCGAGAGACGACTTGGTCAGGAGCAAGAAAAGCGGGAGATAGGTCGCCACTGTAGCGGAAATGGAGGAAAACATTGTGCGGAACGCGGGATGCTAAACCACTGAGCTGATGGGTTGCCAGAGTGTCGAGGACCAAATGCTCCAGGTGAGTCCGCGGACATGCAAAGGTGGGCGATGTGCGCATTGTATACCACCATGATGATGATTGTGCCGAGAGCCTATGTTGCCGTGTGTATTTGCCGCCATTCTTCCAAAGTGCTGCTCGGAGGGGCTTCTGGCGACCTATAGATGCATCCTGTCTATTCTTCCGTTTCTGGCTCATCCGGTTCCCTGATGCGTACCTCGCAGCCATCGACCCCGACTTCCGCTAACATCCGCAATGAACGAGCGCTACGGCCCAGTCTTGCGGTGCATTTGCACCACCTCGATCTTGAGACCGCAAACGCTGCTACGAAGGCGTCCCAACCAGCACCGTACTGCCCGGCTGACACGGAAGGACGATGAGATTCAATCAGGAGGTTCCCGTAAGTGTCGCCGTGTTCTTCAATTCCGTAGAAGTAGCGCAGTTGATTATTTTTGTCTACCAATCGTCTTTCAGGGGCGCTCCCAAGCTTCTCATCCGGCCCTCTTCCAGTGCTTCTTGCAAGCCTTTATGGAAAGCTACGACCCAGGCCAGCAGCTCACAACGGCCGAGGAATGCGTCCCTCCCATCCAAGAGGATATAAGACGGATTTTCAAGGGTGGCAAGGATTTGCTGGAGAGGTTTGAAAACTAAGGATCTTGTTGTCATACTGTAACGACCGGGACCTCCGCGGCTTCTCTCCACCGGCGGTAAAGCAACTTCCCCTTCCTTGACAGGCTCGACACAATGTGGCTTAGCCTAGCACGCATGAACATGTAGAACGCGGCGGGCTATGTACGGATTATGTCTACCGACCCCACCGCGATGCCTGACATCAACATCCGGCGGTACGAGTCCTCCTGCCGGGGGAGGCGACGCCGTCTTGGGCGCCATGGTGGACGTCGTGGCCTGGGAGCGCCGCGTGCTCATGTCGCTGGAGGGGCCCTTCGGCCCCGTGACGCCGGCCATGGCACCGTGCCATACAGGGATCACCGCCGATGGTTACTGCAGGGACCTCGAGAAGGATAGGAGGTTTGTCTACGAGCAGAGCTTTGGTCACCACCCCGTTGGTACGTGCAAGATGGGTAAGCGGGGGATAGGATGGCTGCTGTGGATAGCAGGTTTAGAGTGTTTGGCGTCAGGGGGCTGCGTGTCCAGTGTCTCCCCGGTTACCCCTGGGCGATACCTGTCCTCCCGACCATTATGGTGGGCCAGAAGGGCAGCAAGGCCATTCTTGCAGATGCTTGATTATGTACTACTACCTTATTTCCCTTGCCCAGATATGTAGCGGATGGTTACCGAGTGTCCGGTAGTGGCACGCTGATCTGCTAGGTGCCAAGGCAGTTAGGCTTGCGTGCCTTGGTTACGCACTCATTTACAACGTCGAACGAATGAACCTGGAGAGGGATTTTGAACAACCCGGACCCGAACCAGCAAACAAGCCTCCGATCAGGCTCCAAGTCTATAGCTATCGCGGCCCATTCACTCTTTCCATCGGCCCAGAAGATAGTCGCGGTGAGGCTTCTCAGCTCTTAACCATCTGGTTTTGTTATCTTGGTTCGTTTCTTTACGCCTCTCAACCTGGAGTTCTTCGACGTCGCGAGTTGAAGACTTCAAGATCTTTTATTGACTAATACAACAACAGAGAGAGAAGAGGCCGAATCTCTCCTGGCTTTGCCCTGGAGACCGCAGAGTGTATCCGAGTCGACGTCATCCGAGCAGTCAATTCAGTGAGCGAAAGGGATGCTCGAGAACTGCGAAGCACATCACGAAAAATGCAAGGCTAGGCCCATGACGACGTCCCCTTGGCTGCCTACCAGGCTCATCTTCCTCGGCAAGCCGGGCCATATGCCGAGGCTAATCTAGACATCGGAGATGCTGCTTAAGCCCTGTTGCGCACCGCCCAGATATGCTACTCTCCGCCACCGCTGGGGAGAGGTATTCCATAAAGGACAGTTCCTCTCTGGATCTCGATTAATGGGGCGACTTAAAATCTCGGATGACGGGTCTATCAGGAGGTTGTTCCATTGGCTCGATCGTTGCTCGATCACCTCCCAAGTTATTGTGGTAGTAGAGGGCGATCGGATCACAGGTTTATCTGGTAGGCACGTATTGAAAAGCTCCCCCTATTCGGCAGGTATTCCAGAAATCTAGGGCGTGTGAACCCAGCGTCTCTAAAGTGCTTGTCTAACGTACGCTGTCAATCCTCAGTAGTAGGGTTCATACCAGTCGCTGAGCCTTGGCTCCTCCCTTCCGTTTGCATAGAGGCGTTCGTACCGGTGGCCCATCACGTACTGCTCGGCACGTTTCTTGAGCGCCAGCCTCTCGGGCTCCAAAGGGTCACCCTCGGTGAAGCGGCGGTACCTCAGTTCCTCAGTGAACGCCCAAGGGTAGGGGAAGTGGGCGTAGAACCGGGCAAGTCCATCATCGGCCAGCCGCTTCAGCGGTCGCATGAGATCCATATAAGCCGTCATCATCATGTCTCCTTCTTCAACCGTGATGGTACGGCGGTAGTCCCGTTGACCGATGAGGACCACGTCTGACACCAATAATCGTATGGTGAGCCCCGATAGATTGATTTTATTTCGGAGCCAGTCGATCGTTTTCCACCAGTCTTGCATCGCAGGATGTTGCGTCGCCGGCCAACTGGGAGGGGGATATGGAGGAAAGGCCAGCTCCAGGAAGCGAAGGTGGGCGAGGGAAAGCGTAGGGACGATATCTCGCAAGAATTCGGAGGCCGCAAGCCTCTCGTAAGGGTAGGGGTGGCTAGGGACTGGTTCATCGTCCACTCGGCGTTGCTCAGGTACCGGCACTTCGCCGGGCGGGCGTGCCTTGAAGTCGTGGACGGTAAAGCGGTTGCTCGAGAAGAAGACGAACTGCGCGTCCTCGTAGAGGGTGCGGCACACGAGGAACAGGGCGGTGGGTGGAGCCCAGCACTTGCAATCAAGCGAGAAGGCGGCGTGGCGACGACGGCAAAAGCAGCCGTTACCTGTGGGAATGTCCTCCCAGCATCGAGAAAACTGGCTCGCATGGAGTTCGTCCGGTTCGTGTTCGGTCCAGGGGGCCGGGTCGGGCGGACATTTGAAGAAGTATTTAACGTACGCGCGCTCATGCCTGCTCCATGCCACTTGCCTTCTCGGGGTGACCAGATCGGTATACTCAAGGATCTGGATGCGGAGCTCGCGCGGAAGGCTTGCCAGCGTAGTGGTTGCACTCGACGGAGGCTTTGGAGATGGCGTGGGGATCCTACACGCATATATGACAGTATCCTGGGCGAGCTGCTGGAGCCGACGATCCGGGGTCTTGGCCAGTCGGATAGAGCATTCCTTCAACGGCGGAAGGAGACGGATAGGTGCCACGACGGAGTTTGCTACGTCTATTGCCCGTGGGTGTTCTGGATCGATATCGCAAACCAAGCAGAGGGCGAGGCGCTTGGGAGCAACATGGCACAAGCGAGCGGCTGCGGAGCGCCACTCCCTCAGGAGAGCGTGGGCCGCCGCCAGCCTATCGTCATCATCGCCCGCGCAGGCTGGGCTCAGGAGGGGAGGCGGGTGTAGGCCTCCGTGGCTCTGCTTACAGTGGCGCAAGCCGGCGTGTTCCTGGTCCTCGAGACCCTCGAGGCAGCAAGTCTTGAGCCAGTCCAGTTCCGCCCATGCGTGGCAGGAGGCTTCGTGGAGGACGATCTTGAGATTCGAGAGGAACAGGAGCGTCGGTGCGGACAGAGCATGCAGCGTGTGCAGCGGACGGAGCGAGGTCGGCTGACGGGGTTGTGCCGGTGGGGCGGAGTAGTAGAGGATGAACTGGTTGGCCGAGTATAGTAGAGCAGTCGCCTCGGCGTGGATGGTCCGGCACGAAAGGAGAAGGCCGTGGAAGGAGTTCGGGTCAGTCATGAAGCTCCAGCTCAACTCATGCGCTGATAGGCCGTGGGGCAGTTTGAACTGCCCGGCGTGCAGGTTGAATCGGAAGGGGCGACCGTCCCACCTCGCCAACCCAAGATAGAAGTAGATGCGCCGTCGAATTTGCGGGGTCAGGCGTAACAGAGGCGGTAACGGCGATGGCATCGCCAATGTCTGGCCGCCATCGGACACACGTGCCATTGTTGATTTGTCGGTCCGCTTGCAACCTCTCTTGGAGATTATTTTTGGCAATGAGTCTGTTGGTCGGTTCGTGTGACTTTCGACTGCAGTTGGGGGGCACGTTGCAGGAGATTCGAGTTTCGGTTATTTAGGGACTTGAAATTCAAATGCAGGAGAGCTGGTGCCAGGTGCCCACAGGGCACAGGCCGACCTTTTCAGAAGCGGCGCAACGCCAAACCCGGCGATATGCACATGCACACATAGGTGACAGGGCCGCCTGAGGGCCGTGACGGCCGTCCGGTTATGCCTTACGCTACAGTCCGCAACTCAACACTGCTGGTGCGTTGGGCGATCACGAAGTGATGAAGCATCGGATTCCTATACTACACCATAGTATGGCCAACTTAGGGCTAACTCAGATTTCAACCATACGAAGTGCAAGTAATGCAGAACATGATCGTGCTCTAGGCTGCGCGAACCACCATGAGTGCCTAGAGTCTGGATATCTCAAGCCCGCTTCTGTGACCATCGAGGGTGCATCCGAAGCCATGGAGACGAGTCAAGATAGCCCGGCGCGGCCCGCGTTGGCCGGGTCACAGTCACGGCGAAGGCCTTGGCTCGGGGAGGTGTCATGCACCCTTCAGACAACACCCCCCAGCCCCACCCCCTCGGTCCTTCCGCCGGGCAGTACCTAAAAGACGTAAGTACCTACGTAAGTACCCAGGTATATCGAGGTACGACCCAGTATAGCTGAAACTCCGTTTAGTCCCTTGTTGTTGGCCGCCATGTGTCTACTGCTCACTCTTTCCGTCGTCTCTGTCGCAGCCTCGGCCATGAAGCCTTTTCTGGGGACCCTTGAGCATCCCTAAGGCTCACCTGCCTAAGCAAAGCGCACCGTGAGCCCTACACAGGCCACTTTATGCACCAGCACCCACTGCGACGCAAGCCCTGCTGCGTCTTCTTGGTAACCGAATGGTCGGAGGCTCGCTTGGTCGTGATTTGTTGTTTGTCCAGTTTGTCCACCAGGTCCAGGGCACCTGGCCCGTAGGGCGATTACTGCCACTAGTTGTACCTATACCTCTCGTTTAAAGCAAGATACCTGTGGCCCCAAGCGAAGACAGGCTGGACCACAAGATTGACTGTTCCAGCCTGTTTGAAACCACCTGCCTCGACTAGCTCCCTAGAGACCTCTGTCCGGTCGACGATGGGGCAGAAGGAGAAAAGAGAAGTGCACGCATCTTACAGACAGATATAAGGCTGGGATGGAACCCGTTCTCCACGATGGGTTCCTTAACCACCCCAAATCGTCACTCACCTATATCACCTACTTACCCCTTTCTCGCTGGCCGAGGATCATCAGGCATATACCTAGGTAACTATCAATTCGACCATAGCACGGAATCCTTCCACAAGCCACCACCTCACTGTTCCTACCTCATACCGCATTGTTACCGCTCATCTTGTCTCGTCTTCTCAAAGCTCTCTCGAACCAACATGGCAGGCCGAGAGCAGTCCTCCGCGTCTATCCAGCCGCAATGGGAAGACATAGGGGGCGGCATCCATGTAACCGACGAAGGAACAAGCTCCACCTTCATAAGAGTGATACCAGAATGGCACAGGCAGCCGAGTTTGGGGGATCTGTTGGAATATGGAAAGGCTTTCTTTGATTATGTCGATACCCATCCACGTTACCGTGGCGTGTTTTCGACTCAGCCGAGGGATGGTCGACCCGGAAGTCGCCTGGTTGCGACGCTCTCTTTCGCATATGAGGACCTTACGGGCCGCACGAAGTTCCAGGTCTTCCAGAGCACTATTCCTAGGGGCGTCTGGAGAGCCTACATGCTGGAGAATGGGGAACGCCAGGCCCCCCTATGGTGGCAAGAGGCGATCGTTAAGCCGCCCGATTTGGGATCACGCAGGGTGGCTCTTCATGCCGAGGACAGTGCCATATTCCTTTGCAACAACAAATTCCCGGACTTTAATTCGTTTGACATCTGGCCTTATATGGTCGTTTACGGAACCGCTGCGGGCAGCGCCCTTGGGGAGGTCCCCCTTTGCACCACCAGAAGCTCAAAGAACTCTCATTGCCAGGAGGTTGCACGCAGAATGGGGATCCTGTTCACGCCCAATCGACCTTTAGTCCGGAACATGGACGTGGCAGAGAACCTATCAGGGTCCGGGGGCCTATCCTACAACCACTACACTACCGAGGACGAACTTCGCGACAGAAGGGGTCCCGGTGGGGACTACACTGCTAGTAACAATAACTTTACCCAGACAGGCCCGTCAGGCTTTCCCCGCCAGGTCCAGGGTGACAGTCGCACAGCCGGACACGGCGATCTCTCCGGCCTCACCAAGGACATGTCAAAGCTTCGCGTGAGCGGCAGCAGCCATCGCAAATCGCAGAGCCGATCTTCCGCGCAGTCAACGCGGGCTCTACCCGGATCCCAAGCTCGGCCGCCTACGACATCATCGCAAGCTCGGCCATCCACCAAGACATCCGCCCCACGGACGTCTGCCGAGCGCCTGCCTCCCACCAGCCACAGTTCCGATAAACATGGCCGATTGATGGGGACGAGATGAGGTTGCCCAAAGGACAGTGGGGAAGGAATAGAGAGAGGGGGAGAGAAGGGATGCTGGACATCCTCTGGGTAGTGGTAGAGAAGAGTGGATGGGGCGTCTCCCTGGCCGAGACGTAGATAATCGTAGATGACATGAAAGATTTTTGGATATGCAGTCGAGACGGGGAGGAAGTAGAATTCGGACGTCGGCTGGCCGAGACGCGGATAATCGGCAGATGGGATGAACGATTCTTGGATATGAAGTCAAGACGGCAGGATATATAATTTGGACGTCCGCTGGCCGTGACGTGATGAGTATCAGTATAGACATTGGTTAGGTGGGTCTCAAAAGAGCTAGCTGGGGGTTCGAGGCAGTCATTATGCAGGTAGTATTTCGCTGGCCTAAGTACAGTACTTTGTATAGACTACTAGGAGTAGTTGATATATGCTCACCCTGTCACCTCCGGAGTTCTCTATCAAGACATCGGCTTCTCTCCTAGGTCTTCTACCGAGTACATATCGCATGGATGCCTTGGGGTCCTGTGATGGAAGAGGGAAGGAAGTGCGGAGCGGACCTGTGAGATCGAGACCAGGCTAAGCGTTGTAACGTTGTTGGTTGTTCTATCTGTTGGTGCAGACCGTGGCACTGGTGGCAGCCAGCTATTAGAAGCCGGGGCATGGAAACAACGACGGACAACGGTGGACTTGAGCACATGTATGACGTACTGTACGTTCTTGGAAAACGTCAAGGACTGTTCCCGAATGCCCCCGCATTCTACTGAAATAATCCGATATCTAGCACAAACCGAAGGTCTGCCCAGCCAATCGGCTTGAATTGCTTGACACGTAATGTTACTCGGCACTCAGGCTGTCACTCACGTCAAGGCTCCCAGACGCTCGGTCCTCCGACGCACCGCCCAAAGTGAACTTTGCCAAGTTCCGCTTCCTCTTCTGAAGATGGAGGATGTTCTACGTCTCTAGTATTAGCAACCAAGGAGGGATATTCACGTCTCAGCCTGACTGACCTCCTCACCGAGTTCTTGACCACATATTTGATGACCGTCACGGTCCTGGTCTGGCCCATGCGCACTGCTCTGGCGATAGCCTGCTCTTCGACCGAGGGATTCTGCTGCGGCTCGACGATGTGCACATAGTTTGCCGCTGTGAGGGTAATGCTGTCCAAGCATTAGGCCGTCTCTCTTCTCTCGCCATGTAGCGAACTGTGGCACTCATCCAACAGCTCCGGTCTGCACCGTCATGAGAAGAACGGGCACTTCTGGGGACTGGAAGTCGTCGAGAACTCGGAGCCTTTCGGCGTTGTCGACACCGCCGTCAATCCTCAAGTTCTTGATACCGCACGTTTCCATTTGCTGAGCCAATAGATCAAGTGTTGACGTCCAGTATGAGAAAACGAGACTTCGGTTTTAGTGATTAGCTGATGTACTAGTATCCATGCAACGTTCGGTGGGGGTTAGACTCACCTCTTCGAACCGTGGCCAAGCTGACTCAGTTTGCGTATCACTGCCTGCACCTTTGTTGAAACACCTCCTATCAATTCCCTGGCGCCAGCTCGATTCGCGTTCAGGTTGTGTGTGGTTGTCGCATACTCGAACAAAGGCGATCTTCTCGGTGCTGTCGGAGTCTGCACACAGTTCGTAGGGGCTAGCTGCCTACCGCACTCGGAGCAAAGTTTACCATGAACGACAAGCTCCAAGTTGTCCTCATCGCACCATTGCAGAAGTCGCAGCCTTCGTCTCGCTCTAAAGTTGATTCGACTCCAGTACTAGAGACCCGTGTTGACGTGATGGTGAAGGCGCCGTGGTTGCACAGTCTTCGAAGTTTCACAGTGACTGCAAAGAGGACGCCATACTTTTTGACATTGGCCCGAGAGCTGACAACCTCGTCAATGACGCGGGCACATTGGGTCATGATGTCGCTATACAGCTGTTGCTCTTCCTGCTGTAGTGTCACCTCGATCTGTTCGAGCCTGGTCTTGGGGAGTTTCAGGAGTCTTTCGTCCCGTCGAAGGCAAATCGTGCGCAGTAACGCTCTCAGTCTAAGGGCTCCGCTCCCTGAATCTTCTCGTAGGGGTTGAAGGATGTACTGATTGAAAACAACAGGGGACGAAAATGGCCCGAAGTGAAGGAATCGAAGTAAGGAGACGAGGTCGCCCAACTTGTTCGCGATTGGAGTTCCTGTGAGGCACCAGCGGCGCACCGACTTGAGACTAGTCGCGGCCTTGTACTGTGTCGAGTTTTCGTTTCGGATCCAATGTGCTAGATTGAGGTCAGCCTCCGTAGAGGCGATTCCTGGTGATTCGGCAGGCTAACAATTAGGGACTCTAACTTGCCTTCGTCCAGCACGACCCTGTACCAGTTTACCTGGTGTAACACACCGCATTTCTTGTACGAAGCTGATAGTGTCCCATATGTGGTAAAGACAATGTCATGATCAATCAACTGGCTAGGTGATGTCGGGCGGGCCTTGCCATGAAATCTGACTGTCTTGAGTGTGTTGGGCTCGACGTGCCTGAAAGCCACTGAGTGAGCAATTGCCAGTGTTCGTTACTATCGGAACTCTGCTTACTTGTCGATTTCCGTCTCCCAAACCTTCAGAACCTCTACTCATGTTACCTTTCTATTAATACAATTCCTACTGGTGGAATATACACAATGGTCATTGCAGGGCACTCACGCATAGACGTCACAACGACTAACGTTGCTCCGGTATTGAAGCAGGATCCGTCGACATCAGTAGCCAGGTAGGCTGCACCGTCAGGGTAGGAAGGCCTTTGGCGAGAAATGTGCAGCGACGAAAGGATGGCAGATATCATGGATAGAGTTTTGCCGAGTCCCATCACGTCGGCCAGTATACCTCCGGTCAAGTACGAGGGGACGTCAGCGTGGGATCTGAGTTGCATCAGATCTTAGCACACAGTAGTCCAACGGCTGTGCTATGTTAGTGAAACGGAAGGGTACGAAGTACGTACGATGTACCTGTCACGAGCCGAAAGTTTTGGTGCATCTCCTGACACCGCTCGTGGGTCTCCCTCCCTCGGATGAACCTCAGTGCAGTCCGCTGGTGACTAGGAAGGCATGTCAGACCTTACATCAGTGTTATGTGAGAAACGGCATACTCGGTCAAGGAAGTACGCAGAGCAACCTCCGAAATGCCCACTTCGAAGTCAATGTCATCCGAAACGTTGCCGCCATCGAGGGACCCAAGAATGTCATCGACCTCGTCGGAAATAGTCTTGGCGTTGAGATCCTTCTCAGTCAAGCTGACCAAGTGTGTAAGGTTTACGTATCTCATCTCCGATCCTGAACATCTGGGGGTTGAAGTATTCTTTGCCTGGCTCCAGGAAGAATGGATGCTGAAGGAAGGCGGAAGCCGCAGAGAGCATACGGCCAACGTGATCTGCACTTAATAGCGGTCCGTACACATTGATTGAGAGGCACACTCTCCGTTACTTGTGAGCCTTGACAACGAGGGTGCAATGAAATGGTGGCGTCGATGATGCCGACCATCATGACATCGGTCAAGCCCTCCAGGCCCCGCAGAGCTCGACAGGTGGCCAGGTCGAGATGAGCAACAACCTTCTGAGAGCGAGTTGACAATGTATAATACCTGCTGCACTTGACAACACTGAGCAGGCTATGCCTTAACTTGCTCGACGCCAGCTGATTTGCCTCGCTGGCGGATTTGAAGCGGGCTCTGGCGTCGCACAGCTTCATTGAACGTTAGTGTAAACGAACTCCCGTCAAGGTCAACCTCTATCTTACCGCTCCATAGCATATCCCGGAATTGATGTTATTAGTGCCATCGTTCCCCCAATCGTTAGCACAACCGGTAGTTGGAGTGGCTGGGACCCATTCCATTGGCGTCGACCGGTCGGTTGCGTCGGACGAGGGCGACAGCGACAGCGATGGTGAAGCCAGCGACGACGGCGACGGTGACGGCGACGGTGATGGACGCTGCCGCTTTGGGAAATCTCTCTGCGTTGTCACATTATCGCCATACCGTTTTGGCGGTCGCAAGGTCTCTAAGAACCTGGAAGCCGTTGGTACCGCTTGCTGATCTTCGCAATACTCGCGCTCCATCGTGAGTGGAAGTAGTTGAGCATTACTGTCATCCGGATGAGTATGTCTTCCAGATGGCTGTTTGTGACCGAAGCCAAAGTTGTTTTTTGCGCACCCAACCCGACGCAAGTTGGGCGGTATGTCCCGGGCAGCCAAAAGCTCGGTGGAAAAATGCGGGAACTTTGCCTTCATGCCACTTTGTGTGACGGGCAAAGTGGCTGATTCCAGCCAGCAAGTCTGCGGCGAATTCTTGGTACATTAGCTCCGTCACACAACAGATCCCCAGTCCAATGATCGCTGCAGTGCCCAACCGAGAGGTCGCCTAAGACAGATTGCTTTCCTTGGATGCCCGACTGAATGCCTAAGGTAAGTTCCCGTGAAGGGGTAGGTAAGGCACCTGCGGTAGGCACCTGGAAGCATGATGCACAGACCCTACCATCCTCATAAATGAGGGGTTCCAACCAGAGCCACCATACCTTCCTCCGGTGGACATCTAGATCGTTCCTTCCATCGGAACTTTAACTCTCTCATCACGCAACGCCCTTGTTCGGCGGCCAACTTCGCTCCTTCCAAGGCCAGTCGGTGTTTCCGTCTACTAGTACCTGTATCCAAGAAGGAAATGGCTTCGCCCGTTTCACTCGATGACGTCTTCCACGAAGCGGTTGTCAGCTTCGAAGAGAGCCTGACCGAGAGGCAGCGACTCGACTTTCGTAGATGCTCCCGACGAGAGGTTGAAGATACAATCAGGTCCATCGACACTGACCTAGCTTTGAAGCAAAAACAGCGCAATATGCGAAGAATTTCAAAGTTCCTTGAGGGGATGGATCAGCTCGGGAAGGTTGTTGAAGTATTCGTCAATAGCGATTCCATAGCGCGTTTGTTTGGGGACCAATCAAGTTTGCCTTGCTCGTAAGCCGTTTCAACACATCATCTTCAATCTCGCCAGCACCCTGGCTGACGCTCAATAACCCCGTTCAAGGTCGCAGGAACTTGGGTTGAGACATCGGACTGCCTTCTCGATACCTACGTCGAGATCGGCGACGTTCTTCCGGGTCTGTCACAATACAAGAGCCTGCTCGGCAGGCACCCGTACATCGCCTCCACCTGCAGCATTATTACTGCGATATACTGGAGTTTCACCGGAAAGCTCATTTCATCTTCTCAAGACCAAGTACGGCTGTGCCCCTCTGACGCTACCATAGCCGCAAAGTTAACCTCACATCTCTAACGCTGTATTATGCTGTCCAGGTTGGAAACCCGTTTTTCACTCGGCATAGAGAACATTTAAGACACAGTTTGGGCCTATTCTGACCAAGCTCAAGCGACATCGAGATCTCTTGTTAGACGAAACGATCACTGCTGCTATAAGTGAGGTCAGAGACTGTCGCCAATCTGTGGAGGGAAAGCTCGATAACCTTTCTCGCCAACTCTAACAGGTCCACCTTGATAACGCCGAGGCAGATGCCCAACAGTACCATGAAAACCTCCTCTGCAAACGTCAGACTGTCCTTTCCATGCTCCACCCGCCGGATTATCTTCATGATATGGAGAGAGCATGGATGGAACGGGGGGATTTGACCTCCGGTAATTGGCTCTTAACCGATTCTATCTTCCGGCAATGGGTGGATACGACCACAACTGGGTCTCGTACACTTTACCTGGCTGGGATTCCCGGGACAGGTAGGTTTCCCCGCTCTCCCGGCATGCCGTAGCGCTGTCGTTCTCTCTACTAACTCGAGCGTCCCTTGGTAAAACCGTTCTGAGTTCCCGAATAGTTCAACCCCTCCAACAACTTCGCGATAATAGATGTGCAACCGATCGCGGCTTATCAGTGCTGTATTTCTTCTTCAGATATTCCCAGCCAGACAAGCGAACCTTCATCGCTATGCTACTTTCCCTGCTTTCGCAATCGGTGTCCCAGGACGAAGTTTTTCTTGATTCTGTCTACCAACGTTGCATACGGACAGACCAGGAAAAGATCCAGTCCTTGTCTCTTTTGCGCGAACTCGCAGAGCTGGTCCTGGCGGCCCATACCACATACTTTATCTTCGTGGATGGGCTCGACGAATGTCTCGGAGTCCCAGGCGAGGATTTTGAGAAAGCACAGCGCGAGGTCATTGACTGGCTCGAGTCTCTGGGTAGAGCTTCAGGCGTCAGCCACGGGCACGAGGCCAGCGTCGGAGATAACGAGCATTGCATCTGGCTCCTCGCGAGTGCCCAAAGAAGTTCACTGTTGGAAGAACGGTTGAGCCAGTGGGAGACCATACAGCTCGACTCCGTTGATTCCCACTTGAACGACATCAAGGTATATGTCGAGTCCGAAAGCACTCAGATACAGCGAAAGTTTCACATCAGCATTGATGCTAGACTGGACCTTACCACCAGAGTGCTCTCGACAGCGAAAGGTGGTTTCCAAGCCTGACTTCCCCATGCCGATCAATATGCTAACAGTGACCAGGCATGTTTCTTTACGCAAAGGTTGAGCTTGGTAATCTCCTCAATCAATATACAGTGGCCTTTTTTAAGAGAGAACTCGTGGAAGAGAACTTCCCAAAGGGAATGGATCAAGCATAAGGTTCTAGCAGCCCGTAATCATGACGAGGGCGAAAGTCGTTAACATGGGTTCTCCCTGATATGAGCGGGTCGTCGTCCACGTCCTAGAAGGACCAGTTGCAGGACGTTCCGGGTGGGCACGAAGGATCCTAGGCCTCGTCATCCGTGCTGAGCGGCCATTGATGTGGAAGGAGATCCAAAGTCACCTCTGCATCGATGTCCAATCTGAAACAGCTGACCCCGACTTCCGGCTCTTGGACCCATGCAAGATGTACTGTGGCTCATTAGTTAAGGTCCAGCGGAATAATGGGCTAGTATGTCTGTCTGGCTCGGATGACGTTGTTGAACTTGTTCACGAAACTGCTCGGAGGTAAGACGTTTCCCATTCAAGTGCAATGTTGAAGGTCGTTTGATGACTATCCATTGGCAGATATTTGCTTGAAACTGGCAGATTCTACGGAGCCGGTCTTCATACGGAGATAGCCCTCTTCTATCACAGCAGCGCTCCCAAGAAGACAAGACTTGGCAAGACAAGCCAAACCGAGGCCCGGCTAGACAAGACAAGACGACGGCCTAATTTGGCAACGGATATGCCCTGTCTTACAAGATTTCCCAAGAGCTTAGGTACGTACCTTTGGGAACCGGGGTTCCCGTTCTATTACTCGGGTCGTTCGAGGTAACGCTGCTAAAAAGGTCGATTTTTTGGTTAGGGTATGCCAAGGTTAGAGCTACATATAGGGCCGGAACGGAAAAACTAGACCCAGGCAGATTTGCAAGATAGTCAAACCGAGCCGAGGCGAGGCAAGATGAGTTTACAGTTAGCGGGAGGTTAAAAACTTTGTACGGGGAGCGGTCAGCTAAACCTCGGGGGGGTAGAACCCCGGTCAACCTCTGAGGGGGTTAGTTTTGGCCAGAACGGACCTTCAAGCTCGGTATACCGCCCTAACACCTGCCAACTCAATATATAGATTATATATATACCATATATACTAATATTGATAGAAAGCTAAACACTGCGAAAATCTCTAACGTATCTTATAAGCGAGTGACCCATATAAGCGAATGACCCACTCCCCTGCCAAACTTTAACAACTATCCTCGATTATACCACAATAATACTAGGAACTAACTATAAATTACATCGGAAACAGCTGAATCAGATGCTTCTACAACCTCCTGGCAAGTGCGGGCATTATGGCCAGGCTTGCCGCACACACCACAGCACCGAACCTTCGTACGACCCCCCCCTGTACCACCACCGTCCGGCTGCGTTTCTTATACCACCTCTCCAACCACGGCCTTCTGGCCCAGTTGATCCTTTGCATCATGTACTGCAAGCGATCCTCCAAGCTGCACGCGTGTTCTTTTTGCTCTCCGGCGCTTGCTTAGTGCCTTGTTGGCCTTGCGGAGCGAAGCGTTCTCTGCACGAAGGAGAGTCATATGGTGTATTACCGCCGTTGTACTCTTAGCAAGCTGGTCTACAGCAGCCAACATCGAGGTTAGGGAGCTATTTTGATAGTTGGCAATGCGAGTCTTGATAAGTGTAGACTGCGCATTGGCTTCCCGGGAGTTATATAGTGTCTGGAAGACCCAAGACTGTACAGTGCTAGGCCGTGAGGTTGGGGGTGTTGGTATACGAAGCTTGATATCCAGCTTAGAAAGTACCCTCTCTGGATCGTACGGCATAAGGCCAGCACCTATAAAGCCACCCTATATATTCTTCTCCGTTATAGAGGCGAAAAAGGCCTTGCGGAAGGCATAGAGGAACTCGAGCTTGCTTATGTGGTTGATATGCATACGTATCAAGTCCTCGACCTGGCGACCATACGCCTGCTTCAGCGGCCCAAAGCAGCCAACATCGAGTGGCTGGAGGAGGTGGGAGGAATGCGGAGGCATATAGAGTATGATAATGTAATGCTCCTGGCAGTAGAGCTCGAATTCGGTCGAGTGGTGGCTCTCGTGGCCGTCGATGATCAATAACCGATATTTGCCCTTTGTACGGGGTGCTATATGGAAGTCAAAGTGCTTGATCCAATCGAGGCCTACGGCATTGGTGGTCCAGCCGTTCTCGGTGGTCGCGATACGCCAGTCGGCCGGGAGGTTGCACTCTTGATACCAGTTGGCGAGGTGGTATTGCGCGGCCAAGATGATAAAGGGTGGGATAGCCCAGCCGAGGGTATTGACTCCCTGGATTACCGTAGCCCACTCGCGGTTACCAGGCTGGGCCAGCTTTGCCTTGCTACGGCCATCAGAGGTTGTAACTACTATGCCTGGGAAGATGATACCCATCATGAACCCAGTCTCGTCGAAGTTATAGATATCGTCATCTACAATGCTGTACTTGGCCTTGACATTCTGTCGGAGCGCGAACCACTCGCCAATAACCTCTGGGTCCTTGCACTTGGCCCTCTGGTAGTCATATCGACGTGACCGACGCGTACGGAGAGCGGGCTGGCGTTTAACGAAGTTGTAAGCCCAGAGCTTGCCGACAGGGGGCGCATTGCGTATATATAGCAGTTGGTTGGCCATATCTTCCACACCATGTAGCCTTGGTAGAAAAGCTCGCTCAGATAGCTCAGTTATATACTGGACTATAGCCTTCTCTTCTAGATCGGTAAGCTTCCGTGAGTTGGCTGGAAGATCGCGTCGTATAGGCCGGCCGGTACGTCGGTAGCCGAGGGTTGAAACTGGCACGTTATAGAGCTTGGCCGCGGCTCGGAGGCTTAGTTTCGTATCATTTTCAAGAGCTTTGAGGGCCAAGGTTACCCTAGCTTCCTTTGAAGTAGAAGACATCTTTAGTTGTAGGAAAAACGCGTTGTTGGAGGTGGATGAAGAAGGACGTGTCGTGTCAAGAACTTAGTGTCCCGCTCGCTTATATGTCCCGCTCGCTTATAAGATACGTTATACCAAGTGATGATTCATTATGCATGTTCTATTACATCATACATGCAAGCTCAGACCTACTCGCATCCTGTATTTAAAGCCTACCTTGCAGTCTCGAGGATTTCTTTCCTCCTGCAAGTTCAATATTCTTGCAATGCAGTCAGTTTACCACTAGAGGCTTGACCCCGGCCTTGAACGACGGCTCTCGTGACAGCGTATAAGTATTGATATTACTTCTGATTGAAGTTTGATAACAACTTCTAGCTAGACCAGCCTACTGTCACGAGGGCCGTCGTTTAAGGCCAGGGTTAAGCCTCTAGTGGTAATCAGGCGCTTGCCCAATGCAGTATATTCTGACCAGCTAGTCAAACGGTTGAGGAGCTTGCGGTAGGTGTGCTTGAGGGGAGAGAACACTGATAAATCCAACGGCTGGAGAACGTGGGAGGTATGGGCTGGTAAAAAGAGTAGTTTGATATTGTTGTTAAAGCACTCCCATATAAATTCAGTGGTTGTATGGCTGTCATGACCGTCCAGTATTAACAGCCGCCTCTGGGAGGGATCCTGCGGCTGGGTCCGAGGGATGAAGACCCGTTGTAGCCATTCTAACGCAATCACCCTATTCACCTAGCCTTTATCGGTTGCACTAAATAGCCAGTCCTTTAGTTCGTCCTTGGCGATAGGGAACTACTGCTGTTGAACGTTCTTGCCTTTCAAAATGACAGCTGGTGGGAGTGATACCCCTATCGCAGAGACGCACTCTAAGAAGGAGGTCCAGGCATACGAACCAGGGACTTTCCGTTGCACTGCGTGTGTGTGGGCACTTCCAACTACCAAGCCGTTGATACCCTGACCTTCTATAAGGCCGAATTCGTCAAAGTTCCAGCGGTTGGCAGGTAAGATGTCCTTGATAGCTGGGATCTTTAGTAGTGGGAACCAGCTACGGATAACCGCGTTAGTAGCGCTGTTGATACGAGCTGAGTCGATCTTACGGCCTCTCTGGGTTCGGATAACCGGGTTTCTATGAAGAAACCGGGTTATCCAGCCCTTTCCAATGGTTGTACGGGTGGCTCCCTGTGCCTGTAGAACTCGGCTGGCGAACTCCCTGATCTGGGTATGGGTTAGTAGAATACCGAGGGCGGCTTAGGTCAAGACCCATCGGGTAAGATGATCTTCCTGTACCCGGCTAAGACTCTATTGCGGTTCGGCGGCAATAGAATAGGTCTGCGAGCCGTGGAGGCGGTCGTATAAGGTAGTTATTGGGATGCCGAATTCCCGGCTGATGCTTCGCGCTGAATAGCCACCGCGACGGTACTTAGCAACCGCATCTTGTAAATCTTGTTCCGAGTAAACCATCGTAAACTGACGATACTATTGCCTAAAAAATGAAGTGATTTAACTTAGAATTGACTGAGTTATAGTAAGTTGAACTGAGGGGGTCGAAAAAGCGGTGTGGGCTTACAAAGTGTTCGGAATGTGGGGTGTTCGGAATCGGGGGGGTCCGACTTATATAAATTCGACTTGACACTCTATTGCCTACTTCTTATCCCCTATCTCCCTTTTAACCCCTTACTCCAAACCACCTCAGGGGTAATCACCAACTCTCCCCACTAACAGCCCCCTTGTAGAGTAAATCGGACGCCTTCTGAACCTTAGATAATGTCACCCAATATCTATATAGGAATAACCCTTAAACTTCCCTATCTATACCGCTTGCTTAACATATCCCACTATAAACCATTCCTAAACTCCTTAGTCTTCGGATCAAGATGGTCATCGATATACTATATAAGCAAGCTATTTACCCCCTCCAGGAGCGTGACACCTAGGCCTCAGCCCTATAGTCGACAGGGACGAACCCCTCTATAAACCGAATCCAGTAGGACCTGGTTCTGCGCCGGGTTGGCTGCGGCAAGGACCGCCTTGAACGGTCCCAGCGCAAGTAGGTCTTGCGAGATGGTGGGCGATTTGCGGCCGACGAGTTGTGCTGCGCCGAAGGAGGTGGACTAAGTTGGCACTGTGCGCGAAGGCGACGGCTAGTACGATATAGCCTGCTTCTGCGGCTAGCGGGGTCGCATAGGGCCCCGAACGATAAGGAGGTGCCCCAGATGAGGACTCTTTGATAGTCGTACCTACTATTTGGTTGGACGTATATATGATGCTGCCTGCAGCAAAGTTAGTCTACTTGCGGGCCGTGGCAAGACCTAATATAGAATCAGAATGCGGCGCATGCAAGGCTTCTGCCATTCACTAATCTATTATAGGCATAGGTACTGCAGGCAGAACACCATGAATAGGAACCATAGAAAAGTGGTGATGTTGGAACCGAAATGTTCAAACGTATCGAGAAATGTAGGCGGCACCAAGGCTTTACGGTGGGCCTAGCGAATTAACTACGAGAAAAAGACAGCTAGACTGGTAGGGAACCAGTTATCTAGATGATGTAAAAACCAAGTGAATTGATGTAAGCCAGCTAGCTAGCTCGTAGACTGATGATAGCACCAGGGTAGCTCTTTCTGACCTAGTTCTCTAGCACTACGGATCCGTAATCCTGACGGACACCCGCAGCATAAGGTAATCAACCATCCTATTAACAACGACCATCCCCCTAGACAATAAGAATAGTAGAGATGTCAAAAGAGATACCATGTTTGACGTGCCACTACAACTAAAAGGATGTGTTACCAAACCCCTTACGAAACTGGAAGCGGCCTTGCTAGTCCGTTGTCTGGATAAAGAGGAATCGAAACCCCGATAACCCTGTTAAGGGAAGTGCTGTAAGTGACGAGCAGCTTTCTGACAACGCGGTCGAGGACCAATGTATAGGTGAAATCTCCCGCTTTACTGGAACATCTAAAGATAAGAGTAGGTAAGTATATAGTTAGTGAGAACCTCCCCACCAAGCGCTCCTCTTTCTTCCAGGCTTAGATATGGTTCAACATACTTATCAACCTTAGCCTTGATACATCCCTCCTGGCTTCCTAGAATTTTCAACTGCTCCTCAACTGCGGCCTTCACCGCTGATTTCTCGTCGTTCTTGGCGGTAGTTGTGCCCCATAGGACGTCGACCTCGAGGCCGGTCGACCCAGAAGACGGGCTAGTACGCGGTTTCATGTAACCCACCCCAGAAGGCTTGGGAACCGGTCTGGAACTCTGTGGCTGTGGCATGGCTAAAGTGGCTGATACTAAGATAGAGATAGAGGTAACGGTATTGCTGGTAGTGGATCTGGTAATGTGAGAGACGCGGATAGTCTGACATAGAAGGACGAGAACTGGCGTTCTTATAGCTTTCTCCTAACATGCTTAGTAACGCCGTCATTTGTGTCGGACGTTTAAATTTTATCTACTTGGTTAGGTGCCTAGCGCATGTATGATCCTACCTGCGGCAAAGGTTTGTCTACTCTTAGGAGACGGCACGAGATCCAACATAAAGGCAAATACGGCGTATGCAAATGTTGCGAGTATCCGTCAGGCTTAACTGTCAGCGAGGTCCACATCTTCTGGACCATTTGGACACCTTAGTCCCAACATCACTAACCTTCCATATTTCCAATTCATGGTGTTTTGCCTGCAATGCCTATGTCTCTAACAGCAAGGCCCTTGCCATTCATCAATCTATTATAGGCATAACATATATTATCAACCTATAGTCTTGATACTAGTTGCCAGGGTAGTATTGCGTAGCTAGGATGATAAAGGGGGGGATAACCTAGCCAAGGGCATTGACTGCCTAGATCACTATTGCCTACTCGCGGTTACCAGGCTGGGCTAGCTTTGCCTTGCTATGGCTACCTATCAGAGGCGAGAGGAAAGTCTCAGTGAGTGTGGCACGCCATCCCGCCTTCCGTAGTAACAAATCTACGTACCGGGCAGCGGGTAGTACGAGGTTTGGGGCCGACGATTACCTTGGCCGTAGGCACTTTTCTTCCAATGTATGCAAACATTTCAGGACGATGTGGCGAGGCGCAAGGAGCGGTTTTATCTGGTGGTATTTCGAGAGCTTGGCGGCGAGGGGAATGAAAATTCGGATGCGTTGGTCAGTTTGTCGACGAAAGCTCCATAAGAGGATAGCACTGTTAGTGCAGTGTGGATTTTGTGATAGACGAGTCAGGCCATACATAATTCGATGAGATTTGTAACAAGCACTCCTACATATACGCACTCACCCCAATCACAGCATCTTCCATCAATACATAGCCCATCTACCACTAGCCGAAATAACCTACCCACTTACTCACCGACTCTCCTCACTCGCCAACCACGCTACAACCTACGCGACATCGTCCACCGTACCAATCCGATTCTACACCGGCGTCTACACCTTCTATATCTCTATAATCTCCTTAGGGATATTCTCCATCAGCTACGTCTATACCGGACTGGGGTTAATGGCATTAACCGTATACCCCGCCCCTCCTAGCTCGGCCGCCTAATGTGACGAAACCACAGGCAGTCCTGCCTCTGAAAAGGTTCGCCGGTCGAAGGTATCTGCTGGTCGGACTATAGGTCTCGGTGAAGCCAAAAGGTTCACGACAACGCTTGCCGCAATGTCTGCACAATAGGTAAGGGCTATTGCTTGTAATTGCTCACTGGAGAACTCCCAGAGTCCTCTAGAACGAGTGACTATATACTGCCTATCCTTGGGTGCTCTCATATGCTCTATAGAGCTCCCTAGAGCTTAGTGCTCTGTTGGCTCCATCGAGAGCTTCCATCCCTTCATGCTGATTGGCTTGGTGCCTTGAGCTCTCGCCTGCTCTCTAGAGCTCCCTAGAGCTCCTTCTCATTGGTCCTAAACGATTGGTTCGGGGGCGTCCTGCGCCACCCGTCGGGTTGTCCCACCTGCAGCTGTCCTGTTGGCTTAATTCGTGACACCGACTAAGTCAGTGTTCTAATGTATATAAGGGACGGCAGGAATAGGAGGTATAAATAGAGAATCGCTTGTGACTTGACCAATATAATAAAGTGCTTTGGTCAGAGTTTAGTTAGACTTGAAAGCTTTATCATCAGATGAGATCTATTACTAACTAAGGTACTTTGGTTGAAATTGTCGGCTAGATGATTCGGAGCAGCGTATGCTTAAATACAAGAAATAATCCCCCATCTCTAAACTCTCATGGGGGATGAATGACATAACTTATCGGATCTTGGAGTGCGTTCCAAAGCAGATCACCGAAAACGGTTCGGTTTCCAAGTTCGAAGTTGGCAACTCAGCAGAGTCGGCTTGGGGGAGTGCCTACCTACCCCGGGTTTTCGGTGTTAAGCTCCGGCTCCACCCGATCTGCCAAGCTCCTAGCCGCGCAGCGCCGAGGGTGGGGTCTCAAAGAACACTAACCCGCTTGGGCTTCGTTTCGCCGTTGGTCCCGAAAAAGCTTGGCGAACGTCTTCGGCGTTAACCTCAACACCTACGACCTCTCAATACCTAACGCCAGCATACAGCACTGAAGTTAATACGGAGAGCTCCAACCTAATCGAGGATCTAGATGCGTGCGAGACATTAGTTGTGTAGTCCGCCCCGGAAGGGGAGCAATCCACCGACCGATGTTACTCCAAGACGATTGTACCCAGACGATAGTGGCAAGGAGTTAAGTCTAATGACTCTGATCCAGGAGGTACTAGTAGATGTCTTGCATCGTGCATACCTCAGGGGACTGCGGCCTTGGAAAGTTTAGATTTCTGCGAGGAGCCTGGATGATTGGCCTGGGTCAACAAAGTTGAAGAGGATTTGGATGATGTTTTAAGAATGGAAAATCCGTAAGTTGCATGCGCCGCATCTACTGTGGGGTCTCGCACCTTCTTGTAGGAGTAGGTAGATAAACCTCTGCCGCAGAATTGAGATCAGTTGGAACTTTCCCACGGCCCTCTCAATTGCTTCTGGGCCCGGAATGGCGGCGGCTACCTAAGGCTGGCCCCAATGAACAAGCACGGCACCGGCAGAATTCGAGACTCGGCCCAACCACGCAGAGATCCCTTTCCAGAGCGTCCACCATCTTGACCAGTACCTCAGCAACCGTCTGAGGAGTAGATAAAGGTACAAAGTTCGGCAGGAATGACGGCCTTGCGTGGTACACCAGGAGAAAGCCATAACAAAGCCGTTTCACTTGTTATGTCTGGTCGTCCGCTTGTCGATATTCCATAGCATCTCTCACATTACCAAGATCCCCTACCAGCTTTGCGTTTACTTTTACCTATCTCCAAGTTTAGCTACTTTCAACCATGAGGAAGTCTACTGCACTGTGGAATATGCTCGACACTTGCAGCTACCGCACTTCTTCCAGACCTCAAACACCATTCAATTGATTGATATGATCACTTTCGCTGCGCAATCGTTGCTTTTGTACAGGCTTATTTTCACTGCCTGTATCAGGCATCTAGGTACCTATGTTGGGTCAATGGGTCTCGTCCCGTCTCATAAGAGTAGACTAAGTCTTTGCCGCAGGTAGGATCATATGTACGCCAGGCATCTAACAAAGTAGATAAAGTTACAAAACCAGATATAAGTACCAGCCTCACTTAAGGTAAGGTAGTATGACAGGAGGAAACTATAAGTAAGCCATTTCTCTTTCTGTATCTGGCCATCCGTATCATCCATTCCGATCTCTAACATCAAGAACAACATTCCGATCTCTTACATTACCGAATCTACTATCAGCTAGCTCTACCTTCGCCTCACCTATCTCCAGCATCAGTGCCACTTCAGCCATGCAAAAGTCGAAGACCGACCCGAAGCCGGATGCCGGGCCGGCGTCCAAGCCTACTGGGGTGGCTCCCAGGAAACCGCGTCCTAACCGGCCTGCTGCGGCGCCCCCACTCAGGGTCGAGTTCCTTTGGCGCCCTGCCAAAGTTGACGACATAGAGAAGAACACGGTTGAAAGCGCCATCAAGAAGGCGTTGCAGACTCAAGGACACCACGGACATTACACAGCCGATATTGAGGTGTATGTTAGACCTACTATTTACTACCTTCAAAGCCTGGAAGACAAGGGGTGTTAATCCCCTTGTATAAGAGGTACCTAGTCTTACTAACTTAGGACCTAGCCGTTTGGTATCCACTATCGGCTCAGGCAAGCAGGCCAACTATTCAGTGATGATTAAGAAGATCCAGCGGTCTCAGATATCGCTCACTTACAGTCTCGACAAGCACAAGGTTCAGGAAATTGAGTGTTTCGACTGATAAGGCGCCTCGTGTTTCTTCAACACATCCTTCTCTTATGGTGGTGTCATGCCAAGCTTGGTTTTGGTTTTAGCATCTCAGTGTTCCCGGTATCTGGGTTGGGCAGGAAGGGTTAGGGAGGGGAAGTTGGATATTGACAGGGGGGCTGGTCCCAGCTCTGCACCAAAAAAAGAAGTGATTTAACAGCAAGGAATAGAGCGTCACGCAATAATCCAAAGGCTTAAGTCCATCGGATCCCCTTTTTTCTGTAGAGAAAGTAGCCTTTTTATTTGCGAGATTGACATTTTGGGGTGAGCAACGGTTAGACTCTATATTATAGGTGTCTGCTAGGATTAAGGTCTGCACTCTGCCGTGGCCGTGGAATATGTTCGACACCCGCAGCCACTGCACTTCTTCTAGACCTCAAACACCACCCTATCAATTGATTAATATGATGATTACTTCCGCTGCATGTGACGGTGGAGCATAAACCTGACCCACTCGGCTATGCACACCTTCCGAAAAGGATGTCGGAATCGTAAGTCCCTCGGACTTGCGACTCGGTGGATTATATCTTCCCTGACGGCAAGCACCCTGCAGGCCGCACTGTGACGAAACCACAGGCAGTCCTGCCTCTGAAAGGGTTCGCCGGCCGAAGGTATCTACTGGTCGGACTATAGGTCTCGGTGAAGCCAAAAGGTTCACAAGAATGCTTGCCGCAATGTCTGCACAATAGGTAAGGACTATTGCTTGAATTGCTCACTGGAGAGCTCCCAGAGTCCTCCAGAACGAATGACTAGCTATCCTATATACTACAGGTTTCCCATGGATCACTGCCTCCCTCCGGTGATCCCTCATACTGGATCACCAAGCCTTCCCTATGCCAAGCGTGATCCTCTTCTGATTGGTCCGTTCCTGGACCAGAATGATTGGACGCGGGCGCCGCCTGCGGACCATGCAGGTCGGCCCCACCGGCCGCTGCAGGTTAATTCATGACAGCGGCGCGTCGCATACGCATAGCAGTTGGTTGGCTATATCTTCCACACCACGCAGTCTCGGCGGAAAAGCTCGCTCAGATAGCTCAATTATATACTAAACAAGGGCCTTCTCTTCGGAATTGGTAAGCCGGCGCGAGTTGGGCGTAGTGTTGCATCGTGCAGGTCGGCCAGCGCGCCGGTCGTAGAGGGTCGTAACTGGCCAGTTATAGAGCTTGGCTACGCCTCGGAGGCTTAGTTCCTTATCGTTTTGAAGAGCTTTGAGGGCTAAAATTACCCTGGCTTCCTTTGAAGTAGAAGACATGTTGGGTTGTAGAAAAACTAATGTTTAGGTGGAGGGAAGACACGTTATGCCAAGAAGTGTTCGACTCGCTTATATGTTCGGCTCGCTTATAATGCACGTTACTATCTTTTATATTTTACTCTTTCAACTAACTAACGTACATTATCAGCGAGCGGGACATATCAGCGAGCGGGACACTAAGTTCTTGGTATAACGCGTCCTTCCTTATCTACCTCTAACAACGCGTTTTTCCTACAACTAAAGATGTCTTCCACTTCAAAGGAAGCTAGGGTAACCTTGGCCCTTAAAGCTCTTGAAAATGATATAGAACTAAGCCTTCGAGCCGCGGCCAAGCTCTATAACGTGCTAGTTTCAACTCTCGGCTACCGATGTACCGGCCGGCCTATACGACGCGATCTTCCAGCGAATTCGAAGAAGCTTACCCAATCTAAAGAGGAGGCTATTGTTCAATATATTATTGAGCTATCTATGTAAGCTTTTCCGCCGAGATTACGTGGTATAGAAGATATAGCCAACCAACTGCTATACGTATATGATACGCCCCCTGTTGGCAAGCTCTAGGCGTATCGGTTTGTTAAACGCCAGCTAGAGCTCCGTATACGTTATTCGCGAAGATACGATTACCAGAGGGCAAAGTGCGAGAATCCGAAGGTCATTGGCGAGTGGTTTGCCCTTGTACGGAATGTTAAGGCCAAGTATAGTATCGTAGATGACGATATCTATAACTTTGACGAGACTGGGTTTATAATGGGCATTATCTTCCCGGGCATGGTGGTTATAACTTCGGATGGCCGTGGCAAGGCGAAGTTAGCCTAGCCTGGCAACCGTGAATGGGCGACGGTGATCTAAGGTGTCAATGCCCTTGGCTAGGCTATCCCTCCGTTCATTATCTTAGCAGCATAGTTCTACCTCGCCAACTAGTATACTGAGTGCAACCTCCTAGCCGACTGGTACATTGCAACTACCGAGAATGGCTGGACTACTGTCATGAACTAACCTGCAGAGGCCGGTGGGGGCCGACCTGCATGGTCAACGGGCGGCGCCCGTACCCAATCATTACGAGGAAGAAGGAACCAATGAGGATTAGGGAAATCAGGAACAATGCCAAGAACGATTGTTCCTGGGGAACAACGCCAAGGAACGTTGTTCCAGATGGAACAATGGGAACGACAATTGTTCCAAATGTTCCAGAGATCTAGGTACGGGATACCTAGGGGAGGAAGCTGTATATAGTTCTACCATTCTGCCTCTCATTCAGATAGCTAGCTTCCTCAGTGAGCAATTACAAGCAGTAAAGTAGCCCTACATTACTGTGCAGACATTGCGACTTGCATTGTTGTGAACCTTTTGGCTTCACCGAGACCTACAGTCCGACCAGCAGATACCTTCGACCGGCGAACCCTTTCAGAGGCAGGACTGCCTGTGGTTTCGTCACACGTTGCTCACTCCCTTTGACTCTGTCACGGTTCAGATCGAAGGTACCACCGACCATCATGGCGCCCCAGACACCTAGCACCCCGGAATCCCAGAGCCAGGCCGCAACCATGCGACAGATGCAGCAGGCTCTCGAGGCTCTCAACGCCAAAATCGCCCAGCTTGAGGCCGAGAATGGCCATATGCAGCAACTCGTCAACGAGGCCTACAACGGCAAGCCCAAGGACAGAGCCAAACTCGAAGCACCCCCCAAGTACGGAGGCGACAAAGAAGGACTCACTGGATTCCTCACATCCATGAGGGCCTACCTCAAGTACTACCCGGACAAGTTCGCGGACGAATCCGCCAAAGTCATGTTCATCTCCTCGCGGCTCGAGGGGAAGGCACTTCGATGGTTTGAACCCACCCTCAAGGATTGGCTAACCAACAGTGCGGACGCTCAGGACGATTTCACCATTGAAATTTTCAAATCGTACGACAAATTTGAGCAGGAAATCCAGAAGGTGTTCGGAGACCATGATGAGAAGCTCCACGCGCAGGAGCGACTCGCACGCCTGAGGCAGACAAAGTCGGCGGCTGCCTACGCCATGCAGTTCCGCCAGGACTCACTTCGGTGCGAGATCAATGACGAAGGTCTTATGCAGTTGTTCTACGATGGCTTGAAGGAAGAAGTCAAGGATGAACTGTATCAAAAGGACCGACCCGACACGCTTGACGAATATATCGCCATGGCTATCCGCATCGACGACCGGATTTATGCCAGGCGCCAGCAGCGCAAGGGACGCGGAACGCAGCCTACATTCGTCAAGGCAAACGACAAAAAGAAGCGACAGTACCCCAGCACGTCGCATGGCACCCACGCTGGTCCAATGGACGTGGACGCCACTCAGCGTGAGGATAAAGGACGGAAGGACAAGTCCCAGGCCACCTGTTTCAATTGCGGCAAGAAAGGGCACTTCAAGCGGGAGTGCCGCAGCAAGAAGAACTGGAAGCAGGTGCCCGGCAAGGAAAATGCCACGATCGACAAGTCAACCCGCGTGGTTGAAGTGGCTGCGGCAAGCTACACCGAGGATGACTTCGACGACGCAGTTGACCGAGGCATGGCTGAAGGAAGCATCGATGACTCCTCTCGGTCAGGAAGCAATAGCCCCCACGTTACGTTCGAAGAACCCATCACAGGCTACGACATTGCCGCCGCCGCAGCATCACAACTCGCAGAAGGTTGGGGATTCCAGTTGACCCAGAATGAAGAAGGTCAATGGAGGACACGACAATCGGACAACGAACCCGTTGGCCCGAACCCCATCTTTCTCGCCCAGCGCCTTCAGGAGGCTGAAGAGGAACAAGCCGAGCTTCGAACAATTACCCGAAGACTCGCAGAAGAAAAGGCTCAGGCCATGAGCCAACTAGAATTCGTCAAGGCCAAGTTGGTCAGGGTCCAGGAAGAGCACCACTCGAACTTGTGGGATGGACCAGCACAGGACCTAAGCCAGGGCAGGGGGAATAATGGAATCAAGAACCCCGAGGCTGAATACCAGAAGGCCCAGAACCAGCGAAGACTCAAGGGGCAGGAACCACAAGATTGGGACACTTTTTGGAATAAGAAGCCGTACAACGGCGTCGGGGACAGCAACGCGGTACGCATCTGGATTGGATTCGGCCCGCGCTACGAACCCCACGAACAAGACGCACTTCGACTCCAACCCCAGCGATACGACCACGTCTACGTCCCATGGTTCCAGTGCATCGCGCACGAATGCCGATACCATTTTCGATCAAAATTCGACAACGACTTTTGGCCCGACAGGCCTACCGACCAAAACGGAGAACCTCGACCAGTCCCGTGGGTTTGGGACGCAGGGACCGGCGCCGACCAGTCCCTATGGAAGGTCGAAAGGACCAACGCATACGACAGAATCAGGGTGACACCGCGAAGAACCCAGCCAGAAGACTGCCAGCGGTGGCCCAATAGCACTCGACAGTGCAAGAGCCAGGATTGCTTAATCCATATGCAAGCGAAGCTCCAAGAACATCACGAACGCAAGACACATACACGAAGATGGATGACGCCTCGCGAACGACGAGAGGAAGGAAGAAGAGCCAACGAAATTCGACAATTATTCGAAGAACTCCCGAGACTTGGACCGCAGGACGGCAACCAAGAGGCACAGGAGGATGGGGACGCCTATCCAGACGCCAGGACGGAGTTGGGAAACGGCTCAGGGCCCTCCGAGGGGCCCGGAAACCACTAAATCCATCACAACAACGACAGATCCGCGGGTGCAGGAAGAACCACGCAAGGAAAAGGATCTACGACCTCCCAGCGAGCAAAAAGGAAGCCGCTGCGATTCAGAACGACAAGCCCGATGACAGAA